CGATCCGATGAGGGACAGAAACGAATATTAGCTGCTAGCAAAAAAGACACCCCAAATCAGAGCACCACTGGAGCGTTTCCAAAAAAATTTAGGACTCGAGGAAAGAGCCTTGCTTGAGCGGGGCCTCCATCCATTCATAAACGCCAATCGGGATGAATTATTAAACGCCCAGGATCCTGCTATGCAATATGCAGGAATCGCTCGTCAGTTGGTCCATGATGCCCTAGTTCTATCCTAAGCTCGGATCAATGACATTCACGAATCACTACCCGCAAACTGTTGCGCCCATACATGACGTGGAGAGAAATTAAAAAATGTTACCAGATAACACATTTAATTACTTCGTAATGGGGGTCAAACTGCTACAATGAAAGGCTCACTGGCCTTGGTCTCAGTTCACACCCCTCAATGCGAATTTACCGTTGCAACAAAAGACTGTTCATAATTGTCTCACGGAGACCAATTGTCAAGATCTGTCTAGAAATAGGTTAAACTATAGCACGAGGCATATATACATACCCTCGAAATTGTCTCTTGACCTTTTCTTTTCCTGCCCCGCCCCCCAATGTTTACCTGTCGGAGATTACTACTGATACAATTCAAGGGTTGATGTGGCTGGCGATGTCGGGGTCGACTAACTCAGATGTTTTCGTGTGGCTTTGAATGCAGGGCTTTTCCCACCAGCCGTAGCATCTCATCCCAAGGCTCGTCAGGCCGAAGCCTGGTGGCCACTGATCGCGGGGTGCGATGATACCTCGGTACATTGATTGCAACAAGGCGTCTTCTGGCCAGGTTTATTTTGTAATAACCAGGGGAGTGAGGGCTACATGGATTCCCGGCTTGGGCAAATCTCTACGGAGTACTAGTACGTAGTGCACTCCGTAAATGCAAGGGACAGTGCCTGGTAATTGGGGAAACTGGTAAATATTTGCTTCGTAATGGGGAAATAATAGGGGTCGGAATACCAGGATGGCTTGTGTCGCGTCGGTTTTATGTCGCACACATCCTAACGGGTGTGGGGTATTATTGTGGGTAGCGTACCTTTCAAATTGTTCATCCAATGCGGAGGCTGTGCAACGGAAACTTATGTGAATCCGAAGCCGTTATTTATTTTTCCCCTTTCCCTCCTTCTTATCCTCGTGGTTTTAATTCAATCATCATCATAGTGGATTTTTATACCCGACACGACAAGTACCGTCAACCCATGCTAGCCTGCGACTTAGTCGGTCAACATGGTGGGTTTTTCTTCCTCGGTCTCACGCCAAGACGGGGCCGAAATCCTAGTTCCATATCAACATCTAATCTCGACCCTCTAGCTTTCACCACGCGAATCCGACAACAAAGGCCTTAATGGCCGCCAAATAACTGGCATCGTGATCGGCGTCTGCGCTGCTTCCTTCGTCTTCGCCGCCCTTGCCGTATGCTTCTGTTTCAACTTGCGCGCACGACGCCGCGAGGGTCCCCTTCCAGACAACGATTCTGACACACACGATGGGTCACTAAAAGAGACGGAAAGACAAGGAGTGCCCTTTAGAATGAAAAGGCTAGGTGGGAAGAAGGGTCACGAAAGAATAAGGGAGACGGAGGGGCAGGGTGGTTCTGCATGGGGCGAGGAGGTTGAACGCCTGCCTGCTGCATATCGGGCATGAAATCAAGGCAGCGGCCGACGTGATTCTTGGGATGGCGAATTGTCTCAAGGTGTGTAATTAATAATATATGTATTGAATAGGAATAAGGGCTGTGTTGGAGGTCTATTAGTTATTTTTTAAAGGGCAGTCGGTTTAGTGATAGCGTTCGCTCGGAGTTGGCAGCGGGCAAGATGAATTGATAAAAATATATAGATTTTACTGACCTATTAATATATTCCTAGGAACTCGAAACTTGCCGTGGCTAAATAAGGAAATTCTTCACGAACATCTCCATAAACAATTTTCTTTTTCTTAGAGATATTTTTAGAAAGAAGTATTATGACAGGGAAAAAGGTGACAGCAGTGGAAGTAGTGACGTTCCCTCAAGGGACTGCAAGGATGGGGGCGGAAGAACATTATTCCTTGCCATAGGCCATGATCATGGTTATTTCTTTTCTTTTCTTTCCTCCCCGGAGAGGAAAAACAACTTCGACAAGTTCATATTATTGTATCATTTCTCAGGTCTGTCAATATCATTCGAAAGAGTTACAGGCTCCAACTGACATCATACTAGTCCTCGCCTGCCATCAATTACGGTGACGGCGCCAAACATTATCCCCCAGGGCAAATTTGAGCCTGTTTCTAGTCTCTGTACCGTTCTCAAACAACTCCATGGTTGTGCAGAACATTGTCATGGGTACATTTCTGAGGATGATCACAAGTTTCTTGTCTACACATCCAAATGTTATGGTGGTGGACCGGTTTCCCCCGCTACTCTTGATTATCTCCTCAGTCAGAGTAACGAACCACGACTTAAGCGCGTGAAGCGTTACAAAATCTCTTTGGCCCTCGCATCCTCTGTGCTACAGCTTCTGGACTCTCCGTGGATGCCCGAATCCTTCACCTTCTGCAAAAGAGATATTGTATTCGTGCCTGATGCGGATGATCCCCAAAGCCTCGTTCTTGATCGGCCGTACATCAAGAAGGACTTGATCCCAATGTCAGGTCGTGGTGCGCAGGATAGTGAATCTCCAAGGGATAGAACCCCACACTAGTTCTCCAAACCGCTGGGCTGTCTGGGGATCTTGTTATTGGAGCTCTGTTTCGACATGGTCCTTGATGAGTGGGCCAGAAAGAACAACCTTCGAGGAGAACTTGACAGCCAACAAAGCAGACTATTTGACACCCTTTCTGACTTTCTAGTTGCAAAGTCATGGCGCTCTCACGTAGAAGAGGAGGCAGGAGAGGATTACATGAGGGCTGTCGAATGGTGCTTTGAAGGGAACCGGTACTCTATACCCGATTCTTGGAGACTTGATATGTTTCACGAAGTGGTACTCCCCTTACAGCGTTGCTGCGATCATATGTGCGGCCCTATTCAAAATAGCTGATGGTATTGGTATGAAGCAGCTGGTAATACTGCGCAGTACCTAGAAGAATACGCTTAGCATTAAATATATTGCTAATGTACGAGTTCCGGAACCTGGTGTACCGTACTCTCAAAAATCGACGCACAGAAGTCCATGGACGAAGCCCCGAGCGCATGTAATCCTAGAAGTAGGCATCAGGTTAACAACTCAATGTATGGATATATAAGCAGTTAGCCAAAGAAGGTTGAAGTAAAGACGTTGCAAATCTCGTTCGATTGGATCGTTTTGGGCTGGAGTAGATGCAATTTGTTTGGCCTTGACATGACCGGATCTACCATCTTCTGCTTCCATGATAGAAATCGTTGTTCTTGTCTATTCTCGGCGAATTCTCGAAGGACAGATGTCTCCTCCGCGGCTAGCTTCTCTTCATTATGGAGGAATGTTGCAAAATCCCCTTACATCAAGTACCAAGGGCTGGAATTTCTCGACTTTTTCATGCCACCGACACCGATATGAGTCCGCATATGAGCTGTTTCTGTGGTCTCCTTAGGCGGACATTTTAGCCATAGAAAGGTTAATTAGTCAAGAGTTCTGGAGTCTTGTTCTGGAATCCGTGCCACCGGTGACTCGTGAGGAAGCGTTGGCTTTCCGGAGCAAGATCTACGGCTGGTGAAAGTCGCTACACCATCTGTATGTGAGGATCAAGAAAGGTACGCCCGTCGCTATCTGAGGACCAAACTATCTCCTACCTAACTTGAGCCTATCCTCAGTCCAATATATCCAGGTCCGGTATCCTGTGTTGGCCAGCTCCAAGGAGCGGTTTTCAGGTGATACTACAAGGAAGTGGGAGAATCCGATTTCGTTACCCAACAGCAGGCGTTTTTGGGAGCAACCTACGTCTTAGGGCGGGGGTATGTAGGTGCGACTATCCATGCCATCTTCGGTATTATAGTCACGACGGACGCCCACTTCAGTGTCAGCAGAGCCCAAATAGTCTACCGATTATCTCTAGGGTAAACCCTCGGGGTCGGTGGCTAAGGGTGTAATGTTCACGTCGTCATCTGAAGGCTGTCGGAGTGAATTAGGAGTGAATAGCATCCATCCTTGATCCTTGCGGCATGGATATCAAGAGAAAGTGCGGGGGTAGGGTTTGAACCTCTACACACTGGGTTACACGTACACTGGATATGTAAAATAGAACATGAAGTATATAAAGTCTAATATGTTAGATGGGTCTAGCAGCCTGCTTCGTACCTAAAAGATATCCCACCGCTCAGTTAAACGAGAGTAAGCCAGGCAACCCAGTTCCGCAGCTATCCACTGCTGTTTGCGAGGAAGAGGAGGCTGTACTACCTTAGGTTGCGTATCATCATCGCGCAAGTTTCCGTACGTTAGGCTTAGATGTACTGTTTCACAATGCGGAAATCTGCATACAAGTAACAGGGATTGGGGTAACATTTCAAGGACCCCACGTCACAATTCTGTCGATTAATAGTTGGCATTGTATTTGGTAATATTGTATCTATCTTTTTTTTTTTTTTTTTTTTTTTTTTTTTTTTCAATATTAAGCTTGGGTTTCGGTGTGGGGGTATCGCCGCCAGAACCCATGGTTCCGGGGTCCGGGGGTCTGGGGTCCGGAAGCGAGGCTAAATCGAGCCAGTGAAGTCCGCGGGGAACGGTTCCAACACACTTCGTACACAGGTGGACGAAGGACAATTAATCCCCCCCTTGCTCCCCCTCTTCCCGAAGTGGTTTTATATGAGCAAGTTTCCGCAAGTTTTACAAAACACCGGCCCTCATTGGACGCCCTGAGCAAATAAATATGCCACATCGCAGAACTCCCACCACACCTTCCCACTCCTACCCTTGGAGCAAGGAAAGCGAAGTCAGGGTATTTCAGGGTATTTAACAATAAATGAGTGTCCAAATGGAAGACTCGGGTCTCGTCCCCCCCTTCTCCTCTATGTCATCACCAAACCTGTCCTCTTCGAAGTGAGTCGCAATGCGTCCCTCTTCGGCTTTTGTTCTCTCATACCTATCCGGCGTAGCCGCCGGTGCCTTCGCCGGCATGGGCGGCACGATTCAGGAGCCCGTCTGTGCCTATGCCTGTCGTAGTGTCATCTCCTCCTCCCAGCTCGCTTGCACTCCGCCAATGGACCATTCTCATGGTTCAAGTCATACCGATATGACGTCTCCAGACTGCCGTGGAAGCGACGCGGCTTTTCTAACCACATTGGCCTATTGCATCGCTTCCAGGTGTCCTGACGTGCCAATCTGGCAATTGGAACGATATTGGGCCGCCCAAGCCAGTGGTGATCCTACTGTCCAGGCTAAGTGGGACTACCATTCGGCTCTGGAACAAGTCACTACGCCCCCGAATGTTACCTATAAGGCTGGAAACACGCTCAATTCCACTATGCTGGTTTCGCAGGAGTCCTGGGATATTTATAATAAATTTATCCCCGTCCTGGATGGCGGCTCTGTTCTCATGTACCGATATGCGTATGGATCGCTCCCTCTCTTTCTCCCCCCCCATACTCCATGATATGTGGTTTTGACCTACCCTTTACCATATGCTGACGCCCCTCGATCCTAGACTTATCATTGTGCTCGTCGGTTTCGCCACTCCCATTGCCATCACACTTCTTTCCCGTCTTCCCTTCGTGTCCGGCTTCGTCGACCTTGTCAATCCCTACCTGGTATGGCCCTCCATCATTGGCCGGTATCATGTACGGCCACTGCCTTGGCTCCTAGGAAACCCACCCACCATGGGACAGGCCATGTACATTGTCGGGTTCTTCATCCTGAACCTCGTGCTCTCCTTCGTCGGCTACGAATCCGCCCAACCCCACCCATGGGGATACAATCACCGGGGCGAGATCTTGGCATACGCCGGATACCGCACCGGAGAGTTTGCCTTTGCGCTCCTACCGTTGACGATTCTCTTTTCCGGGCGAAATAACATCCTCCTCTGGCTGACGAACTGGTCTCACTCGACTTACCTGCTCCTCCACCGTTGGATTGCCCGTCTCTTTGCTCTACATACTATCCTCCACTCCGTCTTCCTCCTCGCAGCACGAATCCAAACGGGGACTTATTCGACAGATAAAGACCTACCCTATTGGCAGTGGGGAATCGTAGGGACTGTTTTCGTCAGCGCTATGCTCGTTTTTGCGCTCCTCTGGTTCCGCCGCTTAAGCTACGAGGTATTTCTCATCACCCATATCATCATGGCCGTATTTGTCGTCGTCGGAAGCTGGTACCACTTGATTCTCCGATTCGGCTACGGCGGCGATCACGAATATTGGCTCTACGCTTCTGCTGCTGTTTGGGGCTTCGAACGGCTCCTCAGAATCCTCCGCATGGTAAAGAACGGCGTGTGCAGGGCCACCGTAATAGAAGTTGGCCCGAACCACGTCCGCGTCGACATCGTAGGAGCTCGGTTCAGTGGCAAACCCGGATACCACGGATACATCTACTTCCCGACGGTGAATCGCCTTCGTCCGTGGGAAAACCATCCATTTTCTACAAACTCCACAGGCCTTCTACGCTCTTACAAAACAACTTCCCTGAGCAACTCACCGGTCCGTTCGTCCGATAAACACGAGCACGAGACCGCAATCAAGGCTTCCGAGGTTCGTCCCATGGGCAGTTTAATCACCAACGATGGGATTACCCTCTACATCCGCAAATCCACAGGCATGACCCGCTCTCTACGCAAAGCCGCCAGCCTCCCAGTCCTTCTCGATGGACCCTATCTCAACAACCGTCCCGATGCCATCCTGGACTGCGACCGTGTGCTACTCATCGGCGGTGGCATCGGTATCACAGGGCTCTTAGCCTTCGTTCCGTCCCATAGAAATGTAAAGCTTGCGTGGAGCGTGAACGAGACTGCTCAAGCAATCGTCGAAGACTTGAGTCCAGTTCTTGAGAGTATCGCGGACAGGGAGATTCGAATCGGCGACAGGTTAAATGTAGAGGCACTGCTCAGACAAGAAGTTGCGACGGGGTATGAGAGGGTTGGAGTGGTGGTTTGTGGACCGGGTGGGCTTTGTGATGATGTACGTGCTCTCGTGTCGAGACTTGGAAGGCACGAGAAGATGGTGTTCGAGCTGGAGGTTGATGCCTTTTCTTGGTGAGGGAGGAGGCAGATGCAAGGTTCTTCCTCTTGGTCTTTTTAAGATGCTGCCTCTTTTGTCAAATTGTGTTGGAGTGGAAACTGTATCAGCCGTCGCTAAGTAACGAGTAACACAACTATTTGAGCCCTTCGTGCACCGAAGTACTGCTTCGCTTAGGATGTGCTGTGTGGCCAAGGAGGAACGAGTCATCTTCTCCAAACATCAGCTCGACAGGGCGCGGTCGAGCACATAGTGATCCCATGTCAACCGTCTAGATGCAGGTTCATTCACCAACTGGTCCTTGACGAGGACGGACTGAGTAAAGTAGACTGGGAATTGAGGTTGGATTCGTTTTGCTAGACTAGCCGCCTTCCCCAAGGAAGCCTCTCTGACAATAGCAACGTAGACTTGTGCGCCATGGTAGCTGTGAACATGCTCTCTGCTCACCACCCCAATCAAAGCCAGCGTCCACCTCACGTACTCCGACACAAATATGCTCACATCGAGATGATCCCGCGGGATCCAACCATTCACGTATTATCCGACCGAGTATTAGCACAGGCGCTACACTTTCAGCGCAACCAGTCTTTCCTCCCAAGTGTCCACCTAAGGCCAAACCCATCAATCAAGCCAAGTATCTGACGCACGCAACGAGCGCAACTACAAAAGTCCAAGTAAGGCTCGTGATGCTAGCTCCGGTAGCAACAACCGCGGGGTTGGATGCTGTCGGGGCAAGGCTGTGATTTCGTGGTTGTGGTGGTGACCGTGGTCACGGCCATGGCCGGTAGGTCCGGCAAACCCGCCTGTCGAAGTGACGGATGGCTCCTCACGGAGGCCATGGGCGGAGCTCGTCGAGGCTGGAGTGGCAGGGACGATAGCACCGACGGCTACCGATGTGTCGTCGCGATCATAGCTCTCGAGGCGTCTGGGGGGAAGAGCGACAAGGTCGAGGGCGCGCAAAATGAGTGAGGGAGGCCGCGAGTTTGACCATCGTGGATGGCTTTTTCCAAAGGAATTTGATGTGCTTTTTGGTGTCGAATAGCGAGAGAAACCCGATCAGAGAGCGGAAGCTGAAGTGAGCGGGGTAGGGTTTAAGTTTTTCTTTCTTTCCGTTCTAATAGATTCCGAGGGCGGCATCGCGCGTCAAATGTGAGAACCTCGCCTAGTGGAGCCAGACCTGGCAAGAGTCGATGAAGAAATTAAAATGCCCTCTCATATCTCACTCAGAGAACCCATCAATCAAATTTCGCACAGGGGGTTACTACAACCCGCTCTCAACATGGGGACTGAATTGACGTGACTAATATCGAGAAAAGTAAGCTCAACTTGCTCAATCCCCCCAAATGAAGGCGCGTCTTGACGGCACCGACAGCATCCCTAACCTCTCCGTAATCCTATCCTGCTACAGGAACGCTTGGCGAGCCCCAGGCTCTAATTTCTGGGTTCGCCTGGAAATGTGACCTTGTAGACGCGCTACAGGTACATGTATTCTTGAGGGGGACAACCTTGAGCAACATACCCCAATACAAGATGGCAATGATGCATTGATTGAGCATATTACGATCTATTTAGAATGAGAATGTTACGCGTGAGCGTTTTCATGCCGTTTATAGGACAGGCAAGGTGGCGTTGCAGTGCAGTCGGTGCAGCTCGGCATTTATTCCCCAAGGGCATGATAACCGTCCTCAATAGCCATATGCCTTCTATAAATTGAGTGAGGCCAAGGCCCTGTCCAGTTTATTTAATCCGACCTCGTACATGTAGAGCATACCTGATGAGGGGGTACCACCAGATGGTAAGAAGACTACATGTAGCATCCCTCATGTGGCTCATTAAAATAGACCTGTACTGGCAAATAGACCATAGCTGGTGGGTCAGTTCATCTCAGGGACCATGTTCTATTACGGACAGCGTACGTATGGATAATATTTTCTATATATAGGCTAGAGAAACTCTGGGCCGACATTCTGTAGGCACACCTTTTCTCTGTGGCGGCCTCTCTCGAGTGTTCATTCGGACAAGAAGAAAGAATGAGTGAACATCACGGACCAACCATCCTAGCAGGCGGAGAACCAGGGCGGAACGAGCAAAATGTCGGGTTTCCCTACCACACCTTGACAAGATTACTCAAATTCACAAACGAGGACGAAGATTTTTGGTGGCGAGCCACCGCTGAGTCGCTTGGTCACCTATTATCAACATGCCGCTACACCCACGAAGACATCTTTGCCTACCTCCGCTGGTACCGTCGCTTCATAGTCCCAGCACTAAGTTCGTGTCCAAGGCCCGGAAAAAAGTCACAATTCGCACCCTGTCCCGTTTTTGACGGCTCCTCATGCGAGCACAGCATAAACTGGAAAGAGCTAAGTGACAATCGCACCGTTCGCTTCACCATCGAAGCAACCGGGCACCAGGCCGGGACTGCAGCGGACCCGTTTAATCAAGAGGAAACAAAGATTCTCTTGAGAAAAATGGCGCAAGAGGTCCCAGGTATAGATTTAAAACATTTCGAAATCTTTGCGGAGGAATTCTTCTTCTCGAGCGGCACGGCCGAAGCGTTAACCCCTAAAATCCCCCCAGGGACACCATTGTCGCAGGCCTGGGTGGCGTTCGATCTACTTCGCGGGAAGATAATGGCAAAAGTCTATTTTATGCCCATTCTGAAATGGATTCAAACGGGAATCCCGACGAGAGTGCTAGTCTCGAGGGCAGTGCAAAAGTGCAGTGGTAAATACGGCACTTACGACGCCCCGATGAAGTTACTGGACAGTTATCTGGAGTCATTCGTACCCGGAAGTGGCCCGGTCGTGGAGATGGTCGCTATAGACTGTGTCGACTCTCCTGACTCTCGAATTAAAGTCTATTTACGAACAGACGTCAACACTCTCGCCAAAGCCAAGGTCATATATACTCTCGGCGGCCGACTTTCTGGAGAGGCCATCGACGCTGGTCTCGAAGCGTTGACTGAACTATGGCCGATTCTCTTCCGCTTGGAAGGCAGCGACTTCGAAAACACAGAGGTGTTTCCCAGGGGATCGTACTGTGGCTGTGCGGTAGAGATGAAGGCCGGCCATGCGCAGCCCGGGACAAAGATTCATATCCCGGTGAGGAAGATTAACGTCACAGATGCGCAGCTCTGCCAGTCGCTGTCTGCTTGGTTTGCAAAACGGGGCCATAGGGACTTTGCTGCGACGTACGAGGAGAACTTGAGGGCTGCCTTGTAAGTTGTCCGAAGACTCCGTCCTAACGTTTGCTAACCCAGTATTACAGTCCCGATCATAACTTTAACACCACGAATGGAACGCATACATTCGTTTCCTTTGCATATACGAAGAAAACGGGTGTATATATGACCATGTATTACTCGACCAAGATCTTTGGTGTTCAAGTGAACAAGGATTATTGGAAAGGCTACGACAACCTGTGGAGTGTAGCGGCCGGTAGCAGTATCCCGGGGCGTGATTGATTTTGCTCGGTTTTTCATGGCCGGGAGAGTGTCGCTGGTTACATAGTATTTTATTTTGGGTTCATTCATCTATCTCTTTTCGTCATACCAATAGGACTACATGTCGTCAAGACGGTCTCTCCCTTGTTCGCCCGCCTGAGACATAAGTAGGCCATCTCGCAGGACCGCTGCATAATTACTCAAGCATCCTCAGTTTAACATAGCAATCTCTTGGCACCTCAGTCGCGCGATCCACTACTTCAAAGTTATTCAGTTGCTCTCCCATCTCCTGAAACTCAAATCTCCAGACTAGCATCGTCAGCACGACACTCATCTCGAGGTACGCCAGTCTCCGACCAAAACATGCCCGCGGACCAGCTCCGAACGGCAGGTTTGGGCCCGCCTTTGGATTAAACACCTCCCCTTTGTCCTTCTTCTCAAGCCACCGCTCGGGGAAAAACCCTGCAACGTCTCCGGCCTGCCAAACCCCGAATCGATCCTTGCTGAGCTTTCCGCTCTCCGACCGGCGTTGCTCGTCAATCTCAAAGGCCTGTTGCATGTAGCTCTGTGCATTAGAGAGGAAGAATACTTGCGTGCCTCTGGGAATTGAGTAGCCCAGGATTTGCGTGTCAACAAGAGCCTCGCGCAAGACGACGGGCACGATATGGCTGTGGCGGAATATTTCCTCCGTGACGGCTTCAAGATATGGTATCCGTGCCTCGGTTATTTCAGAGACAGTGGGGAGGCGCTTCCCGGAGCGGGCTGAGGCATGGGCTGCGTGCAAATGGTCACGGAGACGAGATTGCACGCGCTGATATCGTGCCAGGTATTTCACGGACCAAGCGATGGTGGTAAAGGTCGTGTCATGTCCACCAACGATGAAACCGAACAGCTAATCAACATAAAAAAGCCCGTTAGCGACTTCGCTTTGGCTTGAAAGAACTCTCAACTCCTCCACAGAGACGGCTACTCACCTCGTCATAGATTGCCCTCTTATGGAAATCGGGTTTAACGCCGCATCTCCTAGCACCATCAATCTCTCGTAGCAGTACTTGATCAACCGCACACCTCGGTTTCATTTTCTCTGCTGCGTCCTGACCTTCCGTTCTCTCAAGCCCGCGCCGGATGCTCTCCTCAATCAGTCTCCTTTTAAGGCTCAGCGCTCGTCTAGAGCGAGGTTTGTGAAGATATAGCCAATTAGTAACGCTCGGAAGCGGCGACTGAAATGCGATGCCGATACTATTGATTAGGTAGACACAGGCATCTAGTTCTGGATCCAGCGGCAAGCTCGAGAACGAGAACGTCCCACCTTGTTGGTGGCTGCTAGTCTGTTGGCTGTGGATCTTTATATCGGCGATTTGTTTCGTGACCATGGATTTTTCTCGTGGAAAACCCAACACGAGGGCCATTGTAATATCCAGCGCAACCATGAACACGTCCAAATCAGCTCTAAATGGCGCCCCATCTGCGTATCTAGTCTTCAGGGACCACAGCTCCACAAGCGAAACCAGGTGCTCGTAAACTTTGGGAGCGGACACCTACATAGATCATATTTATGAGTCTGAATCCCTGCAGAAAACACTCCGGAAACCACTAACCTCGTTTAGAAAAACAGGCGTCATGAGATCCCTCACCAACTGCTTATTATGCCGAAATTGAGGATCCGCCGACTTCATATTGATATGACTCGATGGCATTACGCCACCGAAACTATCCGTCGTCAAGCTACTGCGATCGAACTCTTTCGTGCGACGCGTCATGATGTCGTAGGCTTCCGTGAAGTCGCTTACGAGCACCCAGGGTTTGCCAAACGGGGCGACGAACACCTGGACGATGGGTGAGTTGTGGATCGTGAACTGGTCGCGGAGCCATGAGCGCATGCGTCCCGCCTTTTTGAGGTCTGGATTGTCGCCGGTAATTCGGTTCGCAGACTGTCGGTTGAAGGGGATTCCGGGTATGGGTTTGGGTAGTAGAAGCCATCGTAAAATAAGAGAGAGAAGCAAGAGCGCGCAGAAAAGAACAACCATCACGTTTGCTGGGAACATCTCGAATGCAGGAGTAGAAAGACACTCATGAGCAGGGAAAATTGCGCCTAGGCTAGCTCCTAAAGGGAGAGGAACACTCCCTACGAGGGCCAATGCTCCTGCGAACGAAGCACCAGCATACAAGCATTCGTGCGGCGGGACGAGCAGAAGCTGGTCGAATTGCACAAGCAGGAAAATTATTCTCAAATCCTACAACGGGGCAATCATCCAACCAGGGACCATACACCCTGTTCCGTTGAGCAAGGAATGACACGTAATAGACATGTAAGGAGGGAGTCACTACATCGTATAGATCGTGGAAACATAGATTGATGTCCCTCCTCAGCTAGGTCTACACGGCTCTTTAGAGTTAGTATAAGTAGACCGTTATGTGTAGGCCATGCAATCCAAGTTCTCTTCCAAGTTCTCTTTCTACTGTACATCACATCCCCATCCCAGCGCTCTAACCCCGCACAACGCCGTCCCTGGGAGGAAAATGTCGACCAATCCAATGCCATACTTTTCCGTGGCCACCGTCAAGGTCAATCCAGACAAGATCGAGGAGGTAATCTCCCCTCCATGCCGGGTGATTGAGCAAGTTTCTGACATCTTCTCCCAAGATCATTGCATGCTTTGAAGAAATCGCCAATGCAACCAGGGAAAACGAGCCAGGGACTGAAATATACCGGTACTTTAGGAAGAGGGGGTCAAATGAGTTTATTTGGATCTCAAAGCAAGTATCTCGGTAGATGGCCCCTACAGTCCCTCCCTCAGATGTACTGACATCCGATTATCAAAGGTTTGAGAGCTACGAGGCTTATAAGCAACACATGAACTCGGCACACCTGCGGGACTGGCTGAAGAAGTATCCCGATGATCCAAAGCATTCAAACCTCTATGTCAAGGATTGGGTATTCCATGACCAAGATGAGGGATTGGCTGGTGGTTTTGAGCGGGTCTGACGGACGCGGGAGTGCCTGTTCCATCTCCTGCCGTGAGTGCTGACGGTTGAGGGTGGAGCAGATTAAAATTAAACCCGCTCACTCCCGTTAATATCAGACCCTGCCACCCGTTACCTCCCATACAGAGAGCTTTCGCGACACCACCACTCTACATGCGTGCGAGCTCATCTTCAGGTTGGTGGCATCGCCAGACTACAGAAGAGAGGGGAATGAGAGGCCAGAAGCGTGATGGCTGGAAATGTTGAGAGAAAATACGAACTGAGCATGTTATTATGGGATATTATTGCAGACGCAAGCACATGTTCAGGGCCAATTCAGACGAACAAAAGAACCTTCTCACCCACCCCGGATTTCGTGCCCATGCGGCCCCGGCCGCTTTGTACTACACGACATCGCATTTTCCTATTTCCCCGAGCTCTGCCCCTACCCCTCCCGTATTCTTCACTTCAGCTATCAGAAGGTGGAGTCGATACTATGACTCTGTCCTGAGCTTAGATTTAGGGGTGTATTCCTTCAGACAGTAAAAAGAGATATTTCTGTGCTCTCCCGTAAACCACACGTCACATTCCGGTCTCTTGCTGAGCGGCAATTGGAGCCAACTTAGACTCTTAGTAAAATACAAAGGCTCGAACCTCGATACTGCGCCTCGGAATACCCGACCCAGCCTCGCCCAGATCAAAGGCACAATGAGGCACAGCGAGCTCTTGGCCCTTTTCCGAGTCATACGCATTAAAAATGGCAACTTCGGAATCCAGCTGGTCTGGTATCCAGTACCACTTGTGATTCGGGCTGTGGTAGACCTGGAAGACTTCATTGGCCACGGTGGGGAAGACTTCGTCGACGATATAGAGATCCTTAGCACGATCGACACTCTTCGGGTCGCAGTAAGCCATGGGGAAGTCGCGGCAGGGACCAGTGAGTGGTTTCCATATACTACGATGAGGGAATTAGCAATGACGCGAGAAGAGGAGGGGGAGGAGAAGGGTGTGCGAGTCGTGTATACTTGATAACCTGGTACCGTCGGCTCATAAGCTTCTCTCTATCCTCCCCAAAGTACCTGTCAAGTCTCCCATCGAGTTCCGCCGCTGTATAGTCTTTCATTAATGAGCGACTGATTTTAAGAGTATCGGAACGAGAGGTAATCTCACCTATATGCGCGGACAATGAGGGCTGCGACGCCTCATCGTTTTCCTCGCCGGGATTTCTCCTCGGGAAGGACGCCGCGCGCTTTCTCAGCATCCAGTCGAAAACTACCACATCCTCAGCACCGAGTGCCGTGCAGAGGCAGCTATGGAGCTCAGGGAGAAATTCCTTTTCGATCCACTCGTCGTCATCAAAGTTCTCCGGCCTCATCTGACTGCTATCTATCGTGGCCATAGTGATACCGTGCTCCGACCAGCTCAACCCCGCCGTTCTTAGGTTGTGTATTTTGATTCCCGAGCGGGCTTTGATAGTGAAATTGTTTTGGGGGAAGCCCGGTGGAGCTGTATAGTGAAGGATGTAGCCCTTCTCATCGGGGTTGGGATGGTCGTCCCTTTCGACGTATCTGATGGAGGCTGTAAGAGCGTCTGCCATTGTGCAATCTGGGGCTTCAGGTACGGGCTTTCTGTCTGCTCGGGAGATGTGCAAGAGAGAAGAAAATCGGACTCCTGGTCTGCGCCTAGTCAAGAGATAAATGTATTTCAACGAAAACGTGCTCTTGATCGAGAAATACGGGCAGACAGGTAACTTCTAGGACTCAATATTTCTGCCACTCAGGTGTACCTCCTGCATGCATGCTTGCATGCAAAACTCTCAGAAGAAGGTTCTTGCGTCCACTTCAAAGCCTGCGTGCATTCGAGAGATTTATCGGCCGCATTATATACACCCTTTCAACGCCCATCGCAGCTTCTGAAGACGGCAACTACCCACCCACCCACAGACAAGAGTGTGGCACTTCAAAGTGCTGCGTTGTTTTTACATGAAGATCCGGGGCCGGCCCGACTCCCGAGCGCCGCCATGTCCAAGAGGGTGGCGGGAATTAGAGCAAAATATCGGCAATAAAAGGGGGGGTCATTCTCTCCTCCAGCGGTTTACGTGAAAATAATCCTCCGAGAGGATGAAAATAGGGTTGAAATTTAGATATATAAATGCCACCCAGAACAACTCTGAACCCGTCTAGAGCATCGACATCGCAACTCACACTCTGATTAAGCCACAACGATCCAAAACAAACCACAGCACAAAACAAGATGACTCTTGCAAGCAAGTCCCAGCCCTGGAAGAGTGTTTGGCCCCCGCCGGCCGGCACTACCGACCAAGCCGCCATCCCCGACGGCCTCTCCACAGAGGAGGTCACCAACCAACGTGCCTATGGGAGCCATGCTTCGAACACCAAGGGGAAGATTGTCCATATTTCGCGCAAGTGAAGTTGGTAAGTTAAACGATCAAAGACATGAATTTGGCTAACTCACTTCCAAAGTATCGGATAGGAGTCGACAGGTTCGGGAGATATTGTGCGGAAATGAGGCTATAGATCGCGCCAAATTGATAGCTTCAATATAGCATATTGTTATCCATCGTTCTAGCTTTGCCTTCGTAGTGAATAAGTACTCTAGAGTGAATAATTCTCCCCTATGACGGACCTATCATTGGCGTCCTCGACCCAGTTCTTTGCAAAATCGTAGAGGTATTCGCGGCGCAGGTAGGCCAGGCGGCCAAATTACTTGCCGGTCCTGAAATTCGTCCATGAATCCGGGTTGTCTGGGTGACCAGTAGCCTCAAGCTTATACGTTGTAATGAGGCTCATTAGTGAACCTGTCTAGGCTCTACGACGCTAAATTATCCGTCGCACTGCCTTGCTAAGGGGCTATGCTGCCTCGGTCCTAGCAAGAGTTTAGTAGATTTCGGACGTGTCTAGAGTACCTCTCACTACGGTCACCATTTCCCTCCATTTCGCGGCGCGACCCGGAAGTTCGACTTCCGCGATTGGTTCGGATGGAGTATTTCTGAGATTTGGGGGCCAACGGCGTTAGAAGGGAATAGGGATGATGATCATATCGATGTCGAATCGGAGACATATTTGGGGGTATGTGGTGCTAGATATTGATGGGAAGAGGAGCTCCGCCTCGTGCCAAGACAGAAACCGGCATTCCAGACACCTCCATCGAATTCCGCTGAACAGATCGGACCGGATATAGTCGGGGTGGGAAAGGCCCTGACTACGATGTTCAAGGCCGCTAGCCGCTGGGAAGCAATCTTGCTCCAACAACCCGCATCTCAACCCTCTCGTGTCCGTATTCCTGCATGAGTTATAACAGTATAACGGCATATTGTTCATAACATCGAATCGTGTCTAGACATTTGACGAAGCAATGATAAAGGATATACGCTAACCCTATCCGAGGATCAAACTCTCTCCTGCCTAACTTTGGAGAGTTATTTTCTCGTGTTAAAGTCATTACGCCTGGTAGTCGTCAGGTGTGGTAGCTCGCCCGACAGATATGCAAAAGTAGTATGCTGTATGAGGACTACGAAAAGTTGAAGATGTGCTTAACACGAGCCAATTACTGTATCTTTGTGTATGGACCTCCTAATCCCCGGCCTCTAGTCGTCAACGATATCATCGGTCGCACAGGAGTGCATTTAGATATTGTCGTGCCTACCTGCAACAAGAGAAACACCAATGAGGTGGCTATGATGGCCTGCCGATATTGGATATTAGCAAGAAGGAACAGGTCCTAGCCTCTTCCTAAGCGAACTGGTGACTTGGAACGGTGACTGCGAGCCCAAAAGTCGGCTGCGGATCGGCGAGAGCATATCGAGGACGATTAATTTCTGCCCTGTCGATCAGTTAGTGGACGGTCAAAGTTTTGCCAGGGATAGAGGGATCCTGTTCATCAAGGAATACAAGCAGCTGGTGGGTTAGAGAATGGCCCAGGCTTACAAGCATTAAAGACATAGGGGCGGTTGAGAGAAGAGAAACACAACATGTGGGACAGAGGTGAACACTTGGACGTTGAAGGCGTATTTACTATAGAACTACTATAGTATGAAGAACGTATGAAGAAACTAAATGCAAGGAAGCATTTCCCGCATTTGCTTTGCTGAGTCCTTTTCTGGGGTATTTATGCACTCTTACTAGGGCGGCAGGTTGACCGAGCTTCGCTTGTGGGAATCGATTGAAAGACCCTCTAGAATGAGGGACGATGTGAACTACTTTGCAGATATTAGATATCAGGTGATGAATGCAAGGAGGCCAGGAAAGGAACGGGGGGCTTATCCCGAAACTTCAAGGATCTATTGATTTACTTACCGCGCGCTTCATTTGACCATGCTTGAGAGCTTAACCGTGAAATCTAGAAGCTAACGAAAGGAGACGAGCCGGAAGACTGGACCGTTTACTTGCCGACGATGGGGTGATGCTCTAACGGCCATTGTACATCGCCTCGATACCATGAGACAGGTTGGGGGCTCCAACGATCTCTTCCCACTCCTGACCGCGGATGTTGACAAATCTCAGCCAGTGGATGCCCCAAGGGCCATCACGAAGATCATCTTCAGAGCCCAAGTTCTGCCAAATTTGGATCAGAAACCGACCCTTGGTATGCTCCACGCAGAAATCCGTGGGGCAGAATGGGCAGCAACTACCAAGAGCGTAGATCGGAAAGGTGGAAACAAGGTCAACGGTACGGCGAAAGCGGTGGCTGGACGGAGCAGACATGCCCATCCTCTGATGGGGGCAGACACCGAAGTTGTGAAACGAGTAGAGCAAGTCACAGTCGTTGTCGACATTGCCAGTAAACCTCCAATAGGTATAAAGGAGATACTGACCGTTGACAATCTTGGGCTTGGCCATGAACTTTACCAAGACAGAATTAGCAGCCAAGAGAGTGAAGAAGCGCGTGGTCGAGTATCTCTTCATGAGATTGCTCAGGTAAGATTCATGGACGTTGCCGAAACGTCGGTACTTCAAGGCCAGCTGAACCTGCTGGTATGTAGGGTTATAAGGGATGCGAAAATTGGTTTGAATTCTGCACAGTTGCGAAGAATCGCACCTTTCGGTGTTATTGGTAGTCGGGAGGTCGTGCTCGTTCACTCCATGCAGTCGGAAACAAACTGCGCAAGTGACGTGGTCGGGTCGGTTACGAGCAAGATCGTCCAGGAGCCTCAGGGCGTCGAATCCGACGAGCCCACGCGCTTGTTCAAGAGAATCGTCACGAAGGAAATCGCGGAATGTCCTGCAAGTCTCCGAGAGGGAAAGCTTGGTGGCAAGGGGAAGATCCTTGGTGATGAGAAGGAGGATTTCGTGTGGCATCTTGTGGAGAGAGGCGGACGACTTGGCGCGAACGGCCTTACGCTTGTGTTTGCCCTTCCGCTTGCGTTTGCCCTTGCGCTTTTGATCGGGCTTCGCTTGAAGAGGGATTTCGGTGCCAAAGAGAAACTCCATACTTTCGACGCGGTTAACGAGGACAGAAAAGTATTGGAATAGAAGATGCTGGGGACTGGGGTTTGTCACCTAGAGATCAAGATGAAGGATTGAAGAAAAAAGGAGGGGAGATTTTTTGTTTTCAATTTGAGCCCTCTATTGATAGGAGTTCTTGTGGAGCGACTAGGGCAAGCAGTAAGTCTTTCCATTCCAGAAAGAGCCGTCCACAGAGATCCAGAGAGTTGTGATCTCTTCGAAAGGAGAGGAGCCCCAGGTAGGTATCGTTGTGAAGTGGTGGGTTCTTGTGCCTGACCCACGCAGGAATCAAAGAGTCGCGCTCAGGCATATTGGGAGTAGGCACAACTAGAATAAAGAAGACATAGAGGAAGAGGCAGTGTGAAGAGATGCAAGCTGCCTCTTTCTTCACCCTGGGAAACAAAGACTTATTGATGCCCTGTATCGTGATGATAGAGGATCGGTGTGTATCTGGGCTAAACGAAAGGCCTCGGTAGAATTAACATTAATATCGAGGCTGATTAGCATATTGAAGCGGGAGCATCACTGGCATGCTTCTGGCGAGTTGACTCTAAGGTCTAGTCATATTGTCTAGTTTTACTATGATGATATATAAACATTGCCTCTTCGGACATCCAAGAGACCGACATGTCCATGTTCAATACCTAAGTCAACATCCGCTTAAGGTCATAAGCTGGTAATACCAAGACTAACAGCTCTATATAGCTTCCGTTGCCCCTAGCCCGGGAGTGTGTACAGTTTGGCTCTTGTTAGTATCTTTGCCCGAGGCCCTGGCTTCTCCTCGGAATATCAGTATACGGAGACAGATATTAAATGGACTCCCATTCCAATTCCTCTTACAGTTCCTTGGCGTCTGTCTAATACGGGCTGTTGCGTCACAACTCGGATTCATGACTACATAGGTACGTAGGTGTTGCCCATTATAAACTCTGTTAATGAGCCATTCGGTCGCATTGAGTTCTAGGGTTACATCGAACACGGTTTATACGCCATCAAACTTTCCTCCCTTGCAAACAGGAAAGTCAGTCTAGTTCCCATGTTTGGCATGTGATTGCTGGAAGGAACTGGTATTTAAATGATATAGTCGCCTTTCCTAACGACGATGCAAGGACTTGGTCTCTTTGGTTTTGGTCTCCAACACGGACGTCCAACACATGTGCCGTGTAAACCCCTACAGATTGCCACCGGCCTAACATTGTTTACAAAACTCCAAAGTATCTCATTCATCAACTTATAGTCGTATCTCTTCTCCATGTCCAGTTCGAAAGGTCACAATGGCGCCACAAAGGCCGCTCCAAGCCCCCCCATCGTGGCTCGACTCAACAGGACGAGTCCGGGAGGAAACGGTGTGAAGCTGGCATCCTCACGCCCAGCCAACGAAGAAACGAATCCAGAAAAGACGTGTGATCAAGACGACTATGTATGTGGGATTTTCACTCTCTTTGTCCCAGGTCAGTATCCAGTGTTTCGCTGAGCCATGCTAACAAAGTGATAAAACGGTAGACTGTCTTGGAGCAGCATATCCGATTCTGGGATTCCGATGGAGATGGCATAATAGCCCCTTGGGACACGTACCGAGGGTTTCGTGAACTCGGTTTCAATCTCGTATTCTCCATCCTCGCCATGATCATCGTTAATGGGGCTTTTTCGTATCCTACCCGGCTTGCGTACTCCTTCATACCCGATCCCCTATTTAGAGTCTACGTGCATGGAGTATATAAAGCAAAGGTACGATGTTGGATGATTTACTCGTGCATGTTGATGAAGCTGACACAACCACCTTCCAGCATGGTTCGACCACGGGGATTTATGATAGCGAAGGACGTTTCGTTGGTGAGACTTTCGACAACACGTTTGCAAAGTGGGATGACGATCAAGACGGTGCGCTCTCCCTACACGATTTGTTCCAAATGATGCGGGCAAACCGAGATGTCCTGGATGTATTTGGGGTGAGTAATATTCCTGATTTGGCTTCACTCGATCTTCGAATATTAACATGATGGTAACTTAGTGGGCGGCGGCGGTCTTCGAACTGGGAACGACGTGGCTCCTAATACAAAAGGATGGGAAGGTATATAAGGACGATCTGCGCCAAGTTTATGACGTAGGTGAACTCCTTCACAGTCGCTGTTCTTTAGCCAAGCAGGAACTAGACCGCTCGACCTATGCTCACTGCGAATCTGTACAGGGATCCATCTTCTACCGAATCCGGAACCAGATTCAATCAGGAAAGGGCTGGGATCAAGGGTTCGGCCTTCAAGACCTGAAAAGTGTTATTTCAGGGAAAATTGCCTCTTGGTTAAAGATGGAGGGGTGAGATGGCGACTGACTGAGAAAATAGTCAGCTCGGAATGGTGAGGCACTGGTGCACGATGTGACCGACCGTAGATTCAGCGGGTGCGGTTGCCCCTGCTCCTCGAACCTACCGCCTGCCAGAATGGGCCACTGACATAAGCCAATTCCCCATTTTAAGATTTGAAAAGGTGAGGGACTCCACGGCCCGCCCCTTTTGTCAATTAGAACTTGGGAGGATCATCTCTTTTCCAATACTAGGAATACACATCTATCACAGACAAGACTTAACACCGGCGTAACACGCGAGTCCAATATATCCTGAAAAGATGCCAGCTTCAGAGGGTCTTCGTAGGTTGAAACACTCCTCTCTCAATTAGAAGAGCTGACCAGCTAATATTTGACCTTCAGAGCCCCCCCTTAACGACGCCGAACGCAAGATCGTCAAGTCATACGGCGGCTGGACCAATTTCATGCTTTCTATGGGCCTTAAGCCGTGGAATCCTGAGGACGCAGAGGAGGGGAAGGCTATCTTAGAGGCCTTTGTAAAGGCCGACGAAGAAGGAAACTAGACCTAACGGAGCTGGCGGTGGCTCGGAAGCCTGAGGATTGGTGATGGCATTGTAGTGCTCTGTTAATGAAAACTCGGGGGGTCTGATGAACCGTTAAATCTTTTCGATAGGCCAACTGTTGGAACAAGCAGTGGAGCCTAGTCAATGCAGACGGGGCTCTGCTGAGTAGGGCCCAGCAAACGTTGCTCGCATATGATGATGTTCGTTGCGTCCACTTTGGTAGGGCAGGTTGGAGTTGTTTTCGCTGCCCGAACATGCCAAACCTCGCTTTCTCCATTTCGACCCAAAGGTAACACCTGTATGTAGACTCGACATGAACTTCTTCAAGATTCCATACATTGGCTAGTTAGCATTCTCTGGAAGAGCAGACCTGGCAACGGACAGCTCTGAAGTCGTCGACTACGCCAAGTACGGAGAGCATGGTATGTCTGGAACGCGTGAATGCTGTAAGCCCTGAAGGCTTCCCGTTCCCAAAGCATACGAATGCATAATGCAGCATACTCCTACCTCTTCCCAGCCAGGACTCCAGATCAACCAGACCCTGCTAGGAGAGGCCTACTCTGCGATGTCACCTGCCTGAGGGGAAACCGCATATCAGATACTCGCTTGGCCATCATTTTGTGAGAAGCCGATGTAAGTGAATAGACACCACAGACATCCGAGGGTAATTAGATAGAGTTAGCTATATCAGCGCCAATGTCCTGCGTAGCACAGTTCTTGCGAGGAGCTTGTAGTGGCGTTCTGTGAGCGCTGGTTGATGATAGTTGGCTCACCCACTTTTATTTTTAATTTCTCCTTTTTAGCTGCGACGCCGTGACCAGACCACACTCGCCCGTCTCAGCATTTTTAGTGAAAAGGGGGACCAGCTTGATGCGATCTTCTCGTAAACTTATGTGAGATCTTCCTCCTAGCTGTCACCAATTGGCTAATGTCTAGGACATACATAGGTAACAATTTGGACCTAATAGTGACTAAGCATGTTGCTTTCGACTTTGTTCCCGATATGCACAAAGTGTGACCAGAAGCTCCTAATAAATGAAGCCAGTATTTCCCTCGGAAGTATTACAGGAAGTTCCGGAGACACCGTCGACTGCCCAGTCTTCACCCACAGCACTCGTGTCATCAGGGCCAAACACACCGCCGCCAGAAGAGAGCGAAGAGGGTAGCATCTTCTTCTACATGGAAGGGAGCTTGTGAGGACACGGTAGGCGGGAGCTCGTGGGACAGAGCCTTCTCCCTAGGCACGTGGATGGTTGTATAAGTGCCATCCCAGCATGGGGTCGAGGCGAGGTCTACCGCTTCTAGAGCGTTGAAATTTCAATATCACACTTGTTATCCCCGAAGGCGATGTTTGCACAGAGTGCGATGTGGTTGAACTTGTCGACCAGTCCCTCGATTTCTTGCCAAACTATGTAACTCCAGGAAAAGTAGCTCCTGTTCCGGCAAGCGGTATTTTTTAGTCGAACTGATCGGCAACCAACCCCCCCTCCCCCCACGCCTCCAAGGTCCGCGCATAATCCGAAGCTGTCAAAATCTGCCATTTCCAAAATCTTCGGGTCAGGAACGTCCAAAAAGAGTTATCGATTGGGGGCAGATCTAGCACTTCAACCAATCATTGCCATTTCTGTTGCTGTCAGTCTGTCACCATGGTTCCATTGGGACCCGCTGCAGGAAACTAGTCTGTTCCTTTAGTGCAATTCGCGTGGGCGAGAAAATTCTTCGAAGATTAATCTACCGTACCGGAGCTAGGGTGCGGGGCATGAGTAGTTTATAAATGACTGTGGCTCGCAGAGTCACAGTGACCCCCCCCAAGTTGATGGTGCATATCGTCACATTTTCAAGATGACAGTTGAAAGTGCGGCCGTCAGGCCAAGTGAAGCCGAAGATGGCGTTCTCGGGAGATTCGATCGCGACAAGGATGAGGCTATCGCCATGGTTGGTGACCAGCAAAACGAGATTGATCCTGTCACCGCGGCGCAAGCGGTGCGCAAGACGGATTGGTTTCTCATCCCCGCCATGATCGTCGGATGTATGTTCCGGAAATCTTCTTTCACCTTCTGAACGAATAAATTAATACATTTACAGATGGGCTCGTCTATTATGACAAAGCTATCCTAGGCTCGGCCGTGCTATTCGGCATGACTGGCGATCTCCAACTGGCTGTTGTCGACAAATCCACTGCACCGCCCACAGTCGATACTTCTCGCCTCAGTTGGGCGACATCTCTCTTCTACTTTGGCATGCTCGCGGGCCTCTACCCAATGACCTATGCCCTGCAGCGGTTCGATATCGGCCGCATACTCGGCGGTGTGGTAATCGTCTGGTCTGCCATCTGCCTCTCCACGGCCGGCGTAACCTCTTACCAGGGCCTGTTCATCCAGCGGTTCTTCCTTGGTTTCATCGAGAGCATCATCCCCACTGGTTTCATGTGTATCGTCTCCGGGTACTACACGCAGGCTGAGCAGTCCCTCCGTCAGAGTTGGTGGTTCAGCAGCACTGGACTGTTCACCATTATTGGAGGTGCCTTGAATTATGGATTTGCCCAGATCAAAGGAGGCGGCCTCAAGCCGTGGCAGTACATATATTTGCTCGCAGGGTCCCTAACTTTCTTGTTTGGGCTTTTCTGCTTCGTCATCCCGAACTCGCCCGTGTCTGCCTGGTTCCTCACGAAGGAGGAACGCTTCGCTGCCGTCGAGAGGTTGAGACACGGTCAGACCGGAGTGCGGTGTACAAAATTCAAGACGAACCAGCTGAAAGAGGCGGTTCTAGACATTAAGGTCTGGCTCATTGCGATAATGATGGCGGCAGCGTAAGTTCTTCCTCTTATCAACTAAAATAGATATGCTGGGTTGCGGATCTTCAGGCTGACCATCCTGCGCACAGGTATACCATGAACGGAGCTGTCAGCGGCTTTGGCCCGCTCATTGTTAGCACGTTTGGCTGGAACACCCTCCAATCCATCCTCTTCCAATTCCCTCTCGGTGGTCTTTGCTTCATCGTCATCCTCGCGACGGGTTATCTAGGCTCCAAATTCTCTAATATTCGGATTATTATGCTTATTCTAACATGTCTACCCGTCATGGCTGGCTGTGCTATAATCTGGAAGAGTGAGTGGACATACCACGCAGCTGCCCCCGTTGTCGGGTATTCCATCACCGGCTTTTTCGGTGGCACTGTCAGCTTGATTATCACGGTTGGAATGTCCAATGTGGCTGGGCACACTAAGAAGAGCTTCATGGCTGCTACTATTTTCGTGGCCTACTGTGTTGGTACGTGCGAAATGCATCACTTGGTACCACTAGCACAGAACTAACAAAATTTTCAAGGAAACATCGTGGGACCTCAGCTCGTCAAGTCCCAATCCAAGGCGGACCATTACCCAGAGCTTTGGCTCGGCCTGATCATCTGGTGAGCACCTGGCGCCGGGGTTTGAAGCTCAATGATATATACTAACAGGCAGGCTCACAGCTACATAATTTGTATCGTCGCATCTGTTGCTCTTTACTTCGTTCTATGGTCGGAGAATAAGAAGAGGGAGGCCATCGCCGTGGACGAATCCGAGAGGGCTAAGCTGGCGTTTATGGACCTGACGGACAAGGAAAATCCGTACTTCAGATACGTGCTCTAGCGGTAGGTGTTCCGCGATACACAACTACAAGCGAGATCAACGTTGAATAAAAGTACTGAGGAGGCAATTGTCGTTTGGTCTACCTTGTTCTCAGTCCGGTGCGACGTCCGTTGTAAGGGTCATTGCCGAGGACTTAGCAGTTACTCGATGAGAAAACAAGTCATCCACTTAGCCAAGTGTACTAGTCTACAAGATACAAATTTTTAGCAGATTAAAACGTGTTGCGGCTGTTTTTGGCGTCGTCGCTTTGGTCAGTTCCCATGATGGTCTGAATAGACTGATACTACATAGATGACGATTCGATTGTCACAGGAATTGGCTGGTTACGTGTGGGCTTCTCTGTTTTTGGAAAACTCAAAGATCAGATGGAGAAGTGAACCTCTGACAAAATGTCCTTTTACGGGCTCGTAGGCCTTCACCCACAGATTGCAGCACGTTGTTTACCAGGCTTGCTTTGGTCCGCCCTCCATGCCCGAATCCACGCACCTTCCGCACATTAGGACCAGGATGTCGACGGTAATTTGTTAACAAGTGCTGAAGTACTCGGTGACACGCAGACAGCGGGAAAGATGCAGACTCATTAAGTGAGATGGTCTATCAGGGTGATTGCGGCTGGGACTCGGGGGCCAATGTAACGGTGTATCATGATCCGTTGAGATGTATTGAAGCTTCCAACACAGATCCTGGTTGTGTTCCGATTACACACAAATCAGATTGCATGTCCAAATATATACAGAGTGTAAACTAGCACCATCTCATACTGCCAGTGACAGTATGCATCCCCTTCTTCAACATCACATTTGAGTCCTATTTACAAGATCGAGCTACGTCTTATCCAATAATCCGGGGCTGTTCTGACGGGGTTTCTCGACCGGTAAGGCCAATCCTTCCCTTTAGTTGGTCCTGCAGGAAACAAAGTTGTTGCCAGAGGCACCGGTATGAGTGATGGCGCCAACATAGACACACTGGCCGTTGTAGCTAGGGTTGAAGACGATGCGGTCGGCACCAGGAGAGCCTGGACTCCATTAGATAAAGCGTTCCATATTTACAGTGACAGGAGAAGCTTACCGCCAGTGTAAACACCGGAAGAAAGAATGGGGAACTCCTGGTAAGGGCCCGAGGTAGCAAGAGGAAGGCCCTCGCGGTTGTTGAACTTGTGGGGGTACTTGTTGCTGCCAAGGGTCTGGCCAGCGGCGTAGAGACTGCAGCCCTTGCTGGTAGCAGAGTTGAGCTGAGAGCGGGAGTAGGTCTTGCTACCGCAAGTGACGGAGGTGATGCCACCAGTGCCTTGGCGCTTGTCAAGGTCGATGGGGTTGGCGACCGCGAAAGCGGCGAGGGAGGCAAGGACGATGGACTTGAGGCTGACCATTGTGACGGAGTTTGAAAGGGAAGAAGGGAGGGGTGATTTTGTTCTATGGATGCGCAAACTGGCTGCTGAAGAAGATCAAACCAAAGGTTAAGGACACAGGATATAGCTGAGTTCTTATACTCGTGCTTCCCCTCTCAACCACGACCTTGAGGGTCCATCATTGTTCGTGAGAAGTCTTACATGAACCTGCCGACTGCTGACTCGTGACATCGGGATTGGAGGCTCAGAAAATAGATTCCATCAACTTGAAATCCGATTTTGGCAGGTGTCAACACTCTCCGAGCCTCCGAAGTCGAGGCATCCAAGTAGCATCAATTGATGTCGGTGCCCGGTTAGGTTAGTGGCCCGTTGATCGTTACGGCGCAGCTGAGTGGATGCCGCACGAATCGTCCAACTGCCATTTCTACCGTCCACTAGACTGAGATGAAGGAAACACGCGCCCCGTGTTTCTGGTCCTTAATAGCTCCGGGAGATCTACAGGGGGCTTATGGATGGTCGGGAAGAATGTAACCCTTCCGCAATGATCTGCTTGAAGAACCTTTGATAGAAGCTGATTTGGTGAACTTTGGAGTGGGGCACCTGCAAATCAAGATGACATCAGCGGGGTTACGCGCGGGTCCTTCATAGTTTCCGTGGCATCAATCAATTAGAGATCCACGAGGCCTCTCTTTTCGCCACGTTCAAGCGGTTCCTGGAGTCTCTTCAACCAAGGCCACATATTGATGCCACTAATCTCATCATTCATTTGATGCTACTCCGTTCTGCCGCACTTTACTTTGTCCGCACCGCATCCACAAACTCTACTCCTTTCCTTTTTCGCCGTATCCCCAACATGACCACCACTGTTACCCTCGACTCTCTGAAGTCTTCGGACACCGCCCTTCCAAACATCGTGCAGTCGCTCAGTAACCAAGTCCTTGCAGACGAGTCGAAAGCAGATGACCTAGTATGGGAGACTTGGAACTCTCTCTTCGCCGTCGTGGCCAAGACCCCGCGCGAAGAGCAGGGGAGGCTCGTCAACTTCGTTGATCTCCTGCGCAAGTCTCCAGTCAAGAATGCGGCTGACCAGGAGGTAACTGTTGAGGGCGGTGCTTTGTGGGCAGACCTTCCTACCTTTGGGTGGGTTGCTCGAGACCTATGGAACTGGGGTAAGACGACAAGTCCCCTTCGTTCACTCCAATCTACAGGTGCATGAGATTTGAGACTGGGCGTAGACTAGTGTTGAGCTGACTTGATGCCACCAGATATCCATGACCCGGAAGCAACCCCCGAGGACCACCAAGACTGGGATAATAAGACCGCATTTCTCGCGCGTCTCACTTCTCACGCAGACCTAAGCAACGATGAGGATCCTCTTGACTTTTCAATTTTTGGGCTTTGGGCCCTGAGGAGTGCCTTTGAGGAGAATCCAGAAAGCAGTACCACCAACATTCCGGCGGTTAGAAATGCGGCACTCTGGATCATCTACGCCGGTGAGGCCCTACGAAAGCTAGCATCGGAGAAGAAGGATATGCCGGGAAACTCTGGAGTGGCGGGGAATAGGTTTCCTCAGAAGACCTGGAAGGGATTCAACGAAGAGCGGTGGAATCTGTGGAAGGCGGGCTTTGAGGCGGCGGCGAATTCCGTCGACGAAGCCAAGGAAGCCGCCAAAATCATACAAAATTTGCATTAAAGTAATTTAACTGGGCGCGAAAGTTGCCATGCTGCTCGAGATTCGGGAGGCTATGTAGCGTTAGAGTCGAGAATATTATTCAAAATATTAGTTGAGCCGCATACTCTCGCCGCATAACACCCGAGGTACCGTGACCTGCCCCTCGCTTAACGGACAGAGAGAAGCCCGTCCCAGTTCAGGGGCTTTCATTCTGCATCCCTTAATATGGTCAATGCTGAAACTTAGCCGTTCTATATTTCGAGGCACCTTACCGAGATGCCATGGTGACATCTAAAGCCCAAACCGAGGTGGGCAAGCCGGACAGCCAATAATAGTAAATGGCTAAGCGGGTCACACACCAGAGATAGACAATCCAGCAGTGTGAGACTTCTGTAGGAGGCAGGTGTCGTCTAAGCGAAAATACATCCCCGCATAGGATGTACTTCTAGCTCTTCAAGATCTCGACTTCATTGTGGACCAATGACAGCTCAGCGAGGCCGAGCATTTCGAAATCTTGCCAGTTAAAACAGCGTTAAGCAAGGCAGCATGATTTCTTGATGGAGAGGCGCAGTCGCCTGTGTCAAGCATGAAGTGGAGGTTCTTGCCAGGGGTCATGTCAGGATAAACGTTTGTCGAATATTTCACAAACTCTTCTTCTAGTCTCACTTAAGAGGATCAATCAGACCCTCCGAGGCAGCAGTCTGTCCTCCAGATGATTCTGAAGAACACGAGGACTCCTCAATTCGAGACCAAAAACCCCACGATTGGATTTGCCACAATGACCATCCCAAGAGGTGAAGACCTCACGGGGCTGGCTGACTGTGTACAAATTGGGGGATCATCTCCGAGCCCGATCCTCAGCCCTCACCAATCTCGCCAGCCCGCTCAGCTCACACACTTCCGGTCTTCACAGTAGCTTGGCTCATGCGTATTTCGGTCCGTAGGCAGGCCAAGATATGCGTGCGAAAGAGTGGTCAGACTCATTACCTCCGTACACTTGGGGGGTAGGATCAGCCCAATCGCTAGCCGGACCGACTCCTCCCACACCTACATCAACTCTAGTTTCCTGATCTCTAAAGGTGTTATGCGCCTCTTCCCCGCTTAAGGGCTTTACTTCGTATCTTGGCAGTGTCTTTCATCATGTATTGCGAATATTATTCAATCTCCCCCATTACCAAGGACCAGACTCCCACTTCAAATCGAAGCTGTACCTTTGAATGGCTCAAGGTATCGGAGTTTACGTTCCTTCCATTCGATAGTCAGGACATCGGTCGATCATCTCTCAGTAATGATCAAGATGTCCAATTACCCCCGGGAGGGACATCACTCACATCGTTGACTCTCAAGTGCAGCATATCACTTCATGGAGCAGGTTATGACGTGCAAAAAACGCCCGCAAGAAGTTATCAAATCGTTTTCACAATAGTGGCTTCCCCGTGGCGTTCAGTGGATAAGTGACCAAAGTCATCACAGACAGTTGATGCATTAGCCTCGAAAGTTTGCCAATCTCGAGCCATCCTGGGAAAGGAAGAGGATCGAAAGAGGCTGCTTGAGACAATGCCACGTCCCAATCGCCGTGAGTTCTTAATTATTGACTACGGCTGCGTCTGAATAAGGGATACGGGGCAGACTATACTCAAAGTTGGATAGGGCTATGTCTAGCACAAGCTAAGGACGGGCTGTCCCGGAGTTAAAACGCCCGCTCTCCTCGTCTCACATGCATGAACACTCAGCTAGAATCAGAACACGGGGTTCGACTCCAAAATGTTGCAGAGGTTATGCCTTTTTAGTCACTAAACCCACTTTGGACAGCATAAGCCGTCACCCACCGGAAGGTGATATGGATAAAAAAAAAAAAGCAAAAACATACGCGACCCCCGCAGGGTCTGGAAACAGGACTGGATAGGCCCGTTCCACCATCTCCTTGGAGCACTCTAAGCCGTATGAAGTAGACATTATGTTTGTCTCACACACTTTTGTGCCGTAACGACTGCTTGGGCTCCTGAGCAGCACACGTACGAAATCCTGGTCGTAGTTTGGAGTTAAAAGGATTCCTAGTGCGAGGCCACGGATGAATGGAGGATAGATTTGCCGCGGCTTGCCCATCCGGAGGCGTGAAGACCGTTGATCATAACCCTCCGCATCCTTCTCACACTACTGCATGCAGCTCTTCATGCAGCACTAGGTCAGTAGCGCGAAGTGCGTAGCCGGATCCGGACACACAGGGTATTTTTAAGAAACAAATAGCGGTGTGATATCCCTAAAAGAACTTGATATGAGGTGCGAATACTGATGCGTTCCTAATAGTTGATAATATGTTCGAGATGCGATGACTTCGGTGTTAGGTCCCGGGCCGGGCAATGCGGGTGAACGTAGACCGTGGGAATACAGTAGTACGATGAACTGCTGAAACCCCAAGAATTCGTCCAGGTCATGCTTGTTTGATTGGTGATATGCGTCTCTTCTTCGCGGAAACCGTTTTTCACGGGACGCACTTCCTCTGTATTACTTCGCAGGGGTCTGCGGGATGGACCATGGGTGCAGTAATGAATCCGTTGATGCCCAGCAGGGGAACCGACCTGCCGGTAGCAACTCCGCCTTGGCAAAGGCGTTCCCCGGCGGACCTCCCTTGCCACATCCAGTCCAGTCCGCATCAACTGCCTCCGGACTTTCGGATTTTAGTGACTTGTTCTGATTAGCAGGGGGTCACCCATTCGATACCTCCACAGTAGGTGGATCCTGGATGTCGCCCTACAAGGATCAGAGTCGCAATCTTCATGGAGTAAATGCTCCTCCTTGTCCCTCTAGCTGCCTTAGTTACTGGAGCCAAGCTTGAGGCCAAGCTTCGAGGTGTTTTTGAAAATTCGTTTTGAAAGGAGGAGCTCCCCAAAAGAAATCTTTCGAGCTTCAGACGTTTAAATGCTCGAAGGGTTCTTCATCAGCTATACCCGCTTTTACCCCTTCCTGATGACAGGACCTCCAAGTCAGCACTAGACTTCATATCACGTATGCTATAGCCCTTGTGCTCCAAGGCTTTTCGTCATCTGTTAAGCGAGGGGCTAGACAGAGACTGTGGTGTCAATCGGTAAGCTCCACCTGTAGGTTCGCCCCTGAAATATGACCATCCAATGCTTCTTCTAAAGAGCTGATACCGAGAAGGTATCGAGCACTGACTTCCTGTCAAGGCTTAAAATAGAAACACCTACGTACGCACATACTACCTCTATTTTGGCTCGCTGTAGAGTCCTAGAATCCAAAAAAAAAAAAAAAAAAATCCTCGAAACCATGCATATCGAATTCGGTATTGCCACCGTCATCGGGTTGTTGGCCTCGCCCATCTTGGCTGGGCTTCTTCCTTCGGCCGCGGCGGTGGCTGCTGTAAGTCCATCTACCATCTTGTCCATCCTACCCGTCTTGCCCCCCTACACTGAGAAATAGTTCTTGTGCTTCCAAGATATGGACGGCAGCTCGTGTTGTTACCCATGGAAAGGTATTACCAGATGCTCGCATTAGGAGAAATCATGTTGGTTGTTACGGTCCATCAGAGATACCATGTTGGCTGTCACGTTTCACAGAATCCAGCAGGCTAATACTCACTCGAATCTTCCACAGTGCATCGAGCTTAGCCTAGTTTTGCCAGCTCAGGTCTACTTTCCCAACTTACCCGGCTATGACCAACTGAACGAGTACTGGTCCAACCGCCAGGATGACCTCACCCCTACATGCATCATCACCCCCGACAGCTCCACAGCCGTGTCTAAAGCCCTCAAGTCCATCCGCACATGGAAGGCTCCTTTCACCGTGAAATCCGGCGGCCATGTGCCCTTCCCCAGCTCCAATATCGAAGACGGCATCGTCATTGATCTCGTTAACCTAAACACCCTGCAGCTCTCCAATGACAAGTCCGTCGTTTCCGTGGGCCCTGGCCTCCGATGGAGGGACGTTGCCAATTTTCTTCTACCTGAGGGCCTCGCTGTTGTTGGCGGCCGTGTGGGTGATATTGGCGTGGGAGGCTTTACTCTTGGTGGCGGTATTTCGTGGTTCTCGGGACGCTATGGCTGGGCGTGTGACAATGTGCGCACCTACGAAGTCGTGCTAGCGAATGGCACCATCGTCACAGCTACATCCACCCAGAATGCTGACCTCTACAAAGCCCTTCGTGGCGGTGGTGGCCCTAATTTTGGTATCGTCACTCGATTTGATCTAGAGACCTTCGAACAGGGCGATATCTGGTACAAGGAGTCTCTGTATGCTGCCACCTCTACCAACGATGTTATCGAGCAGTTCTGCGACACCTCAGTCAACGGAATCGCCGCTGACGTTGACGGCCATCCCGTCATGTTTGCTGCCTATCAGCCCGCCCTCGGCGGTGTCGTCACTCAGGTCTTCCGCTGGCATGCAGTGCCCCCCTCGGACCCTGCCTCCGTCCCCGCAGTCTTCCAGCCATTCGAGGCGATCCCCGACCTCCAGAACAAAAACGCCACGCTCACCGTGTCAGCAATGCTGGACGTCTATCCCGACCCTGCCGGATTCCGCAAGGGTTGGTGGGACACCTCCATCTCTGCCGATGCCCCCGAGGTTCTCCAGCAAGTCATTGCCAACTACGGTACGTGGGTAGCAAACAACTTTGCCGACAAGCCTGAGGTCGTCGCTGTCCTCCTCATCCAGCCCGTCGCCCTCTCGACGATCCAACACATGCAGAAGAATGGCGGGAACAGTCTTCACCTCTCTCCCTCAATCGGCGCCCAGATGAAGATCAACACGTACATTACCTGGTCCAATGCCAGCCTGGATGCCTTTGTCGAGAATTCCGCGACTCAACTCGTCAGCGAGACGGAACAGCTTGCTATTGATGGTGATGCATTTGACGGTGGCTTCCGTTATATGAATTACGCAGAGAGGACTCAGGACGTTTATGGTCGTTACGGGGCTGGTGCTTTGCCCGAGCTCCAAGCCGCGGCTGCCAAGTATGATCCTCAGCAGGTTCTAAAGAAGCAGTGGAAGGGGTATTTCAAGGTCTAAACTCACTCAGCTTCGCGTCTCTCGTATGAGTGAGCCCCATAGCCTCTCGATTCCAATAGTAATTAAGCAGGGTTTCCGTTTTCCTTTCTGTGATGTAATAAACACCGAATAATGGTAAAAGAAATAGTCCCTGGGTTTGTCAACTTCTTCAAGTCGTTGACAACACTTCGAGTGCATTTTGCGTGATAATACTGTAAAACTTACCACACTCTTCCTAGGTCGATATGTGAAGTCACGGAAGTGTTGAGCATTCTTCCGCTCCATGTCGTGTGTAGACAGAATTACAAGGGCCGTCAATAGATCGCACCAGAGTTCGGCCGTCTTGGCTAACCTTCCCCTCTTGCTCCATGGTTGGGCTCCAAGAAAGGTAGGGAGGAAAAAAAAGAAAAACCTTGAAGCACAGTTTCTTGGCGGGTATCGACAGGAACTGCAAAAAGAAGCCTCCCATGCCCGGATTCGAACTGGGGTCTATGCCTGCTCTCATCCTTCAATGAGAGGGCACAATGATAACCCCTACACTACATGGGACTTTCTGATTCGCTGATGGGGCTCCGGCCACCAAAGTAACCGGAAGAAGCCATCGTGAGCGGGTCTTCGAAAATGAAGAGTGGAGGATGGGATACTTGACTTGAAAGTGACTACGCTTAGTCACGGGCATGTGGACATCACCAAGGTCATTTCCAGGGACAGAGAGTCGGAGCCTCACGTTACAGCGTCACTCATGCTCGTCAATTCCCGAAATAACGGCTAGAAAATGTAATGGTACAAGTGAAAAAAGAAGAAAAGAACGAGGAAAAGAAAAAGCAAAAGAAATTAAGTGGTACATAAGTGGGATCAATCCTCGGCCTGGGATCATCAACCTCACATCTTGATTCTAAAGAGGTAGCGCAGCTGCACCTGTGCCACATCGTAACAGATGTACTCGTTGTAATACAGGGAGGCGCCTTGGACGTTTGTGTCCGTAGGGGCGGAGGAGATATCGGGCTGTCGAGACACAAGAAAGTCAAGATTAGTTTCTTTTCATCTTTCCAATTTGGGTGGCCATGTGCAGCATACCATCTTAACTCCCTTCAGGGAAGGGTGAACGACGCCGGCATCCTGCCACTTCAGGGGTCCGGTCCGACCCATGCCGAAGGTGGAAGACATGTTGCCGTTAGCTGCTGACGATCCAGCGTTGTAGTCTGCGTTCACCAGCTTTTGCATGGGATCACCAAGCTCGGCCTCGCACAGCAGGAGAAGGGCGTTGCCTTGAGACGAGGAGTGGAAACAGTATCCCGCGGACTTGGAGGACATATCAGCGAGATAAATTCCCTTGCCAAACATGTAGCCTAGATATGGGAGTCCCTCGTTAGTAATCTGGCAACCAGAATCGCATCTTCACTTCGGAGACTTGACCGAACCTGTAACCGGCGCGCACGGTGGCGCAATCAGTAGACCCCGACTAAGGATCCCACCGAAGTTGGTGCACCGTGATCCATGCCAGAGCAAGCGTCTGTCGCTCTTGATGGACGAGAAACGGCTCGATTCGAATCGAGATTTCTCGCCATTACGCTCGATTCGGAAAATTTCCATGACTTGATAGTTGAAGTAATGGGTGCTGCCTTTGGACCCGTGAAGGTAATCGACGAGGAATTTGAACTCGTTGCTGCTCTTGTCTAGAGCCGTCATTTCCTGCATGCCCAAGTCTTGGTAGTGACGGTCAAGGGGATGGATGGAGCCGGACTGTGTGTGGGCCTTCATGATGTCGTTCGCTACTTTCATATCAGACAAGCTTTCGAGGAGCTCGACCTCCTTCTTGAGCATTGCGGAGTTAACAATGATCGGGGGTCGGTTGCGGCCGAAAGCGTGAGGAATCAACGAATAGTACAAGTTTGAGAAGTGCTCAATGGCCGCACCGCTCTGCATGTTGTACGTGGAGGCCGCCGAGGTGGGGTCGGTAAGCACGGTGCTCAAGTCCTTGAGAGCCTGGAAACCTCTCGTGATGGTGCTCTTCCCCAACTTGCCAAGCGGCAGCTTGTTGGCATCGTAATTAAGGGACTCCATTACGTTGCTGAAAAACTTGGCGTTGAAGATGAGCTCCATGAGTTCACGGACTGGCTCCTCCAGAGTGCAGTCGGCCATTTGTGGCAATTCATCGTCAGAGTCGTCGCCGGTTTTGCCAGCTTTGCCAGCCGCCTCATCGTCGTCCGAATCCGGGTCATAACTCCGTTCAATGTATGCATATTTGCCCGGCTTTGGAGCTTCGGCCCGGTCCGCCCAGCGATGGCCAGACTTGTCTTTGAACTTTTTCTCGAAGTTCTTCATTGCGTCGTCGAGACTTCCGCTGCCGAGCAATGCTTTCTGGCCTGCCTCGCCCACGCGGCCCCATCGTGTCCAGGCGTAGAACGTCTTCTTACCGGCATCCACGACGAGCTGATCCCAAGAGCATTAGAGATTGAGGAGAGAGGGGCGGTGCGTCAGGGGCGGGGGGGCTTCATACCTGCACCTTGTAAAACTTGTTATTATTGTTGCTTGCATTCGTCTGGTTGAGCGAGGCGTCGTAGATAACGCCATCCGAGTCGATGTAGACGACAAAGCCCGTCTTGCCAGAAAGATGGAACAGCTCATCGACGGGAACCACCAAGTTGGCGGATTTAGCGATTTGACCCTCGGCGACTGGCTGCTTCTCCTTCTTCGCTTTCTTTTTCGGTTCCTCGGGCTCTGGAGTCTCGTCCTTCACCTTGGCGGCTTTGGCGGCTTTGCCAGACTTTGTGTCCTTGGCTGTCTTTCGTTTCTTGGGCTTCTGAGTGCTGTCATCCCCGCTAGCATCCGCAGAAGGGTCGCTCTTCGCGATGGCGATCGGCCGCTTCTTAACTGCCTGGAGAGAATAGTCATCTTCCGCTGGGCGAGCGTCATCTTCAATCGCTTTCAAGGCCCACTCAATATCCACAATGGTAACATTGTTGGCCTTGGCAGCCACGACTTTGGAAGAATCCTTTGCGAAATCTTCTTTGTTGGAGACAAGGTGGGTGGTGGCGGCTGTAACGCTCCTGGCGAATTTGGCGCCGAGTGCTGTCAATTGCTTCTGCAGGGTTGCGTGGGAGAGAGATGGAAATGTTCCGCTCAGGGCAACGACACAGCCATCAAGTGGCAGAGAGGGATCAGCCCCATTTGCTGCAGCTGTCGAGGCTGGGGGAGTGGTGGGTGCCGCGCTCTGCGAAGCATTTGCGGCAGCCGCCTGCCTCCTCGTAACACGAGCCATCGCTGTCGCTGTCAATTGACGTGGTAAGCCGTTGAACAACTGAATTAAAGGGGTTGCATCTGGGTGCGTACAGTTGTATGGTGGTGGGATAAAAGGGGGAGCGGGGAATTTGCCAGGCCAATCTGAATGGTCTGGCTTTGTAGTGGGGGAGCCGGCGTGTTCGAGTTTGGGGGGCAGCTGTGAGGAAGAATCAATCGGTGTCTTCACCCAAAGAGTTCGCCGATGAGCGAAAGAAAAAGGCCAACTTTCCAGGTGTGGAATCTCAAGGAGAATGAATTGGCGAGTAGACGAGCGAAGGAAATTTGGGGATCATTTGGAGCGGAATTTGAGGGATGGACGAACCTAAATAGCAAGTTTCTCTGATCCTAGGCTAGGAATCCTCAAGTGCTCCTTCCTCAGAATTGAGCGCTGGCAAAGCTCGAAGCGCGTGGTTGCCTAGTGCTACAAAGCAAATATTTTGTGTACCCTGAGGACTTTACTTGCTCAAGACGCGAAGGCACGTGGAGCAGCTGAGGCCTAAGGGAAACAAGAAACAGCCAAAACTGGAAACCGCCGCTCAGGCCAGCCTTGGCTTGATGCCACAATCAGGCACCCGCGCCCCACTCGCGCAGGCAGACTCGAGCTTGGGAAGTTGCGCTGGGGATTTTGGGGGTTGGGGGGGTTAAAACGATCAATTGGTGTAGGCAAGCGCAAGTTGCAACAGATCTCCCGAGCTGGCAGACCACCCTGCGAGTCAGCAGCCAGCAAGCATCAGGGCAGGAGCGATGAGCATATTAATTTGCTGATCAGTTGAGTCACCATGGCATTTTCCAACCACATCAATTATCTCAGGAATTGATTCGACGAAGTACCATTCCAGCAACTCTCTCTGTCCTGAATGTGCTCCCAGGCTGTTCACCTCAAATCAGACCAAACCTCGGTCCACGTGAGGAGCTCCAAGCCCTGATCTGGCGCCACCACAGCCCCTCCCCAACCTCAGAGCAGAGCCGCCGCCCTCCCTTAGCTTTTGACCGCTTGCCTCATATGGATGGCACGTTCCAGGTCCCAATCTTTGGGCAGCAAGTAATCCATTGCCGTGTCGGTCGCCGGGCCGTATTGTCTCGGAATCCAACACTGATCAGGAGTCGGGACGGGACAGATGACTGTTCCCGAGAATTGCATGAGCCTCAATTCCGTCGAGATTCCTCTCATCCCTGGCCAACCACATCGAGTCGTCCATTCGGTCAACGTTGATTCGAAAATAGTTAGCTCATCCTCTTTTGCTTCTCCCCTGAATCAAACAGTTACTGTTACGATTTGTTTTGTTTCTTTAATTCTCATTCTTGTTATATATATATATATATATATTTTTCCTTGTATATTCCGATCAACACCATGCGTGGTCTGCTATCATAGCATCACGCATTGAATGAGCCTGGGCAAGCCAGCCTTCCCAGCGCTCGTGAGAATATGGAGGATGTGAGAATGCAGTATATAGTCCCTCCACAGACCTTGCACGCCCGACTTCGAAGCCTATTCTAGCCAATTCTCTATCAACCTTACTTCCGAACTTCCTTTGTAGGATCAGGTTTCGCTCGTTCTTGGAAGTGGTCCCGCCAGTGGAATCCTACGTAGGGTGATGGTTGCGAGGAGGATTCTTGATCGTTTTAATTGGTCATCACATTGGAAATGTTTCCTCGGCAGGCCTCAAGGAGAACTCTTACTAAAACATCTTCAGCGAGGTTTTTGTCAACTTCCCAGCCCAGGGACTTTCCCGCACCTGCCCGCTAGAGAGCTCTTCGCCGCACAACATCTCGGACCTCCGTGTCCCGATTGATGTCGCTTAAGACCACCAGCTCAGTGCTTTGCCCTTGGCAGATCTGACTAGTTCCCCACGGCGCCCTTGATACGGGACAGGAATTTCTCAATTACCTTGACAGTACATTGGTCGATCTATGCCATTTTGTAGGCCGACATAGCAGCTATGCGGTTCTATACTGCCGTGCCTCCCTGGCTTCCTCTCCAACTGAGACTTCAATACCAGTTCCGCGAGGCAGGCTAGTCGTGAGGTCGTCCCGAACTAGGCCTTGACTATGGTTTTCAGTTACAGGAGAGGAGCTCGGGAAGAGTCACACAGGATAGGGTTTCTTGACTCTTTACCCGTTCCAAATTCGAAGTGTCATTAGTGGCAAGGGGGCATGTGTTGGTCCTCAGATATTGGAGATAAAAGTGATCCCCAAATAGGTGATGAGATTAAAGTAGTAAACTCAGCTTGTTCTCTTCGCGCATCTATTTGGAAATTTGCCGGCTGGCTTTCCTTTCAAGGTGATTTCATGACTTCCTGAATAGACGGAACACAATCCTGGAATTTCATGACTTAAAGGTCGGTGAGTGGTTTTTAGGCCGCCGAGTATGCCGAAAGTTCCATTGGCAGCTCCGGAACTCGGCCGGTCTTATCAACTCCACATTCCTGCTTCTGCAAGACGCTAGATGCGGTTTCGGCTGCCCCCTTCAAGAATAGTCTCATTTTCGGCGATGCATTGAGAGTCGGGATGTCCTTGCCAAGTTAAAAACGCTCTCTCCTCCTGGCCTGTCAAGCTGTGGAGTTCTGCTTCTGCCGCTATGCCAGAAGAGGCAGTTCTACGAAGTACTCTCACCAAACCATCTCATGACCCCTCTGCAATGTCGCCTTACTGATGAATGAATGCTTGCCAATCTGGCCTTCGGGGCGTACTGTCAGGGAAAGTGCAGTTCGGGCCGGTGACACGGTATTATCAGCAATCGACCGGCCCGAGTGTTGGATGGCAAACTGTGATCCGCCGCCCCCACCGCCAGATATGTTCGTGCATCCTGAGTGCCGACTACGGCTCAGTACCAAGAATATAACTTGATCACTCCCATCCACTCCAGAGTCTTCTAGTATTGGGACACCCTTGCTCGTATTCCAATCCAATCCTCCTTTCATCCAGTTGCTCGTCACTATGGAATCCGCTGTACTTCATCGCGACCTAACCAAGACGTACCCGATAGCTGTGAGTGGGGAAGGAGTTTACGTTATCACTAAGGAAGGCAACAAGATTCTAGATGGAAGCAGCGGAGCTGCAGTGTCCAGCGTCGGACACGGCAACAAGGAGGTCATTGAGGCAATAGTGGACCAAATCCGCACGCTAAGCTTCGCCTACACTGCTTTCTTCACCTCCCAGGTTGCGGAAGACCTGGCATCTCACATCATAGATCAGAGCGGCCCCGGCACATTCTCAAAGGTTCTGTTCACAAGTTCCGGCTCTGAGGCCGTCGAATCAGCGCTGAAGGCTGCGCGGCAATATCATGTTTTCAACGGCGACCTGAAGCGTGTGAACTTCATTGGGCGGATCAACTCGTATCATGGAAATACCCTGGGTGCCATGTCTGCCGGACTCAATCCTTCCCGAAGGGAGGCTTTTGAGCCCATGCTGGGTTCTGTTTTCCACCACGTTAGTCGATGTTTCTATACCGAAGACGGCAAGGGCCTCAGCGAGGAAGAGTATGAAGATCGTCTCATAGACGAATTCGAGGCCAAGATGCAGAGTCTGGGCCCGGAAACGGTTGCTGCGGTTATCGTGGAGCCCGTCGTTGGTGCCAGTCTCGGTGCGGTGGCTGCGACTCCGACTTACCTCCCCCGACTGAAAGCTCTGTGTCAGAAGCATGGCATCCTGGCCATTTGGGACGAGGTCATGTGTGGAATGGGCCGCATTGGGTCGTACCACGCATGGCAGAGTCTTGGTGGGGCTATACCCGACCTCCAAACAATCGGCAAAGGCTTGGGAGCTGGCTATTTGCCGCTCTCAGCTGTGCTCGTCGGGACGAAAGTTTACGATACATTCAACAAGTGTGCTTCCGGACCCAAAACGTTCATGAATGGTCACACATTCCAGGCTCACCCAGCGGCATGCGCGGGCGCCCTTGCCGTACAGAAAATCATCCAGCGCGACCAACTCCTTGCCAATGTGCGGGAAAGGGGGGAACAACTCGATTCAGCGTTGAGGGAGCGTTTACCGGCTCACGTGCTCGAACATCCCGGAAGATTGCGTGGGGTGGGGCTATTCCGGTGCGTGGATTTTGGAACTCTGGGAGCCTCTCTTGGTGGTCCTTTGGCGCAGGAAGTTGCCGATGAAACTTTTAACAAAGGAGCCGCCGTGTACCCGTGCTCTTTGCCGAGGGACGCAGTTATCTTGGCCCCTCCATACATCATAAGTCCGGAGGAGATTGAGACTTTGGTGGAGGCTTTCTCCGAAGCAACAAAGACTGTTCTGCAGAGGCGTGGTGGCTTGAGGTCCTAAAAAAAGTACATAGGCGAGGTGATGGTTGACGGGAGAGCTGTTAGATTGTGGGTTATACCGGGTTTCCGAGACATTATAGTACAAACGGGGATGTCTACATAGTTATCACCTTTATTTGCTCTCACTGGGCTGTCTCCGTCACAAAACAAGTGATACGTAGCAGTGGCGTCTTCTCTCGGATGGGGTTCGAAACCAGTTCGATAGACGCAGTCAACAGCACTCGAGCTTCACTCTATATGCTTCATCTCACTCACGTGTCGTGAGTTGTAGGCCAAATAGGTCCTATAACTTCAGCCGCCTTTACTTTCCTATCAAAATGGGGTCTAATCATCAAAGCGAAGTCTTTGAGGAAAATGTCTCAACAATCTCCATTGTAGTAAACCATTCTAGTTTATGAATTGCGACCATAGATACGGTGCTTGCTTGGGAGTGTTAGTTAGAGCGACTTTTCTATCGGCTTTTGTCTATCTTTACCAAGTCTCCATCACTTGATATCCCGGTTCAGACGGGCGGTATTACCAGCCACTCGTCTCACCTTAGATGGGAATAAGTTCTATACCGAATCTAATAACTGCAGAATATTTCCCCTGAAAGGAAACCCTGTCTATCTTTGATCTTGGAGTGATGGTGGAGAGTTTGTCTCGTCGCAAGCGTCTTAAGGTTCTGCGGGATAGGGCCAGTGTCATCAGTATCATCACCGTCGGCAACCTTATACAAGCCCCGGAGGCAGTCAATGCCTTGGCAGCCAGATTCCACTAGGTAACTTGCCAAGGAGCTGAAGTCGCCAATGGCATAAGGTTCAGATATCGTTATAGACTCAGATTCGTTTCTTGCGAGATACGCTACAAGTACACGCCCACTTGCCAAAACCGTCGCTGTGTCCGTGCCCCACCTATGGAAGGAATCAGTCCATCGGAAAAAGAGAGACTTGCAGGTCGAAAGATATATGGCGCATTTTGTACTATTACAGACAGTATAACCTCGATATAATCCTTCCAAGGAAACATATGGCCTTGGAAGAGATGCACATCATCCGCGGTCTTGTCTCGAATTTTTTACCGCCATGAGACCCTACTCAAGCACTCTAATTATGCAGATATGCGTCGCCTAGCCGAGTGTTCTTGACCCTGAGGGTGATGAACCGGTGAAACCTGTAAAAATATCTGCTTTGGCTTTCGCTGTTCGTTGATCCATCACTAGAATTGTTACCTCTGCAAGTTCACCGTCTGGGAGTCGTTTGCTTGATCATCATCATGGGTGACCAGACCTTGGGATAGACTCCAAGGTCGTTGGATTTGAAAAGCAAGCGTTCGCTAGTCGTTACTGTACCACAAATCCCATCATAAGTAGGTCGATGGAGGACAGTCTAGTTGAACTCAGGCGATGATAATAGGCGAGGACGTTATCGCGTGGCATGTGTAAACAGGGTCCTCGGCCAGCGCGAGCTATTATCTCTGCTGTGGGAAAATTGTATTCACAGGCTTCGCCAAGACCGGCGCATCTTCCACGTGGTGGCCCCGCCGCATCGTCGCACTTCCGTTCCAGTCTCACGCCATGCGTCTTTTTCTAGATTTTATCTAGGGGAGTGAGCGTAACCAACATATATACTCTAGTTGCTAAAAATAAATAATGGAAGCGGAGCCTTGCCCCTTCGTGAGGGCCTTTATTACGTCTTCTCCGCGGACGTCTACTTCGTAGGTGAGCTTGGGGAGGTGAGAAGACGATACCTCGTCAAGACGATACCTCGTCAAGACGATACCTCGTCAAGACGTTATGCAGAGAAGGGCTAGGATGAGTTTCTAGAATTTTTCCCGATTTAGATGCTGGTTCAGCCCTCGGAATCAATACAATCCGAGATGTATAGAGGGGGCCTGTGAAGTAATCTTAGGAAATAAGATTTACTCCAACTGCTCTCGCTCAAGACCGTGACATGTGCATCTACCCCCAGTCGCAGCCGTTAGTAGGCGGTAGTCAGCTATTAAGTTTACTTTCCATCAAAAGGAAGGTACTTTGTAGTTGGTAACAATTTCTCCGCATGAGTGTGGCTGTTTGAGGACAGTCTGGAGGTTGCTTCACTCGAACGTTATAACATTACGATCGAAGCCAAGCATATGAAGATGGGAACAAGTCGTGGACAAATCAGACGAGTTTCCTTGTAGATCTCACTGACCTATATAAAATCGCTCGGCTTGAAATTCCACATTCGACGTCCTTCCTGAGCTGCTGCCTGTGGTTAATCATCTTCAATGGTCCCTGTCCTTTGTAATTATTGGAGCAGACTCGCCAGATGTTCCACCGGATGTGTTCCGAGTTTGGACAGTCTCCGGCGGAGGCTCAGAGCTAACATTAAGGGGGACGCACTTCGTCAGCTTCAGCGGGGTTGAGCAACAAGGTCTCATAGGGCACTCTCGTACGATACGACTCTCTGAGCTGCGGAGGTTGCCCTTCAAGGGTTAGCACGACCCACATGGTCTCCGAGTGGTGCTTGAGGTGATTCGCCATGCCTCAGACTAGAGCCGATTTGATCTTGGCGTCCCTTCTCTCCCCAAAGCCTCCACAATCTCCATGGCCCCGACCATCCGGGCGAGGCCCTATCAGGGTGCTTCGACGGTGTGCACTCCACAGGATCCAGCACGGGAATTTGCCAGTATCAGAGGCTATCTCCATCCTCTGACCATCCCCGCAATCCGATGCTTGTCAACTCCGCCCCCGCAAAGAATCCCCAATCCCGTTTTAAAAATGTCCGGGGCCCCAACATCATGAAATGCCCAGACTCTACGCTTTAAATCTACCCCAGTTTTGTTGAATGTGTGATGTGATAACGACATTGAATCGTCCTCTTCTACTTGTGTTTTTGTTGTGCTTATAACCACCGTGTCTGGACCCCTTCTCGAGGTCCGCCTGTGGAGTTGGAGCGCAAATCCCGGCCCTGCCGAAGACCCACCACCAGAGCAAGAAGCCGAGGCTCATGTCCAGGAGCCCAGCCATTTTAGCACTAGATCGACGAAGACGTTGAGCTCTTCATTTCTCGAAACCCTTGCGATTGATTGATTTTTTTCGTTCCCTCCAGTTTCCTTCGTCATGAGCTCCAGAGAAATGTCGTCAAAACCTTCGTTATGTACTGCAAAATCCGCGTCGGGACGGAAACCGACCCGACGACGGGATCCTTTAGCCTGCGTTTCCTGCCGGCGGAAGAAAATTCGGTGCGACACGATTGAAGGATTTCCTTGCTGGAGCTGTCGCCGAAACAACACTGAGGTATGCCCTCATGTAACCTTCTCCCCGCCTTCTTGCCAGAGTTCCAGGCGCTGATTCTTGCTCAATATTTTCAGTGTATCCGACTTCCAAGTCGTCATAATAAGCCGTAAGCATTGTCCTTCATTCATCTTCTCCATCCTTGGTGTGGCTGTGGTTAACCAGGTGCGACTCTTAGACCTAAGAAATCCGGTAGCAATGCACCCCAAAAAGAGGTAGCATTACCGGCGCGATTGCCGAATGAGATCCCCCGGAGTGAGGTCCTCGATGTGGACCTGTCGAGGCCGTTTGGCCTCGTTCTGGAACCGACCTTACCATTACCCATCCCTGAGACGGCGAACATCATCTTCAATAATCCCCACCCAACCCCTCCCATCAGCTATGATTTCTCTCTTCCATGTAGCTCACCTGCCATACCGCCTGTATTTCCCGCTTTCTTGAAGCCATTGCCAGCCAGGCTCGACGCAACGGACACGCAGTATCTTCAAGCCAAAGGCGCCCTAACTCTTCCAAGCCTCGAGTTCCAGAATGCGCTACTCAAGGCCTTTGTTGAATATGTCCATCCTTACATGCCGGTGCTTGACCTTGGCGACTTCCTCAATATCGTCTATCATCGCGATGGTTCCAAAGGACAGACAAGCTTGGTTTTGTATCAAGCTGTGATGTTTTCGGGCGCAGGGTTTGTCAGTATGGATGAGATTCACAGGAATGGCTATTCCACGCGGAAGGACGCCAGGAGGGCTCTCCTACAACGGGCGAGAGTAAGTTTGATCTTGCCCTTTCTCAAAAGAGAAGTCAGCAATATCGAGGGACTGTGGTTAACTGACGTATCATAGTTGCTCTACGATTTTGACGTCGAGTCAGATCGGTTTCTTCTCATCCAGACTCTACTCCTGATGACGTATTGGTATGAAGGCCCAGACGATCAGAAGGATACATGGCACTGGCTGGGCATCGCCATCTCCCTAGCTCGCTGCATGGGAATCCATCGTGATAGTGGAAACAGGATGACCCAGTCCAAGCGGGGACTTTGGAAGCGTGTTTGGTGGTCTGCCCTGATGCGTGACCGTCTCCTTACCCTCGGCTTGAGGCGGCCGACTCGTATCTACGAGAAGGACTTTGATCTGCCTATGCTCGAGGAAGATGACTTCGATATCGGGGTCATAGACAGGCACCATAGTGGTATCCTTCCTAACTGCGAGCTTATCCGAAATGTGGAGATGCAGCGTGACCTCGCTTTGCTATGCATAGCCAAGGTGAAGCTTCTGGTGTGTACGGGGCACATTCTCGATGCACAATATGCCATGAAACCTCGCGAAACCTTGAAGCCGGGGAGGACTGCAGTCGAAAGCACCATGATGATCTTTCCCACGAAGGCACTCGAAGCAGAGGAAATCAATCGTGCGGACGAGGAGCTCAAGGAGTGGAGCAACTCTCTTCCATCATGCTGCGAGGCCCGCCCTCTACAATCATCGGACAAACGCGATGGCTATGCCAGCATCGCAGTCCAACGGGCTCTACTGCACATGACTTATGGTGCCACGATCTTGGCCCTCCACCGATGCCGGTTCCTCCCGAACCTCCCCGCAAAGGCCTCTTCCTCGTCACCTGCGGAAGTTTCAACTCACAAGGCGCGCGAAGCCGCCATGCGAATCACACAAACAGCTGCGGACTTGCTCGAATGGAATCTCGAAAAGTTCCTCCCCGCTAGTGGCATCACCGCCTTCCTTCCCAGTGCAATCGTCTACCTTCAGCAGATGAGACACTCCGATCCCGAGGTGCGGAGCAACGCCATCCACTCCTTCCGCGTATGTAGAGAAGTGATAGAAAAGATGCGTGTCTTGTACGTTACCGGGGATTTCGCGGCACTGCTACTTGACGCCGGCCTCAGGAAATTTGGCCTTCACGACCTGGTAAATGGCTCCGAGACAGGAAAGGGGGTGATCGAGACTGCGAGTGGAATGCCCACGCCCGAAGACTCTCTGAGTAACCTCAGATGCGAATCTGATTCAATGGAAGAGGGGATGGAAGTTGACAAGCCCGAGGCTACCCTTGCAAACCCGGGTCACATTTCAGTAATGGACATCTTCTCACCGCCTCCGGTAGATTTTGTGGTTGGCGATACAGGGTTACTGGAAGTCGGGAACCACCAACCCGACGACGACTTTGGTGTACTAAACCTTTGTAACATGGATCTGGCTATGTTGGGCGAGCTTACCGAGTTGGATTCAAACGCGTTGTTTCATCAGACTGCGGGGACGGAGGAGTGGTGGACTGAGTCTGGGTCCAAATAAGTCGAAAAGCACCGGTGTTTGAAAAGCTGAGTTATGAGGTATTCTGGTAAAGCAACTCTGGGTTGCCGTCACGGTCGTTATGGATTACGAATGCACTGTCGAAAGCTACATGTATGTTGATTAGGGAGGCTAGGTCTAATATAACTTCGGAGTCTCTTGTATTAATGTTTCCATCCTCGCCGTATCTATCTCGGGATCTATCTCGGGACATGTGCTTTCCTTTGCCTATATCTTGTGCTTCCGGAGAGAATAGTCTCCATGCTGTCCAGGGTTTTCTGTCAGGGCCAAGTTACTTAGTCGAGGGGATTCTAAACTAGTGAGAACTGCTAATAATACCGTTGCACTCTATTAGAACTAGCCCGTCTTGACATTTTAAGCTCTTGAGTCGGTGAGATGGAGTTGGTAACTCTCCGTCAGCTCGACAGCCTACTGATGTCACCGGCTAGCAGGGGTAAGTCCATTTCGGTAAGCGAGCATTTATTGAACCCACGGTCCACAATCCCACTGTTGCAATGTCCCAGGACTCACGAGACGAGGAAGATGACTTCATCCTTCCTATGAGTTGGTCTTAGACTATAGAGCAACCCGAAAAGGGACCCATCTTCCAATCACCCTACACCCCAGAGTAAACTAAGTTCGAGGGCAAAAAGCCATCAGACACGAATGCATGTGGTGGGCGGATACGAAGGTCATCACACAGCACACGATCGCATTCCTCCCAAAACGCACGATTCAACCCCAAAAATAGTGCCCGATTTTAGAGCTTTAGGTGTGGTATGTTGCCGCAGGGGTGGCGGGTTAGGCCGTCTGTCTCTGCTGTCCCTGCGTGATTTGAATGGACGCCAAGTCGCGCCACTGACGGATACGAGGTGGTGTCGCATCTGCCCTGTGCTTCTTCAACCATTCATCGTGGGGCATCCGACCAAGGCACCCATCTCGAATGCAGATCCGACCCACTCTTTCCCTGGGCTCGCTATTGATCACCCGCTACGATGACGATCGGAATCACGAGGGGAGCTTGACACGAATGAAGAATACCGTGAGAAAGTTGTCATATGTCATGAAGTCGCAGTTTATTTGCTCTTTAGTTCCGGGGTCGGCCTAGCATGACTTGGGATTGGCTCCTTCGTGTAAGCCCGGCATGGAAAAAGTCCGATTCGAACGCAATTGTTTGGTTCTCCTGACGTCGACAACACGAACTGGATGCATATAAATCCCCCAAGATTCTCCAAGCACTCTGCGTTCATTTAAGCTTAACTTCACTATCAGACGAACCTCGAAAACGTCAAATCATATCTTCAGCACCAAAAACCTGACATACTATCCTTTCCAAACTGGTCGAGATGAAATATAATCTGGCTCTCGTCGTCACCAGCCTCATCGCAGGCACCCACGCCACCGACTATTTCCTCCGTTTTGTCGGTGGTAATACCGTCATCAATGGCCAGCTCCTCCGCCTCAATACCTCCACCAATGGATCCCCCGGCGTTTCCGAGCCACCATACAATCCCGCCGACCACTACTCTCGATTCTCCGACTCCGTGGCTGGCGAGCTCCGCGTTATCCCCACCAATCCGCACCCGCCCCCAGTCCCAGGATTCCTCGCTCTGACCCCGGACGACAGCGTCCAAGGTGCTCTGCGACTCTTTGAGACCTGGCACCCCGATGATGAGGGCGTCCAGGTCAGTGGATGGAGGATACAAAAGCCAAGGTGCGGAGGGGCGCAACTCCTTCGCTTTGGGGAGGAAACCCAAAATCGCTGGGTAGCTGTGCAGGAGGTGACCTCGCAGGGCGTGGCGAGATGGGTACCTTGGTGGGTCACTGGAGATGTTCAGGGCTTGGGAGACTACGAGGTCGCGGATATCGAGGTTATCTGGGCGAAGTGCCGCGTGAATTCGAATGCGCCAGGCGGCTCGGAGAATTGCTTGTGAGCAGGGGCGGCGTGTTGTTGAGAGCATTGCTCCTTGACCTGTTAGTTACCTTTTGAAGTTGCATCGACTATTATTAGCACCAATGTTTAATTCTTAGTGAAGCCTTTCCATATTCGTTAATCCACCTATGGTCTTTTGTGCGCCACGCAAGTAACTATTAATATTATATTGAAGATTTTCTTACCCAATGAAACAGCTATTAGAAGGTCAAGTTTGGATAGTATCCCAGTTCATCATGGAAATATGACAACAAGTACTATACGTCCTCAATGGACTGGTTCCCGCCCTTGGGCCAACCGCTTCTAGATATCGACGTCCATGTAGGAATAGGTTGCTTCTTTGCTCAACTACTGGGAAGCAAGTGAACGCGAAGCACTGACTTGCCACTGGAGAGGTAAAACACCTTTCTCTGGCCACGTTCCAGCGGAATGGATACCTCCGTATCAAGAGTGTCAACGTCCACAATAGGAATATCCTGGTCCAAGCGAATTTCTCTGGCCTCTCTCGAGTCGAGCCACTCTAGAGTATAACGAACGCATTGGGACTTATTCTCGATCCCCGAAGATCCTGCAACTGCGTCCGGATAGTCGACCAGTAATCCCAACGTCTCCGTGTCACGAGAGTGAGACATTACGTCCCCTCGCTTCAGCTCATTGAGAGCTCCCTTGTCGCACAATGGCGGGAGCCACTCAACTTCTGCCAAAGGAGATGGTCGAGTTTCGTCAGGGACTGGTGTTGGCGGAACAACAACAACAGAAGGGGGCACAGCGACTTCTGGCCTGTCATCCCCACAACTTCCATCCTCGCAGTTGCCATCTGGTTTGCCCGTTCTGCTGGTAGCTGAATCTTGATTTTCACTTCTCTCCTCGCTCCTCTCTTCAACAGCATCAAACTTAGTTTCTGAAGGTGCTAAAGCACTAGTCTCAGCATCGTTCTCAGTAATCACCCCAGCTGTTACACTCTCCACATCATCACTAGTGCTTGATCCTTCGTCTTCAGAATCCGGCTCGTCCACCCCGTGGCGCTTCGTATTTTCCAGTTCCTGAGGTACGGAATCTTCTTCAGTCCCTTCGTTCGGATTGATCTCTTCTGGTCCAGTACTCCCGGCTACAATGCCATTTAATAGGGAGGTTTCCGAGAGTAGAAGTGAGTGTAAGGCACTCTCATTTGGATCGGGATGCTTGATGCGCTTGTTGGTCTGGCGCATCGTTTTCAGGCTATCCATCCCAAACTTTTCTAGCTGAGCATTGAAGCCAGACTTCATATTCACAGTCCCAAAATTGGGTAGTCTCCAACGATGATACAATCTCCCATGAGAAGAAGGGGTGTACATCTTCGCATGTAGCGTGATGAATTGGTTGCAAAGAAAGCAAGCATGCTTGCTGGAGCACACAACTCGTGGATATCTCCCCCTCGGGTACAAGTCGCAATATGCCAAGATTTGAATCTCTGCGTGGACTGTTGTCGGTTCGAGAATGGCACTGGTGTATTCCAAGAACTGAGCCTCTGCTATTTGGTCCGTCGTCTCGATTAAGGGGTGAATGAATGCCCTGCTCTTCTTGCCCTCTCCCAGCCGGCTGAAAGCGGTCCCGAAATCGGAAGGATTGGTCTGGGGCCGCACCTGATTCAACATGTCGGCCGGCAGGTCCACGGCAACCACCGTCATTTTCCTCGCAATGGGGAATTTCTTCGCAGTCTGGCATAAGAATATCGCCGCTTCGAAGTATCTGGAAACTCTTTTAATCATTTTTTCCATCCGAGACCCTCCAGTTTCACCCTCCGTGATGATATTCCATTTGGGCAGGCTTCTCAAGATGAAAATCTCTCGGATGAGCGCTTTCATTTCTGCAGGTACGCTGTGCTTCTTCCACGCATTGGCCTGATGTATCACGGATCGAGCCCTTGTTACGAAAGACTGAGTTTCAGAATCTAAACTCTTTGTGGGGTCGGTACGCCGTAGCTCGTCAACGGCTTCTTCAAGCAATTCTATGATGGATTTCCCTGCATTGGCGCTATTTCGAGCCTTTCTGGTCTTCTTCCGGCCCAAGTTGAGGCGCTCGAGAATCCGCACTTCACACATGGATATAATAGCATCCATGACTCGATCGCGGATTTCCCCTTCTTCCTCTGGCAGACAGCCTATGTCAGAAGGTGGGATTGCTCTACGACGAGGAAGAGAGGTAGATCCACTCACTCTGATCGATGAAATGAAGGTGGCCGAAAATCCGGTCGAATCCCTCGACAATCTTTTGGAGAGCAGACCTTCCATCCTCTGTGCTCTTACGATTTACGGCAACGAGGACATTGAGCTTCAGCGAGGAGCCTTTCCCGGATTCCCGGACTGATGTAGCTGGGATACGGCCCGGGTCGTCTTTCAAGCATGACAAAAACGCTAAAACCCCAGTTAAATGTCGTTCCCGATCGAACGGCAGGCTGTACTCATCATGCCGAAAAGCTAGGGAGCTCGGACTGTTCTTCAGGGCCTTTTGCGGTATTTCGTGCAGGATTCGGAGGAGGGCGATATTCTCGGCGCATCTAATCGCCGCTTTGGTGGGTCCTTCCACGGGCGGTAGCTTCGGAGCAGTTCCGCCCATGATTTATCATCGCCGGGGGTAGGATCGGGGGGAAATGAGAGAAGACGTCGTCTGTTAATCAAGAAGTTGGCTTTACATTGAGTGATGGATCGTTACGACATACTTAGTATGTGAAGGAAGAATTACGAGGCTGCTGTTTCCCCGCCGGAGCTGGAGAAGTTGAGTGTGTGACTCTTTGGTAGTTCCATGTCGCAGGCCAACCGCCAGCCTGTCCCGCGACCCAGATGCTGGGCCTCCTCCGCCTTTTTCAACTTTTGCCAATCGGCCTCCGGACTTTAGAGGAAGCAACTGTATGTATACACTTTTCTACTTCTCCTAGGGCTCTAAGCCAGCGCCACTTGGCGGAGATGGCTACACTTTCGGCTGACCCAAGTACTCGCCAAGTAATTATACTGAAGTCGTTTGCAGGACGGACGATCTCATTCCAGGCAAGACGCCGACCCTTTCGATTAAAATCGATGTATCAGTGAAGATTAGCAATGCCATTCAAACTAGGTCTGATCTCCAACTGCCATTCAAATGTGATATTCTTTTTATGTACTGAATACTATATGCTATGGACATGATTGATTGACTGGCAAAAGATGACAATTCCCAGGTGCAAGCCCTCATAAACGCCGTCATCGTGAATTTTCAATGCACTCATTTCATTCCGTCCAGTCTTTCTCGGAATCCCAAATTGTCGAAGCGAAAAGTCCCAGACGCGATTGCAAGCCCAGCGGCCCAGCCCCTGACCCTCACACAATAAAAAAAGAATATAGGTGGAAAAAAAAAAGAGTCGCACCCGGTCATGAATCCTCATTCCGCAGCATCGGATGTCAGGCTAGCTGAAACACCCCCTTCGAGATTGGCTTCCCTCGTCCTCTCTCGCTCATTGACTCCGATTTGCCATAAACCTGCTAATCCGGCTCGACTCCGGACCAACCCTTGATGGATCCCACTTGGATCCACCGCTTACGGAGCTCGTCTCTAGCTCGTCGTCGAGTCGAGCGAACTTGCGCTTAGCGAAGGGCCACCTTCTCCTCCTGTACCTCGTCGTCATGATTATGGCAATAATTATGATGAGAAGAACACCACCGGCAGATGCACCGACGATAGGAATAAGCATGTTGTTGGAAGAAGATCCCTCACTAGGAGCAGGGAGGGCCGGAGCTGACTCGGCGGCATCGGCAATGCCGGGCGTAACATTGTCTAGAGGCGTTTGCACGTCTGCTACAGGTGCAGGTGCGGGCGTGTCTTCAGTGTTCGGTATCGCGACCGGCGTCGTTTGGGCGGCAGGTGGAGCGGCGGTGGGCGTTGAGTCTGCTGGCTCGGGCGAGGGGGTCGGGTCTGCATTCTCGGGAGTTGGGGTGGGAACCGCTATTAATGTGGTCGCTGCTACCGGAGTGGGAGCCGCCGGCGTCTGGGCATCGGGCGTCGCGGCACCGCCGCCGAGGAGGTTTCCGAGGTCGACGTTGATGAGGCCGTTGTTAGGAGGCGTAGTATTATCGGCATTGTTGTTGGCATTGCTATCGTTGTTGTTGGCATTGCTATCGTCGTTGTTGGCAGCATCGCCATCGGCTGCGTTTTGCGCCGGCGTGTCTGGTGTCGGCGCTGTATCGCCACCGTTGAGAAGGTTGCCAACTCCGCCAACTGCACCCCCAACACCGCCGAGAAGATTGCCGAGGAGACCGGACATGGTGAAATCGGAAGAGGAGTGGTGAGTAAGACGGATGGATTGCGGATTAGATTAGAAGGAATAATGAAGAAGAAATGAAAATACAGCGAGGAATTATAGAGAAAAGGTCATTATATTCTTCCTTTAATAGCGAATAGGCATATATCGTCGATGCCAATGTCTTGATCTGATTGATGTCATGTCAAAGGAGGGAATATGTGGGCGGTTGGGGGCTGATTTGAAGGGATGTCCTGGCTAGATATTGCCTGGCACTCGACCAATGCATCCTCGCAGCCCTACACTACGTAGTATCGTTTCGACGCCGACTCGTTGGCCTCTCAGCATCATCGTTGTGGATAGGAGAGAAAAGGGGACTGGGCTTTTGTGTGGTTGGATTCTGTTACAGGCAGGAGCGGGAAGGGTTTCATGAGCAAGGCAAGTGTTTGAGCGCCGCCGGATAAAACAGGATTTTTGTTCTCCGTGCACATCCAAAGAAGTATGGGGAATGTTGATCACTAAAGACAATTAGATATTTGCAGCAATTTATTTTATTTGATCGTATTTTTTTGTAGAAAGATGAGTGTATCACTCTGTTGGAACATTAGGTGCTTTTCGGGCGGACTGTCAAGCCTTCTCGTGGGACAACCGCTTGTCATCTTCATCGTCGGTGATGATGGGGCAAAAAGGAACAGACAATCTCACTGGACTGACAAGCCGGGATCAAGGCCCTTCAATGGCGGGGCAAAATGCAGACCCTCGACGCCACAGTAGATCATCCACAAGTGGTACGGTTTTTCCTCCGTCGGCCAGCATCGCCAAATGGATGCCCCGTCCTGCGACCCTCGACTCCTGAAACAGGGGACAACCCAAAAAATCAAGAAAAACATCGGCACAACATTCCCGTGGACAAGCGTCGTTTCCGATCGCCAGCCAAGAGCCAAGAGCCAAGACATAGACCCCGAGAGTCCGACTGTAGTACTTCGTACCTGTGTAATCATTTCTTCGCATCCATATCTCGGTCCAGGCCCTTGAATTAGACTCTATCGACCAGTACTTCGCACGAGGCCCGGAAAATCACCAATGATCTCGAGTCTCCCATTTCCCGGAAGCCGACGAGATGGATCGACATGGACCAGCCAGGTAAACCCCGGTGTAGCGTAGAACAGATCAAGACCAGCCTGCAACCAATCACCCCTGTTCATCTCCTTGTAGAGCCCACGCGAAACAGGACGGGACATCGATATTGTTGGAATGTCAAACCTACTTTGTAGTAATATTAACAACATCTAGACAAAATAATCCGTATCCGCGTGGGCTACTTCGTATTACATTCATTATTGCCTCCCCAATCCCAGCTCCTCACTGTTGTCAACCCATGCCGGGACTCTCGTCTTTCGTATTGCTGTGAAAAGAAGAACCCTCCCACCCATGACCGAACGCCGTCTAACCCCTAATACTGTTTATACAAATCATCATCATTATTCCGCATCACCCATGAAGTAATATCCTATAAACCAGAGAACCAGAGGTCTCCTCTTCGGCCAATGTCGAACCGACCCATAGAAGGTATCAGAGGTCTCGACTCGATGATCGCCCCTTAAAGTAGGAACATAACCAGTCCGATAGCTAGTAGTGACACTGGTGCCATCGATTTGGCAGCCGCGCCGCCAAGTATTATGGTTGGCGCAACAGGATTGGATGTATTGTCGGGCCCATTCGAATTCGCGGAGTTAGATTCGTCGCCATCCGATCCTCCGTCGCTGGCTCCCGCGGTTGGTGTGTTTTGCACCTCCGTCGTCGAGGATCCGCCATTACTACCAGAGCCTTCAGTTGAGGAGGGCCGGGGAACAGTAACAAGGGAGCTAGATGCTTCGCTTCCCGGATTCGGAGTAGGATTTGGGGCAGGAGTCGAGGGCTCTGGTGCTGGCGGTTGCTCGTTCGCGGTGGGCTCGGTAATGGGAGGAGCGGGTGGTGGCGTTTGGGGCTCACCAGGTATAGGCTGATCGGCGGGGCAGGGGTATGTCTGGCCGGGCTTCTGGTAGCCGAGATATTTGGACGGTCGCGAGTAGTTGTTGAGGACGCAAGAGAAGGTATAGCATTGTCCCAACGCCGGGTCGAAGAGCGTCGACATGCAAGAGGGCGTCGCGTTGCAAAGTGACGTACAGGCTTCGTTGCTGCAGGGTGCGTCAGAAGCTGTGGCTAGCGCCACTGCTGAGGCGAGAATTAGAGTCGCGACATGCTTCATCATCATGGTGAGTGGGGGGATTGTATTCCCGCGCAACGAGGAGAGTTTCGGAAAAGTGGAATTACCTGCTTCACCAACTCTGGAAGCGGAGAGAAATATTGGAAGAGGCCGTCAGGCATCGCCATAGCTTTTTAATCCATTTTTGTTTCCCAAAAGTTGGGAGGCTGGTGAGGCTTTCTTGCAGTTTCCACTGTCTCGGCGGCAATCACGTGCCCGCCTGGGATCGTGGAACATTAGAACACCAACCACCCGCAATTAAGACTTGCATCGTTCCAAAGCGCTGCATACCCTGGCAAGAATGCAAAAATGAGGCCAGTTTCAAGGAATGCCCTTACGAATTAATCTTGCCAGCACATCATTGAACACTTCAGTTCTGAGCTGTGACGTGGGGCTCCTTGGAAATGGATGGACACGTTCAAATCCCCACTTCAGCCAACAATACGATGGCGGGGCAACTCTCATCATCTCATCAGGACCACCTCACCCACTTCCTCGACCCAAAAATGAAATCGGGTGCGAACAATGTTCTTAAAACATCAATTCAATCAGCAACTTGAATGCTCTTTAAATGCTAGCCAGGTCGGGCTATTGTCAGCCCTCTAAACGCCTAAGAACTCCCGCCGCCCTGCCCCTTCCCGCCCCCAGTTAATGCCCATTTTTACTCGTACAATGATTATTTGTTACAGGTAGCGATCGACGCCGCCCAAGAATGATGAGATGGCAGTCTCCGCTAGGTCTATCGTTATCAAGATGTACGCGCTCGCTGGCAATGCTTCAGAATCCAAGGATGGCAAAGTGCCTTTTCTAATGGTATTCGTTTCGACGGATCAAGAGTAAGAAGCTGCAGTTTCCTTGAGTTAGCCCGATTCGACTCAATAGCCAACAACAACGATGATCACCTACAGAATTGATAAAGTCCTTGGCCTCGGCCGATATGGTCGAAGGCAGAGGCTTCATATCGCCCTTAACGATGCGTCTCTTGGTCATGATCGGAGAATCCTCAAATGGCGCCTCTCCCGTCAAGAACTCATACGTCAACACCCCCAGTGTCCACTGGTCAACTGCCCTATTGTATGTTGGTCTCCCCGGCCGCAGCATCTCGGGAGGCAGATAGTCGAGGGTACCGCAGAGCGTTTCCCGCCTATTACTCGGTGCGTGCACGCTGTATCCGAAATCCGCCAGCTTCATCTCGCCGTGCATTCCGATCAAGATGTTCTCCGGCTTGAGATCTCGGTGCATAACGTTCTTCGAGTGGAGATACCGTAGAGACTCGGCGACCTGCGCCGCGTACTTCGCCGCCCGCCTCTCCGAGAAGCGGCCTTCCTTCCTCAAGGTCTTGTACAGCTCGCCGCCCGATGCGTACTCGATTAGTAGGAAGATCCGCCTTCGGTCGTGGAACCAGCCGTAGAAGGAGATGATCCCGGGGTGCTTTAGGTTGCTGTGGACCTCGATCTCTCGTCGTACGTGGACCTCGGCGCCGTCGTGGCATATCTCGTTCTTGTTGAGGACCTTGAGCGCACAAATGTAGCCCGATGGCCTGTGGCGAACTAGGTACACGCGTCCGAACTTGCCCTTGCCGAGCGGTCTCCCAATCTCGAACATGCCCAAGTGGAGATGCTTGCTGAGATTGACGGGCTTCGCCGCGCCGTCTTGTAACGTACGTGGAGCCGCCGCATTGTTGTCGAAGATGGACCGGCTCGTGGGCGCCGGGGTTCGATTAAGGCAGGAGAACTTGAGGAGCTGCGATTCGGGGGGCGGGCCCGATGCGAAGTCGGTGACGTGTTGGACCATCGTGGTCTCCATTGTGGGGACCTCTTCGCTTGACGGGGAGGGCAATTGAGCGTGGTTGGAGATGTCAATCCTTAAATGTTCGTTGAACCCTGTTGGGTGAGAAACGATTGGATTTGGAGGGGATGTCGGAGTAGTATTATTACATTGTGCTAAGCTTGGGACCCTTGGCCTTGTTTATTTGAAGGTCCGTTGCTGCAGGGACGGGAAATTCCCCGGACTTTCCACACCCACACAGGGTTGAGACAAGGACCCATGATGCTGACATAATCACCACCCTCATTGCACTGCAACTACACAGGTGCCGAGGTACAATTCCACGACTCCTGATTCTGGCTCTTCATTGTCTTCACTCCCCTCAAGCTCAGTTAGGCGGGAGTTTGCCGGCCCAATGCTTGGGGTATTAAGATGGATTTACCGGGAGACTTATAATACGGAAGGTTTTCTCACAAGCTTTGCAATTCTTCATTCCCCGTTGGGAAATCATCTCAGAGAAAGGAATGAGTGCCTGACATGTTAGCGGGGGGAAAGAAGAAATAACCCATTGAAACTGGAAACTGACGAATGAATACTCGGGGAAAACTTGTGATGGGGGAAGGAGATAGCTGACTTAGCGCGTTATAAAGCGCTTCGAAAGAAAGTATCTAGTGATCTATTGGCGATAGCAGAGAGCGTGTCATAGCCGTCTTTGAACAGCCCTTTGATTTGTGGCTATGCTTCTGAAAATCGTGTGCTTGCATGGTTTGGGTGTTTTAGGGCAGACAAACAGGAACATTGCTTGGGTCCGGAAACAATCAACACCATTGACTTCGTGGTATTATGGACTTACCCTGCATTATCCACTATACACAACCCGCTGCCTATGGGCTTTCATTTTAAGCTCAGCGAGAAGAAACATGATGTGGCGGCAGAGAAGAGGGGCAAAGGGGACTCGATGCGTAGAGGAGGAAGTGGCTGCTTCTGCGTCAAGAAACTATGACTATTTCGGGGAAGTTTATTAGCAATATAGCAGCCTTGTTAGGCTCGAGCGGGTGCTGTCACTAGAAAGAATAGTAGTAATACCAGATACCCGAATGATCATGCTTCTTTCTCCCTATCTGCTATCCTACGGCTAACGGGGGATTTCCCTTCCTTTATATAGCAAATATAAATACCTCTTTCCAACCGGATTATTGCTTTCCTTCCTCCCTCCCAACCTCATCCACCAACTGCTCAAACAGGAGCTCCTTCAGCAGCATGTCCTAGTTGTTGTCGTTAAAATGCACAAAAATCTTCCATTATATATCAGCATGTTTCCTTCCCCCGTCGTCGAACATCTACTACCGGAGACGGTAGGCATCCTGGGTTTCTTCCCCGTCTCTATTGAGCCCAAAATTCCCACACCGTCACAAAGTCGGTAGGAATAAATTGTAAGTCTTCATTGCCATTCTTGCTCATCACATTATTCATACGGTAATGGCAATCATGCTCATGATAATTCCTGTCGTAGGGAACATGCATGGGATCATAGCTCAAGACCGATAGAGCTGCCATATCTCCAGGAGCACGCACCCACGCTGCAGCCAGACGTCCTCTTTCCAGATCACTTGCAGCAATGGCACCCACGTCCTGAATCATACGAAGTTTTTTGATAGTAGGCCGCATCATGTGAGGAGGCCGCAAGACGAAGGCACCTTGCATATATAACTAGCTCGTCTTCCTGCAAACACTCTACCTTTTCTTCCTCCAACACTTCGTTTCTCTCTTCTTTGTTTATCCAGGTGTCATGCCGCCTAGCCATCATCGACCCGAACCAGTCGCTCGATCCATGAATAGCCAGGTGTACTTGCGATTTGATCCACCCGCCGATGCCTCCGATGGCGATCAGCCCTCTCAAGATATTCATCTTCGACAACGACTTGTTTCTATTATCTCGGTCAGTTTGTATGCCCCCAACAGGACACATCAGTCTCGGGGATGAAGTGGTTGCCAGCAATTTCATATGGGCTTCGAGCTCGGAAGTGCCAGATCAGGGACTTTGGCGAAATGGCTTCTGCGTTCTTTTCGCTCTCATCCGGGGTATAGATGGCTGGAAAGCTCGCACTGGTCTGCGATCGGTTCAGCAAAAGAGAGCACACTACGATATTATATGACTATAAATCCGAGGTCGAGTCGAGGAAAATGTACTTCGTCGATTCTTCACACGTTCAGGGAGCGCGAAGACCTTCACCATTGGCCAATGCTCTTACCCCATCTATTCCAGAGGATGCAGAGTCTATAGTGCCGGTGTCAACATCGAGCGGCCCCACGGTGCCAGGCAGAGCCGCGAGTATTGATGAAAGCTTGCGGTAACGCAATGTCAGCGCGAGCTTTGCTCTATATATCAATTCGGCATGGACTCAATAAGGCGCTGCCGCCTGTAGTCTCATCAAGGTCCCTCTAAAAGCGCTGGGCTTTCATTACACTCGATGAGCAAAATACCTGACACTGGTGGACGAGGTTTCCTGTCGAATTCAAGGGGAGTCTGGATCTTACATTTTGTCCATAAACGCTAGTACATACTTTGCGACTGGCTCTAGATACGGCGAAACAACTCGAGTGGGATAAAATCGACCATCTGCCGAGCAAACGAAACGCGCTCGCGGCGAAGCTGATCGACAACTTTTGTGCATTGATCTGGCAGAGACAAAGAGACTTCCGGGTAGACACGGAGCGTTCGGCAAGGTCAAGCTTCCTCCCATATCTTTCCACTTCCGGCGAGCAACATAGTCAACAAAATTTCTATCAATTTGTTCAATGCGTCGCACGATGCGGAGACGAACCATGATCCGGTTGGCCTTTCCTCAACGACCAAATTGCAACTCTCCTAGCCCGTCTGCTGAAATGCGACGAGATTCTTATATACGAGCAAATGGCGAACGAGGCTGCCTAAGCGATGGTGCCTGCTGTGCGCGGACTCCAAACTTGATGGATGAAGACGAGGATTTGCCCAAGTCACTCGAGCACCAGCTACTCCCAACTCAGCCAGCCTAGTTGCGGGGAAGGTGCACTGAGAAGTAAGCACTATCAACTTTGGGCGGGGAATTAGGGTATATCTAAGACTTTGTTCGGCAGCAGCGTACTGGGGAACGCGATGAGAATGGTGACCTGGGCGATGGTTGAGGCGGGTGAGGTTGACGAGAATAATTGAGGGGATCAGCATTCAGCCTGACCGGCAGACTAGGTCCCTCGTTACGCTCTCCAAGTCGACGCCACATCTCCTACCCCCAGCGATGACACGCGCCTCCCCTCTCTGCGCAGAGCGAACGGCTCGCTGTAAGGTGTATCTTGCAGCATCTTCGATTGCTGCGCCGTCTATTGATCTTCGCACTTCAGGGCGGTCCGGATCTAGGCACTCGACGATGCCTCGGTCGATTATATGCCGCCAGCTCCAGCCATTTGGGGAGGGAGAGGGGGGAAGAGAGGGGGGGGGAAGCCGCGACTCCTTGGTGTACTTGACTTATATCACGGCAATACAAATAAGAATTTCTACCACGGGGTCAATGATCTCAACTAGACTACTGGCCAGGGTACGGACTAGGACGGGCAATTATTTGTGGCGTATAGTAATAAATGCACTTGTCATACCATAATGTGCTTCACAAACCGTATATGCGAGAATCCAATGTGACGTGTATCGCCATTCCAATGCGCAACCATGCCAGAATGATGGAATCAAGAGGCGCGACCCAGCTAAACCCCCCAAGACCACAAGCAAGCCCACTCATCCTTACTCAGGCTTCCTGCCCCAGACCACTTTGACCTTGTAGAACCCGTGGATATCGGTGTTATTCATCTCACGGCGAAGGTGGGCAGCGTACACCCCGACCTCTTCTTTTGTCCACCCCTGCAGATTCGCCATGTACAATACATAGCCCTCGATGTCAGTGGCGATGGCCGCATAGGCGAAGGTCCCCAGTTCCTTCAATTTCGGGTCCTTTGGCCATCTCCCCATGGGCACCTACGGTTCGTCAGCCTCAAGTCACCCCGTCAGAGCAGGAGGAAGGGTTTGGATTGGGGGAATTCTGCCCGACTCACTTTAAAATCCCTCTCTTCAATGTCGACATAGCCCGCCTCTTCCATCCCCTTCGTCTGAGTCCCATCGACGACCATACTGAAGGTCGCTCCGATCTTCTTTCCCCCCTCGACGAATAGTTTTCCCCATTGAGACAACGCACTCGTCTCCGTCACCGTGCCGTCGTCGCTAGTAAAGAAGGGTGCCGCCTCAAAGCTTTCGAAGTATCCTCCGGGCTTGGTGCACCGAAATGCCTCCTTGAACAAGTCATACCAGCCCTGGACGCTCAGACTCCCTGTCATGTATCTCATGTGGAAGAAGTCGATGGAATCGGGGGCGAACGTGAACGGCTGAGTGCAGTCATCTATCTCACTATAGCTAAGTTAGCCTCAGACGCGAAGTCCAGCGGTGATTACAGTAGTAGCGGGCCCACAATTTCACATTGGGAGGAACCCAAGTTGGCTGGATAGGGGAAATGTCGGTTCCGATGACCTCGCAATTGGGGAATTTGTCCCCAAAGTCACTAGTTAATGATAATAACGTTAGCGTACGCCCTGGTTAAAATGCCATGAAGACAATACCTACACTGCCCAGAGCCCTGTTCCGGTGCCAATATCCACCACTTTCTGCAGAACGAGTTAGCATGGGTGCCCCCAAAGTTCGGCTGGCTGCTTGCCTGGATATCGTCTTTTATTGGCGCGAGATAGAGCTTGCCGTCCAAGGTAAGTGTATGAACATGATGGCTTCTAGGCGTTAATAGCGTCACGTCAATGAATCACTCGCGAGGGACCTACGTAATGTCCATTGCCTCGTTTTGTTTCGCATCATTCGAGCCCCTACGGGTGGTGTGTCAGCTATCCTGTAGACCACATCACCAGACGATGCCGGGGAGATTTACCAGTACTCAGTATTGGGCCTGTCACTGTGATAGGTCCTGCCTAGACGGTCCTGTATTTTAGGATGCTGGAGCTAAGAGAGGCCGTAGAGGTGGCATTATCCTCCAACGTCGAGTCGCCATCATCTGCATCCTACAGCTTCTTTAGCTCATGGTCAACAGGTGTAGGTTCCGCTATCCACTAACCAATGGCGCCTGTGCCCAATGATGGCCCGGTAGTAGATCATCGGTTTGCGGACTCGGCGTCCTTTTCGGGGGGGACTGAGAGGCGCGCTCTTTGCCGGGCGACCCCGCAGGAGTTTTCTTTCCTTCGCTCTTGCTCTCCATTGTGATGGACGTGAATGGTAATAATTGGGGAACGAAGATGATCATCCCATCCTCCAGTCTTCTAAAAGGTTAAACCCTCATTTTGAACCACGTAACGGCGACGACTCTTGAGCGGGGTTCCCACTTCGATTGCAACAATTCGACATGAAATTCAAGTGTTGGGGCAGGGATTGTGTGAACGGATGCAGGGTTCGGCTTCCCGAGCGCACAACTACTTGAGGCAATTGGCCGAGTGGAACAGAATGAACGTCAATGGCATGAGCGAAATTGGGGTCCCCAATAGAACGCCACCATTTGGTCGACTTGCTTCGAGCAGATGCTTTGAACTACGGCCTACCAAGCTCGGCGCTTCCACTTTGGTCTCAATACCAAGCTAGATCGGGCAGTTCCGAGAGCCCAATATCTGCAGGGTCTGTGAGAACGGGGGAAGGAATAAACATAAAAGCTTACAAAATACGAGGAGCCATTTGCCGCACGGTGAGTGTTCAAACAGGAATGTTCCGTTTCTCAAACTCGACTCCTTCAAGGGTCTGTGACTACTATTTACTGGATCGTCCCCAAACGCGCCTAAAGTAGTCGGAACGGGCCGAACCATCGTCATGTTCCACGACTCACTAGTGCCTTCAATAGCGTAGTTTGTACGACGTTGATCCAGCACAACTGTAGTCTTGTACATTAGTCGCCTCCTGAAATAACGAGAAATATCCCATCTTCCGGGACAGGTCCCATGGATTCTACGCTCTACGGCCAGAGCGGAAGAAGAGTGATTGGTACGAATCAACAATCCTCTCAATCCGCCACGGCCTGTTGGAATGACTCCGTGAGCTGCTAGTTCCCCTTCAGGTCACTCCTCGGAAACATAGAACACGACGACACAGAGCCCATGCATCTGATTAAATGCCACGGGAGCAGGTGTTTCTTGTTTCACAACCATCTCCGAGGCGTGGGAAAAGACCAGTTTAGACGATGAAGCTTAGCGATTTTTTTTTTTTTTTTTGGGGGGGGGGGGGGGGGGGGGGCTGCGCAGGTTGCTGTCCGTAAATCTAGATGGGAAAGATGAGCACCCCATCAGAGGCATAGCATAGCATCGCACCATACATGGACAAGATGACAAGATACGGGAAATGGATGACGAAACCCATTTATGTACGGCAATCTAGAGTCTCGAATGCACCTGGAAACGGAAAGAGACACCTGAATGAGTGGAATGATGGAGGACGCCTGGCACTCGACAGGGATGGGTGAGAGATGGACATCATATCTGAGCCATGGCTGGCCACTTGACTAAAACAAAAGCGAAGCTTCCGCGTCGGGAAACCACTTCCAAGCTTTGTCCTACCACGTTCTCTGAAGAGTGACGTCCTGCATCTGCAGAATGGATCCCTGTCATAACGATAAGGAGCGGATAGCACCAGAACCATCCCCTATACAATCGCCAGGCCTTCTAGGCCCTATACCATGTGGTGTGTTCGGCTACCCGCGACGTCATGTCTCACGAGGCGGATTCGGCTAAATCCCACCGCTTGCATAACCTCCTACATTACCGCAATCTACGCTGCAAAGGAAACTGGGCAGCTGGCCATCATTGATGCAGCGTCGCAAATCAGGAGGTGGTAGGATCCTTTTTAAGGGTTTTGTGTGTGAGGTATTTAACAAGTTATCTTCCAGTACACTTTGGTCGTCTTCGAGTCATGGACGGAGGTCTCTCACTGTTCTTAACAACTTCTGAACCGAGGCTTCCAGACTTCAGTCAGGATCTCTCAATGGCGCCCACCCCACCACAACCTCTCCCCTTGGTTCCAAGGTTGGATGAGATCGTTCCCATAGCAGAAGAGGCTATATCCCAAATCCGGCGGACCAGAAAACAGATCTTGGAAACCGTTACGCCAGATACTGCAACCTTTTCTAACACTATTCAGCCGCGCGCGGAACTTCGGAATACAATTCAGGCCAAGTTTGGCATGATATGGGTCCTCGGATACGCATCTCCAGATAGAGAAGTACATAACGAAGTTGACAAGGTGCGAGAGTTGATGAGGAAGGCGAACGCAGAGTGGATGTCCGAAACCTCATGGTTCAAACTAGTCAAGGCCGTCGCGGACAAGGACGAACCTCTCCACCCCGAAGATAAACTCTGGCTGAGAGATGAACTGTTAAACTACACTCGCTGTGGGCATGGGATCCTCTCCCAGGAGCAGATCGAGAAGTACCTTAAAGGTCGAAACGAAATTGATGCGATGCGAACACAGTTCGCTCAGAACCTGAGGACTGAGAACGGTGGTATATGGTTCAGCCTCGAGGATCTAGATGGTATTCCAGCCACATACCTAGATTCGTGGAAGAGCAGCGAAGCAGATCCGGACAAGAAATTCGTCCATTTTACAAATGGTGGCACCAAGACTGTCATAACCTACGCGAATAAAGGTGAGACTCGGAAGCAGATGTACCTTGCCAACGACAAGAAGGTCCCAGGCAACGTCCCGCTCTTCCAAGACATCATAATGCGACGTGATATCCAAGCTCGGATGCTAGGTTATGCTAGCCACGGTGCCTTTCGAGTCGAACGGCGAGCGGCAAAGTCTATCGAATGGGTTAGTGAGTTCTTAGGTAAACTCCGGAACGACCTCGTTCCTCATGGTAGCGAAGAGCTGCGCCTTCTGAGGGATCGGCGAAAGAAGCACCTTCAAGACCAAGGAATAGACCTCGAGTGCGATGGCTTATCCCCTCCATGGGATCAGAAGTACTACCAGCGCTTAGCCGAGGAGGAGCTCAACATCGACCGTGCCAAGATTTCCGAGTTCTTTCCACTCGAGTATACGGCTCCAGCAATGCTAGACGTTTTTGCGGAGTTCCTTAACCTCCAGTTCTCTCCTGTGCCGCAGGGCGACCTCGAAAGCACGCTAGTCTGGCATGAAAGCGTACGGGTTTGGTCTGTCTGGGAGGGGAGGAATGGGGAGACTAGCTTTGTCGGCTACCTCTACTTCGATCTCATCTGGCGTGAGAACAAGTACCAAGGCTTCCAGAATGTTACTATTGAGAATGTATAGACCCCAGTCTCACACCTAGCTCTCAGTTTTATGTCTTGAAGATGGGGGCTAATAATTCTGTAGGGATATCTAGAGCCGAATGGCACCAGGAGATACCCCTCCACTATCTTAATGTGTGCTTTCCCAGCTCCTCCAGCGGGCAGAGCTATACTACTTAAACACGAGGAAGTTGTCACTCTATTTCACGGTACGTTTCCCCAGTATCTAGCATCGAACATTGATAGCTACGAACAATGTCTGATTAGATTGGGAAGAGCTCGGGCATGGTATTCACAACCTGTTGTCAAGGACAACGCACGCACAATATCATGGAACGAACCTGCCACCCGACTTTGGAGAAATGCCAAGCGTTATGCTTGAGAATTGGTGCTGGATGAAGGATGTGCTTAAAAAGCTGGGCTGCCATTTCTCCAAGTTAAGCCCTCAATATAGAGAGCAATGGCATGAGAAGCATTTAAGTGACGCCGAACCACCCACGCAGGTTCCCGACGAGTTGCTGGATAGTCTAATCAAAGGACGCAAACTCAACCTGACCATGTGGTATCTCCACCAACTGTACGTTGACGGTATTCCTCCGCTAGGCGGGCCAGATCAAGCAGCTAATAACATTGCCGGACAGGGCTGTTTCAATATTCGAGATAACCGTCCACAGTCCCAAGACTCACGAGGAGATCCAGGGCCTCGATGCTCAAAAGCTCTGGTATGATCTGAGGGAGCAGATCGAAGGACTTGATATGAGCGAGGCTAGATTAGAGGGCCATGACCACGTTACCTTTGGCCATCTCTTAGCCGGATATGATGCAGGGTATTATGGGTATTTGACGTAAGGCACTTACATTTCTTCCTTCCTATTCATTGCGGCTCGTCGCCCTGTGCCCCTTGATACTGACAATGGCAGTGCACATGCTTGGGCGTTGGACGTTTTTCGGTCTGTGTTTGCTAAAGACCCTCACGACCAGGAGGCCTGGGAGAAATATCGTCGGGGCATTCTCGAGCATGGAGGGTCTTACGGCGACGAGGTCAAGATGCTAGATGACTTCCTTGGTCGACCGTCAAACTCGGATGCCCTTGTTGAGTATCTCAGTGGCAGTTCATAAATAGACGACGGGCGCCTTGTAAAATGATGAGCGAAAGAACCACGTGGGTTTAACGCCGCCTCCTCGCCACCGAAGCATGCCCTTCCTCGAATGATCTCTCTTTTCTCTCGGGCCTTTCTTATTACGTCTCAGGCTCTCTCACGTAGTAGTAATCACACATCGCCAACAGAATCTATGAAATCCAAAGAAACAACTCTAGAATGTATGTAAGCTTTCCTAGTGTTGGATGAATGCCTCCCCTTTCGAGACCCTGAATCTAACTACCCACTCACCGCACAACCATAATGTTACAAAAACCAAGAAAAAATAAGGTCAATTACAAGCCCAGAACAACCCATCAATACAACCCATCATCATCACTGGCCGTTCCGTCCTGGAACCCAGCAACCGCCTTTCCCTTCCCCTTCGACCTCCCATTCACTCTCCCGAATCCCCCGTCTTCCTCGTCTTCATCGTCATCCCCATCACTAAACCCCGGAAGCGCTAGGGCCTTCCCCTTGCCCTTACCGGCCGCAACCGGAGAAGCTAGGCCCTTCCCCTTGTCCACCACCTTTCCTTTTCCTTTATCCCCCTTCCCACCATCCCCAGCCGCCCTATCCCCCTCAAACGTCCTCCTCACCCTCTCATAATGCTCCAACTCCCCGGCACTAACGCTAGGCACAAGTTCTTTCTGAGCTTCAAGGAAATCCACCTCCGTAACCTGCACTGCCAAGTCCTCCTCCGTGGCGATGTGGTCGAAAAAGTAGGCTGTGGAAATCGTCCTTCCTTCCGACGCGGAGGAGGCGTTGAGCCGCTTGATGCGCGTGTCCACGTGGGCCGCTTGTCGCGTGACGGCTTTGAGCATGGCGTCGGTGCAGAGTGCGTAAAAGTCGGCACCGGTGTAGGTGAAAGGGAGTTGTGCAGCGATGTTGGAGAGGATGACGGACGGGTGGAGAGCGAACCTGGGTATCTTATGTTAGCAAAAAAAGGAAAGAAGAAGAGGGGAGCAAGAAGAACATACTTTCTAGTCAACGCCTCGAGAATCTTAGTCTGCTTATCACGCGTATCCGAAACCCCCAAATAAAGCAGCTTGTCAAACCTCCCCGGCCTCAAAAGCGCCGGGTCCAAAAGATCCGGCCGATTCGTCGCCCCGATAACAAACACGCCGCCGACATCATCCTCGCCGCCCGACATACCATCGAGCTCAGCGAGGATCTGGGAAACGATTCTGTCCATGACACCACCGCTATCGCCCTGATTTCCTCGCTTGGGTGCCACGGAGTCCAACTCATCAAAGAAGACGACGCAAGGGCGCGCGTCGCGAGCCCGCTGGAACACGCGGCGGACATTGGCCTCGGATTCACCAATGTACATGTTGAGGAGCTCGGGGCCCTTGACGCTGAGGAAGTTGAGACTGTATTCGGTGGCGATGGCCTTGGCCAGGAGCGTCTTGCCGGTACCGGGCGGGCCGTAGAAGAGGATGCCGGACCGCTTCTTCATACCCTTGGCGAAGAGCTCGGGGCGTTCGAGGGGGAGCTGGATCGTCTCCGTGATGGCGTCCTTGACATTGTTGAGGCCACCGACGTCGTCCCACGTCACGCTGGGGATCTTGGGGGCACCGATGGCGTCGGAGAAGTTCTTCCGGACGGCGTCGACGGCTGCGTCAAAGTCCTCCTTGATGAGACAGCGGGAGAAGGGACCGCCGGCAACCTGGACGTCACGCACCGAGACCGGGAGTTTGAGGGAGCTCGAGGTTGGTGGTCTGCCGTTTGTGATTTGCTCGAGGCGGGATTGTTGCGCGATGACAGCGCGGTCTACGACGTCGACGAGGTCTCCCGCTACGAGTGCGGCAGTCTTGAGCGCGATATTGCCAAGATCGACGGCGGGGTCCACGCTGACGCCCCGGTCATTGATCACGGATTTGAGGATACCCTCTCTCTCGGTCTCGTCGGGCGCTCGCACCTCCAACTCGTGGGTGAACATGCCTCGGATGGTATCGGGGATCTTGTCCACCTCGTTCGTCGTCGCAATGAGGACGCGCACGCTCTGCAATATATCCTTGAGTGAAGTGGCGATCCGCTCAGCTGTGAGCGTCTCAATATGCCGTATTACCAGTGCGCAGCAGTCCGGTCCGCAGCCGATCGCGCGGTCCGCCCTGGTTGTCAGGTATGCTTCGGTCTTAACGTCGCCTCCACTGCCACCAGACTCGCTAAGGATGTCGTAACAGTCGATAGTAAAGGAATGAATACCAATATCGGCACACGCGGCCTCGGCTACTGTCGCCTTTCCAATATCACGATGGGTTGACACGAGGAGAATGGCGACGGGCGGCATCTTTAGATGAATGGCCCTCTGGCTTGAGGCTGTGGCAATGAGCTCCCTCAGTTGCCGCCGTATCGGCGAGATGTATCTGACCTCAGGCTCCGACAAAGATGAGGTAGACGGCGCATCAGGGAGCGGCTTAGCCCCCTTCTTCAGACCGAGATAGTACTGCCAGTGGTTGTCCTTCGTGCCGGGAATGCGGCTTATCTCGAAGCCAGACACGTTGAGCATAACCGACAAACTATCCACGCTCGCTACGGAGCCCCAGAGTTCCTCGAAAGTACCATGCTCGCCCTCCTCTGACTTGCTGACCTGGATATGGTCAACCTTGAACCAAGCGACAGCGGTAACAGTTGAGGTTCCCTTTCCAGCAGCAGAGGCGCTAAGGGCCATCACATCATCAACCTCGGCCCCGTCAGAACTCTCCCGCATCGCCTTCCCGAGACGAGCGTCGACGGGTATAGCAAGGAGATCGCCGGTGCGCAGGAGCCTAATCTTGCGTGCGAAATAGCGCTTGATACCGCCCAGGACGGCGGTCTGGTATGCGCCCTCGGTGGTAATTGGCGATTTGACGCGATGGATGCGAATGTCACGCGCATCCGGTGGACGGGAAGCATTCGTAAACTTGGGCAAAGTTCCCTTGCCTTGGTATGAGCCACGCTTAATGGCGGAGATGCGAACGTACGAAGCTCCGTCTAGGTTTGCCTGCAGGATGGGAGAGATGTACGCGGCCGGACTCGTCGGTTTTGGGACCTGGGAGTCGAAAAAAGAAGGCCTCCTGCCGTCGTGTCGCTGAGAACTCGGAATCCTCGTCATGGGCCTTCGCGAATGGCTTTCGGGAAGACTGTAGACCCTCACAGGGCGCCAGTTTGATACTTCCGTTTCATTGTGGTTGAAACTGCCGAGACCAAATGCGCCGAAGCCGTTAACCGGGGGTTCCTCGGAGGCTTCGATGCGTACCCAGTCGCCGGAGAAACAGCCAATTTTGGATAGAGAAGTGACATCGACATAGACTCGCGCCTCTTCATCGTCCTCGGGTGCTGGCTTCGGGTGGAGCAAATCGTCCGGAATAGGTGCTATCAAGCCATTCGCCTTAAAGAGGCGGCCCCGATGCCTGTCTTGGCGAGCAGTTGTAGCGGTGAAATTGGTGAAGTTGGAGAACACAGAGCCAGGCGTGCTGATGCCGTTTACCCTCCTACCACGACCAATGGTGGTCGGAGTTCCCGGCTGGATGGTCGACACACCGCTGGCGAGGGTCGGCGGTAGCGTAGGAGCGTGTAGCGAAATCATGTCATCCATAGAATCATCCGAGAGGTCATCCTCGTCGTCGTTGCTAAGACCGGTGTCGTCGGACTCGTTCTCGGTAACGGATACGAAACCATCAGTTTGGCCGTCGGCGTCCGTCTTGTAACGTTCCTCGGAAGCGGAGTAGAATTCGTTGGTATCTTCGTCATCCTCCCGCACATCGACCAAAGCACGGCTCGAAGAGATGGTCGGGCGAGAGTGTTTCGGAGCATGTATCCTCCCACGACTTAGGATAATCCTCGTATTTGGCGAGAGTATCCCCTGCGAGACGGGCTCGCAGAGAAGAATCTCGCCAGGGTTTGGAGGCACGTGTGTTACTGGGTGAGGGGGAAGCGGTAGGGAGAAGAGATCCCCACTATGTATAACCGTAAGCCCCCCGAGAGCAACGCGTAGCGCGGTTTCAAGCGGGGGTTGGTTAGGTGACGCAGCGGATTTGCCCTTGATGGCTGATCGGTCCCTATAGAAGGTGCCTTCGCCATTCTCCAAGCGCCTCGTCAGTTCGCTCTCGAGCTTGACGTATACCGTATCCAGCTCGAGGGCGACCACGTCCAGAGCTAATATGTCTATGCCACTCCTGATATGGCTCGACAGCTTCGAAGGAGCGACCTTTTGGAGAGTCTTGGCGAAAGTCTGGAGTGCAGACGACGAGGGCGAGAACCGAATAGTCGAGGCAGATATTTCAGAAGACCGTACTACCGGAACAATTGACCAAGGCGTATCGGCCGCAGAGGAATTCGGCGTCCAGGGAGTAATGGCGATATGGAAGACGGTGGGCTCGGTATCATCTTCGCCATCAGGAGATTCTACATGGCCAAGTCGGCACGTTAGAAAGACGAGACGAACGGGGGAAGAGAGGACGGAAAGCCGAGCAAGGTGCGAATGGCAAGATCCCAAGAACTTGAGAACTCTACTAACCAGCATGACAGTGAGGAAACAGCTCCCTGAACAAATCATCAGATATAGCACCAACATCCCCTTTCATATGGTCGGGTAGGACAAGCCGAGTTGCCACGGGGGGCTTGTCCTCCTTCCTCCTCCTCCTCACACGCCTTTTTGTTATGGCAGAAGGCGCCGCCATCGCTCACGGTCCGGATCTGGCACAAGCGACGAAGGGCAAACGAAATACTCAGCTAGTATTCCGGGAACTGGGATTCGCAAGACTTTTTGTAATGATCGCTGGCGAGGCGGGATCGAGAGGGTCGAAACGACGATTATCGAATTACAAGGTTAATGGAACAGAGAGGGAAGGGAAAAGCAAATAGAGTAAAGACGAAGCAATTGGCATTGTCGATTAATGTGACTCTCCGTCTCGATTTGTCCCGAGGTGGAAGGTCGAGTGTGGTGAGTTCGTCGGTCAAACACCAAGCTCCGCGATGCCGCGCCGAGAATTCAAGTTCAGAAGGTCGAGCCTCGGCACAGTGGCGGCAAGGGCCTGCGTGACCCATTGAAGTTAATGTGGAGGCACTGGAGGGGAAACCGGGGCTGCCTGCATAGCTTGATCAATGAGACAGTCAATTTCAATCCTTGGTCCAAGTGTACAAGGGTACAAATGAGAAAAGCAAGCCACGTAATTTTGCATGTTTCCAGAAAGCTTGTGAATTGTGGCTTGGCTTGTGGCGCATGGAGAAAACTCCCTCGCTAACATCAATGGAGCAGGGAGAGTGGCTTGGGCTCCTTATCGAATCCACAGCACAAGGGGAAACGGGGGCTTCATAACGACAAGCTAAGCTGCTTGAAACTCAACAACTGCAAGGCAATAATCCGATGTAGTATAGTGGTTAGTATACTGCGCTTTCATCGAAAGGCACCGCAGGGGCCGGGGTTCGATTCCCCGCATCGGAGCTCATTTTTTGGTCCTTTTTCTCTCCTTCCTACTATTTATTTTTACTTTTTTATTCAGATTCCCTCCCCAATCTGCAATACATAATAATTCGCTGATTTTTTGCAGTTTAAGGTAGGTCTGGTATCAAAGTACTTTATGTTGTGTATGAGGTCCTTTTCTAGTTAACGAGATGATTGATGTGTCGAACCAATCTCTTCCGACGAGGCAAAGGGGGGGAGTCGAATATGTTCGTTCATTTGATGTATCTCGATCCAATGCCACGGCATCAAGATCAGTACCGATACAAAAGATAATATTGTCTGACCTCTTATGCTTCTTCAAATCAAGATTCATCCACCCCAATTCCCGTTTGTGGCTACCTGCATTCCGAGTCTCATCGAGCCTCCACCTTCCACGAACGGAAGCCTAGAACTGCAAAATACGACTTGGAAGACCTGTCTTATTCTCCTTCTCTTGAGCTCACTTCCAGTCACCCCAATTTTACTTTCGGGCCTGATTCTCGCCAATATCCATAGGCAACAAGTACAAGAGCCCGCTACGATTGTCTCGTCCAAAACCAGGCGGCGTTGATATCAGGGAAACCGCTTCCCATCCTCTTCATAATTGATCAATGCCAACGCAGCCAAGACGGGAAACTGGGCTCTACTTCGCAGCCCTGCAAAGGGGACAATAGTTGATTCCTTTCATCTTGATCAGTGACGGGATATTCCGACGAAATCGAGAGACAGACACAGGAACTGTTGGGCAGTGAAGGGCCGCGTCTCCGCCGATGTTGGGGATGGGTTTATTTACATTTGATCTCTCTCAAGACAATAACGTCTAGAGCCCACAGAATTATCACGTTTTCGGCCTCGGGCATGAAGAACGTGAAGAAACGTGAAGAACATGAAGAACCCAGGCTGAAGCATATGCTTGATTGACAATTGAACTGATCACTGCTCCGACTTCGTCGCGTCGCAAATGACATCGTCGATCAAGCTCTCAATTACATCGGTTTCTCCCACAGCTCGACGCAGGCTCCCAAGATTAAACAGAACGTGACATGCGCTGTGCCTGCGACATCTGGGATCACTTCACGGCCGAACCCAACCGGAGCGCGATGGGCAGAACCTTCTTAGCAGCCAAGCCCGCTCGTCCCCTGCAATTAGCTTTGTGTCAAAATCTCTTAGTCCTATGATAAGCTCACGTCAAACCTCGCCCCATTCTGCAGACCCATTAACCCCTGAGGTGACTCTTCTTGTTTTACGACGACGGGATATGTGATAGGTGAAGAGGCCCCCCCCTCTTCGACCTCACGTCATGACGCTAGTTTGTTTCTTCCCCTATTCCGAGGCACTCAAACAAAGTTTGCATCGAGGCTATGCCGCCGCGGCAATGCGTATATCCATCTGTCACTTGTCACCGTCAGAACGATGACGGAGAGTGCTTGAAACTAGTGGCTTAGGGTGGTTGACGCGTTTTCTTGCTCACCGAAGGCCTTACGGTTTCAATCTTTTACGTAGGCCATGTTCGGTTCAAGAGGAGACTGCCTGAATATAAGATCCTGTGAATAACTAGCCAAGGATGTGATTCTCGGTTGCCTGCTCGATTCAACTTTCCCTAAAGCCGCCTTTTACTTTTGTTATTCTTCGAGGTGGAAACATGTCTCTTGGTTATGGGCAGACAGGGTCATCGACTCAACTGCAACCTCTTTCTCCCTCCCGACGCCATAGCAATGCGGCTCTTCACCAGCGAACTCTAGGTGTATCCTTTGATCGCAAGGATGACCGTGACCACAAATCAACCTTGATTAGGACGGAGGAGGTACTCATCCAACCTGGCAATAGATTTCCTTCATACGTCGAGAAGAAGGCTACGGAACGGCGGTCGAGATCTCCCGAAAGGATCAGCAAAGAACTCGAGCGACAGAGGACCAGTACCTCTGCAGCAAGACAAACCGCAGAGACGAGCCATCACAGAGCCACACTATCTACCTCGACGAATACCTTGTTTCCCCCTCTCCCAAGATGGCCAGCGCCATCTTCACTTCCCCGTAACCTCTTGTACCTGGGCTACCGACTCGTCTCATTCTTTCTAAGCCTCGCTTTCCTGTCCGTCATTGTGTTGGGGGCACTTTTCACTACTATACCGATGGCTGTTCCACGGCCATTAGACAAGTTTCGAGGGATCGGTCGACGACACACCAGGAGACGGTTCCATGAGGAAGAAATAAGTAGGCGGGAGAGGAGAAGACAGCAGGAAGATGCGTGGAAAAATACGAAGGTGCACAAAGGGATGACAGGCGATCAGAAGGACGAGGAGTTTACTCCCACCGAAGGAGGCGCGGATCCCATTGTCTGCGACATCAGATACTATGCGCGGAGAGTTGGGTTGGACGTGGAGGAGTTTGATGTTGAGACTGAGGATGGCTTCATCATCAGTCTGTGGCATGTGTACAACCCGAAAGATTTTTCCGGACCCGCCGATAGAAGTGTCCCGCCTAGATTAGGAGAGTGTGGGAAGAAAAGATCAATGCACAATAGCGAGAGGAAACCGAAATTCCCAGTCCTCCTGATTCACGGACTACTCCAAAGCGCAGGCGCATACTGCGTAAACGACGACGAATCCCTCGCCTTCTTCTTCTGCAAAGCCGGTTACGACGTCTGGCTGGGGAACAACCGATGCGGCTTCGCACCAAAGCACAAGATCCTCTCTTACTCCGATCCGAGATTATGGTGCTGGAATATTCGCCAGATGGGCGTCCTGGATCTTTACGCTCTCACGACCAAGGTACTCGAAGAAACTGGATTCGAGAAGCTCGGCCTCGTCTGCCACTCCCAGGGAACAACTGAGACGCTCGTCGCCCTTGCGAAGGAGCAGCGCCCCGAACTCGGTGAGAAATTTACGGTATTTTGCGCGCTAGCGCCCGCCGCGTACGCGGGACCGCTCATCGGAAAGATGCACTTCAAGTTCATGCGTATCATCTCGCCCTCGATGTTCCAGATCATGTTTGGGATCCACGCATTCATACCGTTCATGATGACGATACACCGAACCATGCACCCTCGCATATACGGGTGGCTCGGCTACAAGGTGTTTTGGTTCCTGTTCAACTGGGCAGACGACCGTTGGGAGAGGGACCTCCGTGATCGCATGTTCCAGTTTGCGCCCGTGTACGTTAGCGCGGAGTCGATGAGCTGGTGGCTGGGACGGAACGGATTCGCCAAACACAAGTGTATCCTGTCAACAAAGGATATCGTACGGGCGGAGGAAAAGGTCGATATGGAGATGGGCGGGTTCGCGCAAGGGAACAAGGAGATGGCGGCTCTCCGATCGGGAGGTCCCGAGAGTCCCACGCTTAAACGGGCCGTGGAGGTGTGTAGGCGCAGGCCTCGGGGAGTTACGGCGTGGTATAACGAGCAAGTACCGCCGTTTGCGTTGTGGGTGCCTGGGAGCGACGACCTCGTGGATGGAAGGAAGTTGCTAGAGAGGTTTGAGAGGGGCCGGGAGCCCTTTGTGAGGGTTGTTCATAGTAAGGTGATACCGGAGTACGAGCACCTAGATGTCATTTGGGCTATGGATGCCGTGGATCAAGTATTTACGGAGGTGAAGGAGGTGCTTTGGAAGACGTGCAATGCCAGGGACAAGTGTCGGGTCCCCAAAGGATGTGAGGATGTAGAGGAATGGATACCTCCTCCTAGAATGATTGATGAGGAAGGTGGAAGCCAATCCAGCAGCAGTAATGGTGCTGATGATTTATGATGTTGCGTTCGGATCAAAGCAAGATAGAAGAGGAGGTCCGAATGTGAAAAGAGATCCGATGATGTATGTATATACGCAATCTGTTGATTTTCAGGACATCCAAACGCCTTGAATATAATACACTTCTTCATCATCGTCCATCAATCCCACAGCTGCCGTTCCATAGGGAGCAATTGTACCTTCGTACAAGTCGTCCATTAACCCTTCAGTAGCTGTCAGGTGGCTTGGCATGTCTTGCCTGTTACTTAAAAATTGCCCATCACCATCTCAGCTGTCTGAGACCTCCGGGATCTACAAAGTAAGTTCAGGAGTCTAAGCAGAAATCGGATGTCCGGTCCTGAACCTTGGAGGGAGCCGCCGACCGAGGGATTCTGCACAACCCCGGAGCGGAAGACTATGAGATAACTACTCAGTACTGAGGAGGCGAAGAGAGTGACCATCAGATCATCTCAAGGGAGGCGGACTCGCCCTTTCTGTGTAACACACCGAACGGCTCGCTTCTCCACCCCGAAGATCATTTCTGATTCATTTCCCCTAGGATCAGTTGCTTTTTCCGCGACACCCGTTTCGTTCACAAGTAGTTTAGAAAGGAAGGGACCACAATTTTGGGGGGCTCTCGATAACGAGCCAGCGGCGGTTTTCTTTTGGAGGAAATTGGGGGGAACTTTTTTCTTCATTTTTGCCATCGGATCCGGATTACTGTAGTGTCCGAGAATGCATTTGCCATGTCCTCCACCCATGTCTCGGATATGGGCTTTCATGGCTAATATGGCTACCTACAGATGCAGGGAGAGGCGTTTGCGGATCGATGCATTTGACCGGGTGGATTTGATGGGTGGCGATACACTGGGGATTTGAACTTGCTCGATTGTACCTTCCAGGTCATGGCTCGTTGATGAGATAAGCGATCGCCACGACAAAGAACGGGTCGAAGCGGGAAGAAGTGCCCTCGGGTGATTGTCTCGGTGCTCTAAAATGAATCGTGGATTCATTGTTCTCCAAGAAGTTCGAGGGTCCTGTCATCCATCCCGTACCGACATCGACCAATGTGTATGCGTGCGTGGACATTTACGGAGGGTTGCAGATGTGCAGAGAGTACACGAATACATGAACTGTCTCCGCCTATGTTGCCTGTAGAAGGCAGCAGAATGAGCACACCTCTTGGCCCTTGATCAAATGCTTGAAAACAACTTGCCAGCTTCATCTCGGGCCTCGGAGTGCAAATAGACTTTTGGCCGGCTTGTCCCAAGTGGGAGCTGGGAGCACAGAGCACGGGGCAAGTGGCGATATCTGTTCTCCAGGGTCTCTCTCGAAGTCAACATCAGATTGATTGATACAGTGAGACTAAAAAAGTTTCGATCACTCGACCCCGCTTTACGTTTCCCTTCAACAACTTTAAAGTCACTCTCCAACTTTAAATAACTATATCTTAACTATTTTTATATATAAAAATATTATAAAATATTATAGAGGTACATAGGAAGTGTCAGAATGTAATTTTAAAAAGATCCACTAAATTAGTACTTCGTATACCACCCTTTTGCTTCAATTACAGCTTCCAGCCGTTTTTTCATCCCACCTGCTAGCTTCTGCAACATCTCAACTTCGATGTCTTCCCACGCCTCCACCGCAGTTGTTCTTAGTGCCTGGAGACTTTCATAGTTCTTTGGCATATCTGCTAAGTCCGGCCGAAGCTTGCAAACGCGTTCTTTAAGCACCTTCCATAAGTTTTCGATAGGGTTAAGATCAGGTGAATATGGTGGCCAATCGATCAGTTCCACCCCATTCTCTTCAGCCCACGGAACCAACTAATCTTGGACTATTTGGGCTGTATGCGTGGAAGCATTATCTTGAATGAAAATACTACCAGGCTCACATATCGTTGGAAGTGTCTCTTCAAGGAGGTCGCGGATAACTTGCCCAGTAACCCCTCTACATGGAAAATCAAGGTCTCCCTGACATTCTGTTAGTGTAGTGCGATTGCGAAATGAAAACGCAGCCCAGAATATCTGCGAATGCCTCGTTGGCTTACTCTTTAGCTGGACTACTAATTTCTCTAGTTATTTTCCCTATTTTAGGTTAGTTGGTGTTGGTTTTTAAGTTGGAATGTGACTGATATATTTGCAGAAAACCCATTTTCGACGTTGCCCTTGACCACGCGCAATTGTGGTCTCATCACTAAAGATAACCCTCTTCCACCATGATATTCCTTTACCCACATACTTCCTCGCAAAGGCCAGCCTCTTCTGGGCATGTTCTTCTGTTAATTTTGGTCGTTGAATTGCCACTTTGTGTATAATATTATGTCGTTGGAGGCATGATATTAGAGTGGTATTTGCGCAGGCAAGATTAGCCTGTTCTTTTAGATTCCGGATGGAAATGAAAGGGTCTCTCTTAATGATTAAGAGAATATATTTGATTTCGTTAGTACTGATGCGGTATGGCTGCCCGGATCGTGGTTCTGATTTTGCTGAAGTTTGATATCTATATCTGATCGCGATGCCATTGACTGAGCCCGGTGGAATGCGATATTTGGCTGCGATAACTGAGCGAGAAATACCCATTCTATAGTTGCGTGTAATAAGAGTCCTCTTATGAGGCGAATGATGTGTTTTTCTTCTTTCCGGAGCCATTTCTGGCTGTGATGTGATTTTTTGAAGTTGGGGATGGGTAAAGTGGGTGACGCGTTCGCGTCACGTAATTAAAAAAGTGATCGAAACTTTTTTAGTCTCACTGTAGCCAATTGATCAAATGGTTTGGTGGGGTTTGGTGGAGGTTCGACACTATGGACCAATTGACGATGCCCTCCATCTTGTATCAAAGTTTGGGCTGTCCAGGGAGTCAAGGCCGGTCTTATAGGGACAGCCATAATATCCCGACTCCATCGTGGTCTTTGTTGAAGTGGACAGGACAAGACTTGGCCTCTCTGGAGGTACTCGATGTACTTGTAATGGTGATAACTTTCCACTAGCGACACGCACTCAGCACATCTCAGTGCTGTATGAATACCGCGGCGCTGGATAAGCACATTTTACTGCCCACCCGCCCAGTGCAGCGGGCCCTGTCTTAGCGCCGTGCTTTGCTTTCCTTCCGCGAGCTCCGGGCTGTTTAGCTCCAAACCCAGCGCTAGTAAAAAGTACTTCAGCACAGGCTCCATCAGCAATTGTCCCCAAGGACCTTCTTTGGTTTTAACCAATCATCATGACCGATTCTGTCGAAGTCCATAATAATTCACAAGCCTCCCAGTCGAGTGGACTTCCTCGTACTCCTCACATTCGACATTTGACCATCCCACCTCACGACCGACACGATCCGACCCTCCCCCCCTCAATCTCCATCCACCCGGGGGCCAAACTCGTTTTACGGCTCTGTAATCCGCCCATTCGACATCGACAGCTAACAGTCGTAACCGTTGCGCATTTGCTCATCGCATCAGATCTCCATGATCCGAGCCTTTCATGGCACTTGGACGCTAGACGCCAGCCGCTACCTCCCATTCAACTGGCTGAGGAAGCGGCTCAACTGCACCTCTTGACTGCTTGAATTGCGTCGAGTCCACCACCACCACCACAACTCTCGGTATCTTTCTCGTTTAGGTCGGCATCTATCCTGCAGAGCCACCATTCGTCCTTCTCGAGCTGTACAATACTTCCGACGACATCCTCCTCTTTTTTCCTTCCGTTATACTAAACGAAAATAATACTAATAAACCGAAAACCCGACCGGCTCCTTATCCTTCCTCTCGACAACGGCGGCTCTTGAACCCACCGTCCAGATGACGACCGAGACGTCCCCGAGGACCGTTCGCTTCACCGGCGGCGAGGATGATGCGCGACCCGAAAAGTCTAAAGCCCCGCGGCCTTCCTCTCTGATAATCGATCGTTCTATCGACGATGACGATGACTACGCCGACCCACGCCCTCGCTCCCTAGGATCAGAATCGCAGGAAGACTTGACAAGCCTGGCGAGGTACGCCGAGTCTGCTGGCATTCCGACACCCAAGTCGTCGCATGCTCCTTCGGTTAATGGCTCTTCGAGGAGCTCTCGGAGCGGCACTACAGATGCCGACGGCCAGCAGTTGTACTCTAATGGAAGCACACCGCGGCCGATTCGCCCAACAGCTCCCGCGAGAACACCGTCCAGCACCTACGCCCCCGTACGACGCCCGATCCAGGGAAACTCATCCTCGTCATTCAACGACCACGCGCGTTCTTCGTCCAAGACTCGCAGAGGCGATCGATTTAGGGACCGAGCCTACCTGCAGAGGCTGCGCCAAGATTTTGGCAGTGAATATTTCAACTCGTATTCTAACGGCGGTATCAGCCATGGCGACTCCGATTCCGAAGGCGAGACGCCATCGTCCGAAGGACCCTTTGACGAGAGAAACGAAGAAATCATCATGTTTTATGGAAACGATGATATTCAGCCCACCGAAGAGGACATCAAAGACCCTGCCAACCGTGAACGGTTAGAATGGCACGGCATGCTCGAAGCCGTGCTGACGGGAGACGTCGTGAGGCAGGAGAAGAAGCGGCTGATCAACTCGACCGACCAATCTGACGGCAAGTCTCCGCGTCGCAACGAAGAGATCTGGCTCGGTATCAGGTCCAAGGTCTGCGGACGACATTTACCCGTGCAGAGGAGGATGGTGGAAGACGCGCGGTCGGTCCTCGATCGTACCCTCGAAGAAGTGATAAATTTCCAGATCAAGGGCGAGACCGAAGCGGGGAAGCCTCCCCACGAACAGGTCAAGGGCATAGTGGAGGAGATCGAAAAGTGCGGCAACTACTATCCCTCGTGGAAGGCCCTGGTCCAGAAGCACAAGGCCGCCGAGTCTCCGGGTTTCGTCGAAGCGTATGGCGCTATTATGGCGTGGCATAATACCAACGAGCTACTCAATACCGAATTATCCATCCTCAAGAAGTGGGTCGGCAACGATGACCTGGACTTTACAAAGCCAAGGGAGCCGTCTCTGTCCAACACCTCGCTTACCGACGACTCGTCGTTCATCGACCGGCTGATGAAAGAAGATGGACTGAGGACTCTGTATAGCGAAGAAGACGACCCGGACAAGCGCGGCGATGTTCTCGATGAAGACCGTCGCGGTGGCCCTGAGCCCGAGCAGGCTCTAGCCGGAGACCTCGACCCGCACCCGCTCCCTGAGCTCGAGCGAGTAGGTATGCACTACTCGTGGAACGGCTCCGATGGAAAGAAGAAGCGGGACAAGGGCATGTTGGTTCGGATCTCAAGCGTCATGCGCAAGTCGAAACGGACTCTCATCGAAAACTACTCGGCCTTCGAGAAGCGCCATCTACCGCTATACATCGAAGAACTTCTCACTCTCATCAGTTTCCCGTCCCGCCTAGTCGAAGAGATCATCAAGGTCCGCCTCGCTTACGCTAGGAGAGTCAAGGAGACGGCCCAACAGAATCCCCTCATGCTGGACCAAATGATTTCCCAGTTCCAGCTTATCCTGAAACTGGCCATCCGTATCAAGCAAGAATACCTTGCCATCTCGCAGCCCGAGCCTGGCTGGGAGCTTCCCCCTTGCATCGACGAGTCGTTTGACCAAGTTGTTCTCGACGCTCTCAAGTACTACTTCAAGATGCTGAACTGGAAGCTCAGCGGCAATAAGAACACATTCAAGGAGGCCGAGTTGCTGTTCCAGGAGTGGGACTTTGGCAACCACATCGGCGGCCATCTCCAGAACGGACATATCGAAGTAGCCGAACAATTCAGCTCACTCACATTCAAAGCTTTCAATCGCCTGAGTCAGACATTTGAGAAGGAACTACAAGTGAAGCCCAAGGAGAGCGCAGCCGAGCTGAGCAAACGATACAAGGCCTGTCTCGACTCGGTGCGGGTGAGGCAGAGGATGCTGCAGCGATTCTCGCGCATGCTTGGCGAGAACTACGAGACGGCGTCAGACCTCAGCATTTCTTTCCTGGCCGAGAAGATGCAGGCCTTCTACGACCGCCTTATTGAGACGGAACATTTCCGCGTGGAGGTGCCGCATTTCGAGAAGCAGGGAATCTTTCTAATCGCGTCGCCTTCGCTGCGGTACCGCCACGACGATATCCAGACCCTCCTCGCCGTTACATCTCGGGTCCAGTTTGCCGACGATGACAGGAAACCTTACCTCCTGCTCATCCGGCCGGAGACGCCGCCGCACTGGTTCGGGGATACGGTCCAGCTGCCGATACGAGAGCAGAACATTGATCTAAAGCGCGGATACATTCGGCTTTGCGCCTCGGGCTCGCTGGGGCGGCTCGAAGACACGAGGAAGCTATTCCTCGACAGGCTCAACATGCACCTGGACTTGGTGGTGGAGCAGCGGTCCAATATCCACAAGGTCAACTCTCGGCTTACGGAGACGAGAAAGGTCGCGTACAAGCTGTCTAACACGTTCATGGACAGCGCCGAAACCATCCGCCGGCAGACCAAGGGTAAGGACTGTCAGGAGTTGGTGCAGACATGTTTCCTGTTCGCGACGGAGTTCGGCCAGCGCTCGTTGATGTATCTCGATAGCAACCGCAAGCAGATGAACATGCTGAAGCTCACGAAGCTGGCGCTCGACTGGGTCAGCTTCATCACGGACGACTGCATCGCGTCGGACAAGCGGACGTTCCGATGGGCCGTTCAGGCTCTCGAATTCGCTATGGGCATGACGCGGGGTCGGCACATCCTCGCGCTCGGTGAGGACGAGTATTCCAAGCTGCGGTTGAAGGTGTCGGGTTGCATGGCATTGCTCATCTCGCACTTTGACATCATGGGTGCCAGGTCGATGCTAGCGGCCAAGGCGGAGAAGGAGCGCAGCATCGCGACGCTCATGGGTCAGATCAAGAAGAAGCTCGACCAGAACCGGCTCCTGGACGATAACGAGGCGGCTAAGTACACGTTGGAGCACCGACTCGAGGAGCTCGAGAAGGTGGACGAGCTCAGGCGGCAGACGGAAGCCGCGCGGTCGGCCACGGGTCGGGTGCTGGAGACAACCAACGAAGTCGACCGATCCCTCGCTTACCTGTCGTCATCAGCCACGTACGTCACGATGCGATGGCAGCAAGGTAGCTTCATCGGTGGCGGCACATTCGGCAACGTATACGCAGCGATGAACCTCGACTCGGGCCAGCTCATGGCGGTCAAGGAAATCAGGCTGCAGGATCCCAAGTTGATACCCGCGATCGCGGGGCAGATCAAGGACGAGATGGGGGTGCTCGAGATGCTTGACCACCCCAACGTCGTGTCGTACTACGGCATCGAGGTGCATCGAGACCGGGTCTACATCTTCATGGAGTACTGCCAGAACGGGTCGCTCGCGCACCTGTTGGAGCATGGGCGGATCGAGGACGAGCAGGTCATCATGGTGTACGCGCTGCAGCTTTTGGAGGGTCTCGCTTACCTTCATGAAAGCGGCATCGTGCACCGAGACATCAAGCCTGAGAGTAAGTTGCAATCTAGAAAGAGAGAATTATTATTGAAGTGGGTGGCAGAATGACTGACTAATTTATTTTTCTCTCGCTATAGATATCCTACTCGACCATAACGGCATTATCAAGTACGTCGACTTCGGCGCTGCCAAAGTGATTGCTAGGCAAGGTCGCACTCTCGTCAGCGATCTCAAGTCGACGAAGCCGAACAAGTCCATGACGGGCACGCCAATGTACATGTCACCCGAGGTGATCAAGGGCGAGAACCCAGGACGTGGCGGCGCAGGCGACATCTGGAGCCTAGGCTGCGTCATCCTCGAGATGGCTACTGGACGGCGTCCCTGGGCCAACCTCGACAACGAGTGGGCCATCATGTACAACATCGCGCAGGGCAACCCGCCGCTACTGCCTACCCCGGACCAGCTTAGCGAAGAAGGGATCGACTTCCTCCAGCGGTGCTTCTCGCGCGATCCCGCCAAACGCGCGACGGCCATCGAGCTCCTCAGCCACGAGTGGATGATGGCGATTCGGAATCGCGTCATGGAGCCGGCGACGCCGAGCGAGGCCGGGTCGGTCCAGTCTTCGCAGTCGACGCCAGGGACGGCGTCCATCGGGAGTAACTGTGGCGTTGGTGGTGGGAGCCGCGCTAATACGGCTGATGGCTTCTGCTAGGGGGAGAAGTATCGGACCGGAAGGCGGGGTGGAGGAGCTGGTAGGTGGAGTGGAAGTGATGAGCTGGGTTCTGTCGAGGAGGAGAGGGGCGAGGATATGGACGGGGAGGCGACGAGGGGGAGGTTGGAGCTGCGGGGCAGTTTTGATGATGATAATGACGGGCTTTGTGAGGGACTGAAGAGATCGGAATTGGCTCCTTTCGGTCCGAGTTTATCTACTGGCCTTACCGACGAGCAGGACGAGATATATGAAGGGCTTTTTACAATGATGGTCGAGAAGCAACTCGATCCGGTTCGCTACGGTGACGATAATGCAGGGGAAATGGGCTCTGGCGCTACGAAGTACCAATCTGAGTCCGAGGCGCGCGTTGCCGGACCGAACGATCCACCTCCTCAAGACATGGAGAGAGAGAGATTAAAACTGTCGGGTTGTGACGACGACTTATCGGAGAAGATGTTCGCTATGAAGAAGCCTGATTTGCCTACTATTCAGGAAGACGATGACGAAACGTGTTCTCCCAAGAAGAAGACGAAATGAGCACCCCTTTTTTGTTTTTCCCTCATGGTGATCGCCCCTCGCCCTTATCGCGGTATTGCCTAAACTATCACTACTATCACCTCAGCATCAGCCCTCTGGCGCCTCTGGACGCGGCGCGCTGTCTTTCCAGCCGTGGCAGTGGAACCTCGGTTTGTCACGCACTGCGGCTGTTTTCTTCTCTTTTTATTCCTCCTGTTTAATTACCTCCTAATTCCCGGGGTTGGTCGTTGAATTCACGGACGCTTCTTGTCGCGAATACCCTTCTAGTCTTTTTCGTTTTTCCCCTTATTCGTCGGGTGTTTTGAAACGTCTCTTTCTCTTGTCTTTACGCGGTTGTCTTTCTCAATGTATACGAAAATGATGGTTTGTACTTGTTTTCTTCCCTGTTCTCTTTTCCCCCTCTGCTTTTAATTCTTGGAAGAGGAGAACCGAGCTGGTGGAGGAATGAAGGAAGGTGGATAAGCAGGGGAGAATGGGATTGGAGCGCATCATGGCGAGGCGGGTTTCTTTTTTCATTTCCTTTTATACGGAGATTTCCGTTTCTGTCATGGGACGAGGGAATCTACGAGGAAGATGGAGGACGAAGAGGACTGTAGACTGCTACGGGATGCTGTAATCATAAGTCTTATACCAGGCATTGAGTCTTTCGTGATGATTCCGACAGATGTGTGTCCATTGGGAGCTTCTTTCCCTTCCTTCTTCCTCAGATCGAGGTTCTTGTCGTCCCCATGAGGTACCTCGTGAGGTACAAGAGGGTACCGTACCGACCCTGACTGAGCATTAGGTAACAAGTACTAAAGCAAGTCACTGTCTCCCGCAGTCTCCGAGCGGGGCATTGAGGTACATTGTACCGTAGATCCGGATGTTTTAAAGCTCTTTTTACCCCGCGGAAAGGACGAAACGGAAAGTAGGATCCAAGGCGGGGCAAAGTCGTGTGTGTATTCCAACTTCACCTTTCTTCCTCGTTCGACTAGTTTACTTCGGAGCTACCCCTCCCCCTCTCTCCCGACGACATCTCTTAGCTTGGCAAAGCTATTTTCAAGTTCAGATCCCATTCGACAGGTTTCCTCTTCTTACCGACAACTTTAGGAGCTCCTGACGAAAGACTACCGTGTTCAATTGACCAAATAAGACAGAAGGAAGAACAGCACGTAAAATGGCACCTCCAGCAATCATCGCACCGTCGATTCTCTCGGCGGATTTCGCCAAGTTGGGAGAGGAGTGCTCGAGGACCATTGAGCAGGGCGCGGATTGGTTGCACGTTGACATTATGTATGTTTTTACGCCCTTCTCTCCGTATTCTATTTCTTCTCCTTCGAGCTGTCGCATCCTGTCCCTGTTTAAGTGTTGATAATGATAGCTCACGTTGAAAAAAGGGACGGCCACTTTGTCCCCAACATAACATTCGGAGCCCCCGTCGTCACCATGATCCGGAAACACGTCGCCGGACCAGAGGGAAAGTTTGCCAAGGGGACGTTTGACTGCCACATGATGATTGCCGAGGTGCGTCTCTCTCTCTCCCTCTCCTCTTCTTCCCCAGAAACTCTAGAAAACTAAGAGGACAAATCTCTCTCCCAGCCCAAGAAATGGGTCAAAGAATTCAAAGCAGCAGGCTGCAACCTCTACTGCTTCCACTACGAAGCCGCCACATCCACAGCCGCCGAGAGCCCCGCCGAGACGTCGGCCTTCAAGACGAACCCGCGCGATCTGATCCGGTATATCCACGACTGCGGCATGTTGGCGGGGATAGCCATCAAGCCGGCGACGAAGGTCGATGTGCTTTGGGATGTTTTGGATAGTCCCCATGCGAAGGAGAGGCCTGACGTATGTCCTCTCTCACCCCTTTCCCTCTATATAGTACCCCGACGAACGAATGTTAAAACGTGAGCCTTTTCTCAGATGGTCCTCGTCATGACGGTCGAACCCGGCTTCGGCGGCCAAAAGTTCATGGCGTCGGAACTCCCCAAGGTCCAGGAACTCCGCAAGAGGTATCCGGACCTCAACATCGAGGTGGACGGCGGACTCGGGCCCGGCACGATCGATCAGGCGGCGGACGCAGGCGCTAATGTGATTGTTGCGGGGAGTGCGGTGTTTGGGGCGAAGGATCCGGCGGAGGTGATTCGGTTGTTGAGGGAGGCGGTGGAGAAGAGGAGGTGAGCCTTAACTCTTTTCATTGCACAGTTTTTGTCGTTTCGAGGAAGCAAGGAGGGGTTTGAGATTCTACGTGGATATTTTACTGGTCCTTTTTTTGAAGATGGAAGAAGGAATAGATATATGAATTAGATGTATATTTTACTAAAGCAGTGCCCTGTCAACTATCCAAGCATTACTTCGTCGAGAGCACAAAGGCTTTGACCGTTTTCATCATGCCTCCGGGGACTTGGATAACACCGAGTCAAGCACCTTGATGAAGCGCTCAACTTCATCGACTACAGCAAGTTAGCATGATAATTTTGCACAAGGACCGAGAAAAAGTAAATAAATAAAAAGAAAAGAATAAGACATACCTGAGTTATAATGGGCAAAGCTCACCCGAATAACCCCATCCAACCCATCCTCCAACCTTCCCAAAACCTCGCCCACCAGCCTCGGCGCATAAAAATGGCCCCATCGAATCCCAAAATTCGACACCTCCTCAACCCCCTCACAAACCTTTCTCGAGCTCCAACCCTTCACGGAAAAGCTCACCACAGGCAGCCTCCCCGCATGTAGTTCAGTCCCACCATACACCGAAAACTTATCCGGGTCGCTCGCGAGATATTCAAGGAGTGGCCGCAGAATAGCGGTGTGGTTCGCATCAATAGCCCGGCGCGTCTCCTCCGGGGCGAGGTACGCCGTCACGACGGGTATAGCCTGGACGAATTCGTACGCGGCGCCGGCAAGTCCGAGTTTCCCCTCGAGGGTGTTCGTGTCATGGAAGAAGTGGCCGAGGGAGCGGATGCGTGGGAAAGCGCGCGGACTAGCATATAGAGTGGAGATGTGCGGGCCGAAGACTTTGTACCACGAGAAGACGTAGAAGTCTACGTCGAGGTCCGCCACGTCGATGGGGCGGTACGGCGCGTAGGCGACGCCATCAACGGATAGCAAGGCCCCCTTTTCGTGCGCTACTTTTGCGATTTCCTTGATGGGATTCACGTTGCCCAGCACGTTGCTCGCGTGCGTTACGGCCACCAACTTCGTCTTTTCCGTAATGAGTGGGAGCAAGCCGCTCACATCACCGGTTAAAGTCTCGGGCTTCCACCACTTCACGACCAAACCCTGCCGTTCAGCAAGATCCAACCACGGCGCAATATTCGACTCATGATCAATAATCGACACGACAATCTCATCATCCTTATCAAACTGCAAGGCATTGACAAGATTCCGCAGGAGTTGCGTCGTGGAGGCCCCGAAAACGATCTGCTCGGGTTTGCAGTTGAGGTAGTCCGCGGCGGCGGCCCAGCCGGCTTTGTAATTTCGCAGGGCTGCCTGAGCGGCCGTGTAGGTCGGGCCGAGCTGCACGTTGGTTACGGTGTAGTGGGTTACGAGGGAGGAGACGACGGAGCCGAGGATTTGGCTGCCGCCGGCGCTGTCGAAGTAGACTTGGTCTTGGGTGAGGGAGGGGAAGTTGGCCCTGATGGCGGCAATGTCTGGAGTGGTCATGGTTATAGTGGTGGTCTAAGTTATAGTTCAGGTTGAAGGCAAGGGAATGCTGGTAAAGCGGGAGTGTGATGATGATAGCGGGGAAACCGAGGCGGGGGTTGATAAGCGGGAGTCGGTGTTGATGAACCCGGAACCTATTCTACTTCCGGTGGGAATATTGGCCGCAGAGCACCTGACCTAATCCATTGGAATCAAAACATCACGGATGGAACCTTGTTGCATTCGGCATCGAGGGGGTTCTCCTAATCGAGTGCGTATAAGGCGCAATTGGGCATGCGGAGCCGGAGCCGCTGCTATCCGGCGCTGGGTTTGGGAAACTTTGGGTTTAACCATCTCGTTGGACGTGGGGTACCGCATCTCCGGCACGGCGCTTGAACCGATTTCGGACAAACTATTGCTTGCCCTCGGAAATCTGATTCGAGCCCGCTTCTAGAAGGAAGGGATATTGAGATGATCCTGTGACGGTTTTCACCAATTGACGTAGCTTCCGGCAGTCCGCGGATGCCGTTTCCTGGTTCTTTCTAAATCTTACTGCAACTCGGAAGCCGCCAAGGAAGAAACGTAGTCTTCGAAGAAGAAAAGAGCATCCTGCCGATGCATTTCTAATATTCCTGGCATGAGTAGATTACGGCAGGGAGATTAAACATACAAGACCTCTGCTCTTTAATGATTGAATGCCGCCAGCCTTCACCGACCAAGATCCGAACGATTCTAATAGCTATTTAGCCTACCATATTAAGTCCCTAAGAGTATCGGGGCACTGAAGAGATTACCGAGCTTTCGCCGCTACCAAGGATACTCGTTCTACAATATGTGTCCGACTCTTGATCAAAGCCGGGGAGAGAGGCCGAGGAAGTGAGTTCCCTTTCCCGTACTTCACTAACGGCACTCATGTAAGTTGGACAGCTTGAGCCGTCCACTGTTGCCCAACTACTAGAAATATAAACCTATTTGATCCAGAATCATAGATAGCCTCCGAGGTTGGCCAGCTTATGATGGATCAGCTCGGCTGCCAAGACAAGGGCCATTCCAGGAATCATGCTGGAAAGGAGTCTTTCTCCGCCTGGGATCGGTATCTTCTCATTTCCCGAAATAAGAATTACATCCGTTACCTCTTGGATACCTTGCTCAAGTGGAAGAGACCTCTCGGCCTTGATGGCGGTTATCTCGAGTCTATGCCTCTTGCTTAAAGCGTCATTACTCCGGCTTAGTACACGATATCTTTCTCGGAAGTGTGTTTCCTGATGGGGATCCGACTTGGATTTGGACATTCCATAAGGCACCGCATCTTGAGCCACTATCGAGCTTGCTCTTGGGGATATATCAAGGAGGCTCACCCTCAAACTGCCAAGTGTAACTTTCACCCTCCCACCAGCTCCCCCTTCCAATTCAAACTTTCCAGTTCGGTGAACTGCTCCTTCCTGGCCAATCCGCCTCTCCTCAACTCCCCGTTATGTCATGTAAGAGACAATAATGCCCCGATCTTTCACCAGACGACCTGACGAGGCAGTAGCCGAGTTAGTTAAGGTGGCCGTTGCCTCCCCCGCCGGGAGGGCTTAGGTTCGAATCCTACCGCGCCCAAGTTCTACTCTAGACTACGGCCATGATCCGGTGCCCAGGGATCGAGTAAAGGAAATATCTCGCAGTAATGGAGATCCCCATCTGGCAGAGCTAGTGGTCCAGCGGGAGGCGCGACCCCAAAAGTAGGAGGGGGGAGGGCCTGGAGGTAAGACGCGGGCAGGTGAAGGAAGAAAAAAGAATTAAATTATTTTTTTCTTCTTTCCTTTGTTTGCTATTAGACTGGGCCGCCGCCGTCTTGCTTCACCGCGCTGCTTCGTCTAGACTGTATATGGAGTTGTAAGTCAGGCACTTACTGGTTTATCTCACCCACTGACGGCGACGTTGCTGACTGGACTATGAATCCGTGTCTTGCCTGCTGACCTTCAAATCCCCTTTAGTAGGATTCTAATAAGCTTAAGTATAATTGTAGTATGCTCTTCAATCGTGGATGCTTCCACCCGCCCAGCCTATAATGGAGGACAAATCATAGTAGATAGAAAGAAAGATTTGTGAGTGGAGGCAAGGAGGGCGGTGTGAGCCTCCAACGGCATATGTAGATCCCAAATTATCTAATTGTGTTGGACCCGACGGCGTCTTGCACGAGTGATCGTGGCTGCGGTTGTAGAGTGACATGTAAGAGAGGACCAAACCCCCCCCAAACGAGTGTTATAGCACATCATGCGATGAAACCAGCCCTCTACAATTCGGGAGCTACCTCAGCCATAAATGGAGGCAAGACGCTTCTAAAATTGGCATGAAACGCCCTCCCGCAAGAGCTGAAAACAACATCAATCGAAACAGGAGAGCCGCATTAAGGTTGATTTAAGATCTCGAAATAGCCCGACTGCTCCAGCCCCTGTAACTGGCTCATACTGATGCTGTGCGTTTCCCTGTCGACCCCATTGGCTCTAACAGGCGCCAGAGGCTCATGGCCTGGCTGATACCATCCAGAACAACGCTCACCTTCGCATAAAATTCTCGTGGACCGGCGCTAGAATGCATCAAGGTGATCGAGAAAGGTATCTTCATTTGGTGGTTTCAAACGAATGACGTACCGCAAAATGAGCACGTCAAGACCAATCGCAAAGCCAGGAAACGCATGTTGGATGTCATCTTGCGTGTCTTCACCATCTTCACTGTCTTATCAAAATCCTAGACTGGATCTGTTGGACGAGAAGGCGGCTAGCTGCATTGATAGCTGAAAATGCTGGCCGATAGCATTGAACAAATGCCAACTCAACCTCCCTGGAGTCCTTTGGACTCCCAAAAAAAGCCAAACAGGGCATTGCAACAGCGCATCTGTCTGGTCATCTCCACTGGACGGGCGCCAGAACCATCATGCAAGCCTCGACGATCGGCGGTAGTCGGAGATTCCTGGCTGGTCAGATACGGAAGGGACGGCGCAACCCTTTCAATGCTGTGGTTGAGGAAGGGCAACTGCAATGGAGTAGTGTTTCCGTGGTGTTTCCTTGCTGCTTCTTCCAGACAGACGACGAGTGGTAGAGGGGAGCTTGTAACTGTACCTACCAACCAATTGAAGGTCTCCAACCAGACCTGCTAACGAAGCTTGGGACAGAAGTACCCCGCACAAGCTCTGGTGTCAAGGTACCCAGACGCTAAAAGTTCCAATCAGCACATGTGCCCCACCATCTTTTTTCTTTTTCACCTTGAATTCAGGGAAAAAAAGAAGAAGAAGAAGAAAAAAAAAAAAAAAAAAAAAAAAAAAAAATTCCGAGCCCTGCTCCAGAATCAGCCCATCTGGCCCATCTTGCTGCGGAAACCGGCGACTTATAAGCCATCTCCCCATGCACAACTCGTCTCAACGCACGAAATAGAGAATTTCTCCTCTCAGTTTCTACTCGGAATCGTCAATTCTACTCTCAGACCTTAGACCTCGCTGGATCACCTCCAATTGTGCCCCAAAATCATGAAGCGCAAGGCCGATTCCTCCTCCGCCGGCGGCCGGCACCCCGTCAAGAGGCGGTCCAAGTCTAGTACGTCCAGCTCCGCGTCGCCCCAAGTATTATCAATTGGTCCACAACTCTAACCTCCTGCCACCCAGACCTCACCGCCGAGGAGGCAAAGCAGAGGTTCCGCAAGGGCCTCTTCGACAAGTCCGTCCTCGACCAATACACCAAGCAATACGCCACCTCCGGACCCTACAAGCATGCCGTCATCAACAAGCTCGTCGACGACTCCCTCCTCCGCAACGTCCGCGGCGAGATCCGCGACAACGTCTCCTTCACCCCCAAGGAGACCGACATCTACAAGATCCACCAATCCGGCGACCTCGCCAACCTCGACGGCCTCGACGACGAGGCCCTAGCCAAGCTGCCCTCCCTCCTCGCCCTCCGCGATGCCATCTACTCCGAGACCTTCCGCAATTACGTCTCCCACATCACGGGATGCGGGCCCCTGAGCGGACGTAAGACCGACATGGCCATCAACGTTTACACGCCGGGCTGCTTCCTCCTCTGCCACGACGACGTCATTGGTAGTCGCAAGGTCAGCTATATTCTCTACCTGACCGACCCGGATAAGCCGTGGAAGCCCGAATGGGGCGGCGCGCTCCGTCTGTTCCCTATGAAGGAGACGAAGGGCGCCGACGGCCAAGTCGCCAAGACTACCCTCCCCGACGTCACCAAGATCATCCCTCCCGCGTGGAACCAGCTCAGCTTCTTCGCCGTCCAGCCCGGCGAGAGCTTCCACGACGTCGAGGAAGTCTACCACGCCGAGACGAAGAAGCAGCTCGAGGCCGACGGCGGCCGCATCCGCATGGCCATCAGCGGCTGGTTCCACATCCCCCAGATCGGCGAGGACGGCTACGTCGAGGGCGCCGAGGAAGAACAGGTCAAGAACAGCGGCCTGATGCAGCTCCAGGGCAACCCGGACCAGTACGATCGCCCGCTGCCCCAGCCCGTCTCCGTCTCGGCGGCGGAGAAGGCCCGCGGAGCTTCGGCGGCGGCGGATTTCGATGAGGCGGATTTGGAGTTCTTGCTCAAGTATATCTCGCCGACGTATCTTACGCCCGATACGCTGGAGCAGATTGCCGAGCACTTTGATGAGATGTCGAGTATTACGCTGCCGAGCATTCTTGGGCAGAAGTTTAGCGCTCGTCTACGGGAGTACGTCGAGGCGCAGGAGAAGCTGGCGCTGCCTGAGGATAGCGCCGTGATTGAGAAGAAGACGCCGTGGAAGGTCGCCCGCCCGCCGCATAAGCACAGGTACCTCTACCAGCAGCCCACGGGACCCGACGAGCTCAGGACGTCCCAGGAGGAGTCGCCCATTACGGAGCTTCTCGACGTTTTCCTCCCTAGCCGTCAGTTCCGCCAGTGGCTCCAGCTCGCTACGAATTGCACGATCGAGGACCATGACCTCATCGCGCGGCGCTTCAGGCGCGGCCTGGACTATACCCTGGCGACCGGCCACGAAGGCAAGCCCCGTCTCGAACTAAACCTTGGATTTACACCCACACCCGGTTGGGGCGCCGATGAAGATGAAGATGAAGACGAAGAGGAAGAAGAAGAAGAAGCCCCCTCCAGCGCCAAGAAATCCAATGGCTCAAGCTCCAAATCCAACGGTGCCTCATCTAAATCCAAATCCAAGGGCAAAGGTAAAGAAGCCGCCAAACCCACCCCCGCGGCAACCGCGGACGAAGACGTCGGCGGCCACGAGGTCTACATGGCCGGCGACGACGACCGCGACCAAGACGCCGCCATCTACAAGACGGCGGGCGAGAACGATGAGGACGACGACAACATCCTCTTCTTCCAGCCCGCGGCGTGGAATACGCTTACCATTGTGCTGAGGGATAGCGGCGCGCTAAAGTTCGTCAAGTATGTGAGCCGTTCAGCCAAGGGCGATCGGTGGGATGTTTCGGGGACGTATGAGGTTGAGGAGCAGGATGGGGAGGGGAAGAGTGGGGAGGAGGAGAGTAGTGAGGAGGAGTTTAATGGGTTTTCAGACTCTCATGATAGTGATTCGGATTGAAGGAATCGAGGGAAGAGGGTAGGTAGCACATGTTAGTTTTTGCGAGATGTTTTTTGAAAGGCGAATTCAATACTACGAGGGTTTCTATGTGCGTACACAGTTCATACAGTGGCTTCTAGTTGCTTTCCGCAGGCAATAATAGGGCTGATTTTTGAAGTGGCTCGGAGCTCGTGTTAGACAAGCACGCAATCACTTCACTAATCTTCGTAACTGTCGAGATTCCCCTTCCTTCCATTCCTTCCTTTCCTTCCGCGACATTTCAGAAGGAGGAATTTTTCTTGAGAAATTTGATATATTCAATTTCTTATAAAAAAAGTGATGTTCCCAACCCCCAGCATAAATACCCACGGAAAAAACGCCTACCCGCAGAAAAAAAAAAAAGACGAAATACCGCCAGACGCAACTCTCCTCTTCTCTCTCGAGGAAGAATCAATGCCAAGATGCAGATGCTGTGTCCCAGATAAAGCTCAATACAAAGTATGCCACTCAACCCGCTCGACCCGGCCCGAATGAATGCTTGAATCTCATCTTTACCCCTCCATTGATAATCAATAATCGATAAAACAGAACAATGCAACGCATGTGCAACGTCTCGCTCGCATGGAGATACTTTGTACCCCTCCTCTCCTCGTATCTTCTGTCCTCGCCTCCCCCTCATTGTCTTCTCTAGAATCAGATCATTTCCATCCCACCCCCATCCAGAAAATGCAGAATATATTTCTAATGATGTAAAAATGAAGAAAAAAAAACGCCCATTGGGAATCATTCGAAAAGGGGCAAAAAAAGAGAAGAAAAGAAAAAGAAAAGAATCCAAAAAAAAAGTCATCAGAATCATAAGCAATCATTCATCATCACCATCTCGCCTCGCTCCAACCAAGTTGTAAGTCTCCTCCACCCCCGTACTCACAAACGCATACTTGACGAACCGGCGCCACGCCCGATCCGACTCCTTCTTGCGCCGCTTCTTGTCCTTCTTCTTAAGAGCGGTGCCATCGATGGATTCGCACTCGACGAGTTCGCTTTCCTCCTCGACGTCGTCATCGTCTGGCGAGTCGGCTCCCTCATCGTCGTCGTCTTCGTCCTCGAAGTCATCCTCATCAGGCTCATCCTGGACGGACCTGCTGGGATTCTTGGCCTTCTGTTCATCGGCGGCCGCGAGACCCATGCGGAACGCGAGGCGCACGTAGTTTCGCACCGTGAGGTCGGACAGCTTGAAGACCTTATCGGTAAACGTGCTGTACTGGACCTCAAAGTTGAATTCCTTGGCCTCGGGCTTCTTCTTGCGCTTGGGATCGCCGTCGGCAGGTAGGTTGTTAATGTCGGTAAGATTCGAAAAATACTGGGTGTAACCCGTCAAGGTGAGGGGTTGCATCGAATATGCGGGTCCAGGAATAGCCGTCTGTGAAGGCGGGTCGGGAATGACGAGGCTGGGGTCCTTGGGCTTGTTTCCCTTGCCCTTCTTCTTATTGCCCTTCTTCTTGTTTCCTCCCTTACCGGGGTTCGCCGCTCGTATCGCCTTGGCAAGCTCAATTTCCTGATGCAAGTCGACCAGGTCTGCATCTTCCTCAGTGTACTGACGAGCCGACGGGAGTCCCTCGTTGGGAGGGCTCCATCGGGGTACGTCCTCGAGCCCGGTGATGTTATACTCGAAAACGCGGAGACTGGGGAAATAGTTGGGCACGACGCTGGAGCTGATGAGCGACACGTGGTATCTCTCGGCCCACCTGCCTCCGAGCTTCTTGAGGTGTTGCTTCTTCCTCTGCTTCTTGCTCTTCCTCTTCTTGCCCTTGCCCTTGCCCTTTCTCCTTTTTCCCTGGTCTTCCACATCTGATGTTTCCGCTTCCTGTTCTACTTGGCAGAGGACTTTGACCGGCGGGAGCTTGGCCCAAGCCTCGCGGAGTTCAGCGAGATATTTGCCCTTGCTCGAGGTCGCCGATACTAAATCCTTTTTCTTCGGCTCCACGACGTCTTCAAGATCTTCCTCGTCATCGTCGCCCTCGTTCTCATCATCGTCGTCGCCGTCGTCATCGTCGCCAAAGTCCAAGTCGATGCTCTCATCGGAAACTTCCTCAGCCGCGCCGCCGATAAAATCCATATCGATCTCCTTCGTATCGTGAATCACGAAATGGTCGATATTCATATGGCCGTATATCGAGCCGGTAATGACGTCGCGATACTGGCGCAGCCAGAGACTATACTTCTGCCCACAAGTTCCGTCCCACAACTCCTTGCTGTCCGTCTTGGCGGGTGGCACGTGGCCTATGAGAATGGCCTTCATGCCCCTCGAGCGCAGAATGGACAGCTGGATGCGCAACCACTCGAGCTGCTTATAACCCGGCTCTACCGGATTCACGCAATCATCGATGGCGGCGTTGCGGTCGAAGAAGTACATGGTATTGAGACTAAAAACGGCCAGGCGGTTGGGGATGACCTCGACGGAGAACCAGCCGCCGAACTCGAACGAGTGGCGCTGCTCTTCGGGGATGAAGGAGCGCCAGATCTCCGTGTAGTGCTGGAGCCATTGGTTGGGCCCCGGGAGGAGGACGTTGTGGGGGAGGAAGTCGTTGTTTCCGATGTTGGGGATGACAGGTATCGCTAATCGATGGGGGTTCTGGTCGTCCGCGAAGGTGCGGAACATCTGGTCGGCGAGGTATTTGTTCGATCGGAGTACCTCGGCGGCCGTCCGGGGTAGAAGTTCGTCGCTGTCGTGGCGCGCCGAGTCGCCCGTCCATACTACGAAGTCGATCTCATCCTTTAGGTTCGCCGCTACCCATTCTAACGTCGCGTTTGCTAGGGATCTAGGAGAGTCGCAACTCGAGAGCTCGGCGCCGTATGGACCAGCGTTGCCTTTCCGGCGGTGGCAAGCCTCGACGTCGACATTGGTGTAGGATTTGTAAAATTCGTCGGGGTGGAAATCTGTAAAAAAGGAAGAGGAATTGTCAGTCTTCTGCCGCGGAGCCCTGCTCTCGTCATTTTGGAAGAGGAGGAGGTAGTAAGGAAGAAGTAGGAGACATACCTGTTATGTGTAGAAACTTTCCGCGTAGCCCTGTTTGGCCTGAGCTTGACGGACGTGTCGCATCGTGCTGAGGGGGGTCGGAGCTCAGTATCTGTTGGAAGTTCTCACCAGCCAGCGCACCCGCTACTAAGTGCAGGGTGGCGTATAGGCCGGCGAGGAGACCAAGCCTGAGAGAGTTTGCCATTCTTGGTTGACCCTGCCCCAGTCAAGAAGGGATCGAGGATCCGTAGGGGCCGGGGAAGTAAGGAAGAAAAAAACGAGGAGAAAAAGTAAGGCTAGGAAAGAGATCGGGGCGCGCCACGAAAGTGACGGAATATATAACTTCGACGACTAGGGAATTTATAAAAAGAAGGAAAAAAAGGAAAATGAAAAAAAAAAAAAAAAAAAAAAAAAAAAAAAAACTCTATGAAGGCTCTTGGATTGTTGCGTTACGGCAATGCCGGGTGCCGTAGGCAAAGTCAGATTTTGTGGCGGATGTTGAGTCGTGGGGAAGACAGGATCAAGGGTGTTGTCTGTCAGAAGCGGTCACGCAAACAAGGCTGAGTTGCATGGTTTTCCTTGATTTTTTTCCGAGGTCAGCAGAGACGCGATGGGATAATTTAGAACGGTAGGAAAGTCACGAATATGCATTCTCTATATGCTGCAAGAAAAACGAAGGCCAGATGCGATGATGAGACGAGTTATTGTGAGGGAGAAGGCGCCAAGGCGAGGAATTACTTGGGCTGGAATAGTGTGTGACCTGGATGGTTCCTTCCCGTTTTTTTCCCCAGCGAATTGTCTTAGCATCACGTCCCCTTTTTCCTTTCTCGTGCTCCTGCAAAACACCGCAAACGCATTCTTCTTCGCATTTTCAAGTTTGACCCTCTCTTCACATCTACGAGTATGGCCAATAGTTTCGTCCAGCACACGCACGGAATGTCGAGAAGGAACCGCAAAGGTGGTGGTGGATGATCACCTCGTGGTGGTTGTGTCCTACTAGTCTGATGGCGTCGTGTGGCTGCTCTACTCGGCGGCGCAGCCAATCCTCTTGCCAGACTAACTACACGTGGGGAATGAAATATCGCGAGAGGAGAAAGTTTAAAGGGCATCCTCTAGATAAACTAGTATTCCCCATTCGAGACCGAAGAAGCGGTCATCTCCAGAAGGCCATACGGGTTGGAAAACTTGAGACTCGCCACGTCCTCCAGGGTGGAGAGGTGGGGGCGGGGTGAGAGTGAGATGGAAAAAAAGTCCCCTAGACACTGCAGGACATGAAGCTGAGAAATGCTACTTGGCGATGGTGCCTGACCACCCTGGTAAGCACTGGTAAGGCTTGTGATGATGTACCATGACGTTATGCCTCGTCCGCGCGGCTTTTTCAGCCAGTCACACGCTTCGGCGGCCGAAACAAAATGGAGCATTGAAACTCTCTCGTCGGAAGAAATAGACGATTCCTGAGGACAGGGTTTCTGGGGTCTTTGTGTCTGATTTCCTTTCGCCAGGCAGATGCGACCGGAAATCTGTGCAGCGCTTGGGTCTTGGTGTCGGCAGGCAGCTGGCAGCTGTCCGTCACGGGAATTTTTCAGGGTTTGAAATTGCGCTGCTAATTTTGGACTCTGGGGACCGGATGCCTTGTCACGTCACACGACACTGGTCCCTGCGTCTCTCGACACCCTCGTTCATCTGTCGACAGGCGTCCTCTCCAACAGGAAGACATCAGATCTCTGACATGCATCTGTGAAAGTCTGAACTTGCACCAACGCGACACAAAGATTCTCCAACACATATCCTAGAACGATCGGAATTGCCGAGTTTCAATCCCCTATCATCGGATATACAGTACCGACCAACTTCTGCCTGTATCAAGATTGTATCTGCCCTCTGGCGTGACCCTCAGTTTTTCTCCCTTCATTCGCTTTGCTATTCCCGACTCCAACGTCCCGGTTTGAGACAAGACCCGGGCCCATTCTTACTCAAGGCTGCCCCTCAGTCTCACGTATGATATCATCAGAACCACAGAACGGCCTCAAATTCGCGCGATATAGCCTTTACAAATAAAGAATACCCTGAGCCCTTCGGTGGCTCGTGCCTTCCATGAGCTTCCCCATTGACGTCATATCAGTCCTCACACTTCTATCCTCGTTTATATCCGAGAGTAAAACGCCTGATAGAAACTTACTTCTGACTCTCGGAGATTCACTTGCATTTCATCCGCCTTCCACTTGAACAACCGGTGATGTCCTTTTACTATAGCCTCCAATAACCTCATTCATTCGGTTTCGAGTCATCACCTGGGGGTCATACGTATCGCCTGGTTTATGAACCACTAACTCTCACTTCCCCTTGAGGAGGAATAGCTTGAAATTTGGCTTTCGCCCAGGGAACCCATCTCTATTCAAAAGTTCCAAGCCGCAGTGTCTCCCGACTGATGGTGCGGTGCCGAAATTCTCTCCAGGAGCGCCTCCCCATCCATAACGCAAAGTCACCTCGTGCTTTCTAGAATCGACTCGTGAACCCCTTGGTGGTATTTTCGAGGAAGCCATATTAATTCAAAATACTGATTTGATATAGCGGTTGGCGAGGAAGCAGGTCAACTTGGGAAGGAATTCGGGCGTGTCTAGATAACCCGTCGATAAGCAACTTCTCTACATGAGAAAAATAGAAATTAAAATAGAAGCGAACAGATTCTGTGATTATACCTCCGGAAGGAAGGAGTGGGCGCAGAATCATTCGATACGCAAGTGTCCCGTATTTCACTCTTAATCAAGTCAAGCTCTTGTCAAGAAGTCGCTGAGCCTGGAGAGAAGTTGCCCGATCCCACGTCATCTATTTGTCCTCCTTTTTCTTCTTCGAGTTAGAGGCACCGCCTTTTACCTTTCTCGTAGACTTTTACTTGTCAGAATGACTAAGTAAAAGTGTTCCTGGCTTATTACCCACCATGCAGTGTCAATGCCCCGACACGGCTGCTGTGGCGATGTTGGACAAATCTTCCCGGACGAAATGACGAAATGACGGGCACCACGTTCCTTGTACATGTCAAACCGTTTCTCAAATCTAACGCCAACTCCCGATACCGCAAATACTGTAATGTGCGTCCTCATCTGCATCATGATCTCATCCGACCTAGTGATCGGAGCGTCCCGCAGTTTGGCGGGACCCATCTTACCGGGAAAACGTGCTTAATCGCCGGGGGTGCGTTATAGACTACCTACAGTTTCTCGCAAATGGATGGTTCACCGCCGGGCGGCTACATAATTTACGCTGTCGAACCGAACGCATAGATAGAGTCTGTGGCGGCTATTGTTGGTCACATCAAGAGACATTTCGGAATGAAGGAGAAGGTAGATTAGGTTCTAGACTCTTCTGATAGTCAAGAGGTGAAGGGAAAGATAGAAAAGCATCGGGACGAACCCCCACTACATTTATTTTCGATTCACCTCGCTCCTATAAAAACTGCTTTCTCTGACGCCCATTAGATCCAGTGGAAGTCGGGATATAAGCCGCACACCAACAACCACTCCGACCCCAGGAAGTTATGTATGCTCAGACAGATCTGCCGTAATTCTACTATCAACTCGAGGCCAAAAATACGGCAGGCTTTGCAGAGTTTTATGCATTAGAAAACTACTGCCTATCGTACTAGCCTCGTTGACTATGCTTGCAGGAACAGAAGAAGTTATACACCCGCCTCCCTCCTCCAGCATGGTTCACTTCACACAACCCATAGAGGGGGCAGTAAACGATCGAGGGAAGAGAGGAAAGCACACGGGGGTACCGTATTTCCGGGTGAGCCTTACCATGGCCATCAAAGCGCGCGTTCGTGATTTGCGTGGTGAGTGTTCTTCCATCGTTCTCGTGAGAAAGAGGAGTGATAGGAAGAGTCGTGGTTAAAATTATCTGAGCAGGTTATGCCATCTCCGCGGGTAAAACGTCCAGAGATACACAACCAACATTGCCTCTGCCTTTTGTCCTTGGACAAAAGGGGGGATGGAACTAATGCCTGATCCATGTTTGCTCACCACCAAACTCAGGATGTCGTCTGGGCTGGAAGAGGTCAGTACTCACGTGACTTCACGATGAATTGGACCCCGCCGAGGCTGTCACCCAATTACACTGCCAACAGACGTCATCTCGTGAAACGAGGCGCCAACGGTGGCCAAGCCGCATGACTAATAACAGAAAAATGTGGCTGCCCAAGATTTTCGGCCTCACAACCAACATTGTACGACCAGACCCATTCCACATCTACCGCCGGCTCGTTTTTCCTTCCTCTTCTGCACCTTTCCTCATTCTTTTACCCCTTCCGCCCTTCAAAGAACCGTCTGTTTCGGGGCGCAAGTGCTTTGTCTTCCCCTCCATTCCACTTAAAAAAATTCGCCAATTTTTTCTCAGTATTTGCCACGTCGTTTGACGCCACAGCCGATCGCATCTCTAATCTCCAGCCTAGTTTCCGCACACATACAAACGGAGACTCCGCCTTGCCTAGGGCACTCTTGCCGAAAAAGCTCGTGACAACCCCCAACACCAACACACTCGGGAGCCGCCTTCTTTACAACGCTCCTTTCCGATGGCTTGGGCCTGATATATCACACCCGTTCCTTTCCCTTCCGTTCGGTCTTACGGCTACTCATCTCTTCGACTCTGTTTCGCAGTCCCCGGGAAACAGTTTCTTCTAGGCTTGAAATCTTCACAAAAGACGTTAGCTCAACATGGCGGTAAGTTTTTGGAATCGTTTCCCAAACGCACCCATGGGGCCTTCAGACGATCTAATACGCCCCGCTCCCCCCCAATAGAGTGGAATCGGCAATCTCCTGGCCCAAATCACCGGCGAGAAGCCCTCATCAAGCCCCGCTCGTCCTGTCCCCCGCCCGTTCCCCGTCCCCAAGCGGAAACCCGACGAGGAACTGCGCAGAGATCCCGCAAAGTCCCTGAAGACGGGGTCCGGAAACACCCCTGCGTCGCGTCCCCTGGCTCGCCCCTCCCTACCTATGAGGCCCGACGATAAGCCCTCATCGTCCCTCACCCGTCCGCTGAACTCATCCCGACCCCTCGATAATAAGGCTAGTTCGTCGTCCCTCTCGCGTACTCCGTCCCGACCCGATGCGTCCTCCTCGCGATATAACGGCATGGCCGGTTCGCGGCCCTCCTCAGCGCCTGCTAAGCCAGTCGGCGTGACAAAGCCCGCGTCTTCTACGACTCCAGCGAGGCCCCCGAAGAAGGGTTCTTTCGCCGAGATTATGGCCCGGGCTCAACGAGCCCAGGAAACGATGGGTCAAGTCGGCAAGATCCAGCACAAGAAGGTTGAAAAGCCCTCCTTGAAGAAGGAAAAGGACGAGCCGAAACCAGACCCCCGCTCCGCCCCCCGAAAACCCATCTCCGGCCGAAACGCTCCCACGTCGTCCCGACCCAATGCAGTCCCGTCCTCCTCAGCCCCCTCCTCGAGAGACCCCCGTCGTGGCTCCACCTCCACCAACACCGCAAAGAGGAAACCATCCGTTGCCGCTGCCGCCCCCGAACCCGAACCCACCAAGAAGATCCGTAGGCCCCCGACCACAGGCTACGCCGGCACTGCTCGTCCCCGCCCGAACGCCCCCTCCACCGAAAAGAAGAAACCCACCACCGGCGGCGTCATCCTCAACCCCACCATGTCCCGCTACGGCTCCGACAAACGCCGCCGCTCTTCTCGCTACGAGGAAGAAGACGACGACATGAGCGACTTCATCGAGTACGATGACGACGAAGATGAGGGCGGTATGCCCGGGCGCCACTATTACTCCGATGATGGGTCCTCGGATATGGAGGCGGGCATGGACGAGATCGACGACGAGGAAGAACGCGCTGAGTATCTCGCTAGACAGGATGATTGGCGTGAGCAGCAGCTGGAGAAGAGGTTGAAGTTGGAGAAGGAGAAGAGGAAACGGGAGGCGCTTGATTCTTTGCGTCGTCGTTGATTTCTTTTCTGTTGTTTCTTCCCTTCTATTTTCCCTTCTTCTGCTCATGGCTTCCTTATCTTTTAGCTTTTTTCTTCTGTCTTTTTTTCTTGCTCCCCGAAGATTCTTTTTCTTTTTCCTTTTCTTTGTAACGGGTACATAGCGTCAGTTTTCACGGCCTCGACGAATATCTTAATCCAGTGCTCTTAGATCTCCCGGAGGCAAAGTCTTCCCTACTTCAACGAATATCCATGTTTTTTTTCTTCTGTTTTCTTAACCTTCTTCCTCTTGGGGTGCCTCGTTTCTTTTTCTTTTTGTCTCACTCTTATCAAGGCATCAGCGATGGCGTTTTTCTCAAATTCAATCAAACCAGTCCCATCAGTTTCTTTAAACATTCTTCTATCTTGTTTTTGAGTTTGGTCCTTGCCAAACTTAGCTTACTCTTCTAATTTTTGTGTCTGTTGGAATCGGGTCCGGTCTAGGTTTGGGTGGAGGTGGGAAGAGGAATGGTTGGGAGTCGGCTTGTTGTGTTTTATTGTGTGTTTTTTTTCACCTTTGGAACTTGTCCGTCTATCTGTTTGTATCTCACGTTGCATTCTAGGAGTCGTGTCAACATTGTAAATATTGAATCAAAGAAGATAATTTACGTTCTATCACGACATCGAGTCCATACTTCCCAGAAGTCGTAGGTAACAAAGGGGTCTATCCGAAGACATGAAGACTCGTAAAGTACACATACACTTGTATTCGCAGGTCCAATTGTTCACAAGAAAGAATCAAACTAACTCAATCGGCCGGGAGGGCGCCAGATTGCCATAGTGAATCTATCAATCCCTAACCGAAGAGTGGTCAGTCGAACCTAGTCGAGGAAGAACAGGAAGTGATGCTCCTTACGTCGCCGTGGTTCCCAGCAGCAGGGCTGGCGGCCTAAGGGGATTTGGGAATCGATATGAGGAGACCACGAATCCCACAGGTTCTTAGCGTTCTATGGTGGTCCGTTGGGCCAGGCCCCCTGTTCGCAGTGCAACGTTGGCTATTGCGGGGAGCCTAGCATTTACCGATTTCTATCTCACGAGAAGCACGCCAAAATACGACACCCTACTGAGAGTAAGACGGTGCAATTGTCTCCTTGGCCAAGATAGAATCCCTCCCAAAACAGAGTAGCCAACTCTCCAAGATCTTCAGAAAGCGTCGAGACTCGCGACTCAAATGCCCAGCTTTGAGGCAGTGCTTTCGACTCGTTCTATATAAACACATAAATCCTCACTGACCCCCTCTGCTCGCACCTTGGCAGCCTCGACCAAATTATCCTCGGGGCGGGTTCTTTCCTAGGGCTTTTCTCCAGGAAAACTGAACTACGAAAGTATATGAAATAATGGAGAAGGGAAGCACGTCTACGTCCCGTGGTGGTGGGACGCATTCTGTGTATGACGATGCTTCGAAGCAAAACCACAGGCAGCCTCTGCGCTTGCTTGCCCTAGGTAGGTGTTTCCTTTTCCTTCTTCTATCTTTTTCTCTCGATAAGAAGATACTCTTTGAAAGCGTAATTTTTTTTTCTCCAAAAGGTATAACTGATGGTGATCTCTATACCAAGACGGGAGCTGTGGCTTGCGGGCTGCTTCGCAACTCTTTGCTCTCCGACATCTGTTTCGTGATGTTGTGTTTGCCGAGCTTAGACCCTACCATTATTTTGACTTGATAGGTGGCTCCGGTACTGGCGGGTATATATTCTTCATTAGAAACAATCTCAATCCGCTGATTTAAAGAATTTTAGAACGGAATACTGATAATCAAATCCAACACTCACAGAATCCTAGCCATCCTGCTAGGCCGGCTCCGCATGTCCATAGCTGAGGCCCACGAGGCCTACGAATACATATCCAGCAGCGTCTTCTATCGACAGAGAAGTAGCATTTTCTCCAGGGTCACGGATCGCATCTCGGGTAATTCGAGCAGATTCGACACCGACGGGCTTGTGCAGGGCGTGCGTGATGCTCTCGAACGAGCGGACCAGTCTCAAGATGCGAGGCTTTTTCGAGCAGGGAGATGCAAGAACCAAAGTGTAGGTTATTTTCTCCGCTTTTTTGTTCATTGGAAGAAAGTAGACGGCTGTTGAGGGCTGACACGATACCTTTGGGAGGGGAAATAGTTTCGTGACCGCCGCCACAAAAGGAGCCACTGGTCTCCAGAGGCATTGTCTCCGAACGTATCGTCACGGCGGCGAGTTCCAGCCCGAACTCACCATCGCCCAAGCATGTCACGCGGCGCTCGCCGCTTCTGGCCTCGTGGACTCGTGCTCCATACCTGCAGCGGGTTTTAGCTATACTGAGGGGTTACCAGCTTGGAATAACCCCGTTCAGCAAGTCCTGGACGAGGCGAACGAGCTCTGGCCCGGGTGTCCTATCTGGTGCCTGCTGAGCCTCGGCACCGGCATTCCCCAGGGGGATTCGCTACGCAGCTTACCGCGGCCCATGGCGAGGCTCATTTCGGAGTTTGCCATAGAAGCCGCCGTAACGGAGCGTGTGTTTGAAACGGCCCACTCCGACTTAGTGATTAGTGGTCGATATACTCGAGTTAGTGTCAGTAGAGGGTTGGATGACTCTGAATTACATCCCGGCATGCCCTATCCCCTTGTCGATCAGGCGACGGGGGCCTACATCGATGCTGAAGGTTCTGCGACCCGGCGGCGCGTGGCACTTATTTTGAGACCCTACGAGCCCCCGCGGTCCTCCCCGCCTCCTCCCCCGGTGCAACCCGACCAGCAGGAGCAACCTGGGGATGTTGCTTCCCCGCCCTATGTCGAGGATGAACTGGGCCCCGAATCTTACGCGTCTGTTATGGGTGAGAAGGAGGGCCCTTCAAACGAGAAGAGGGTCTGGTCAGATGAGAAGGAGTGCTAGGGCCAAGTGAAAAAAAATCTGGGCCGAGCGAAAAGGAGCCACTGGTTATGGGCAACGGTGTCGACGCAGAGAAACTGAATTATGGCAAGTAGTGGCGTCCGTTCTCCGCACAACGGAAGGGAGGAACGGAGCCACCCCAATTCCCAACCATCCAGCAAGCTGCTAGGGGTCCAGTGGGAAAGGTAGACAATACGGCTGATGAAACACACGAAACGTCCCAGACAAGAAGCAAACGCCTTTAGTACCACAGTTGTTCAATGAGGTGTTGAATTAATAAATGTCTCGACTTGTAGTTGCCACTCGGGGATCGAGAAAGTGAATCAAGCTGTGTAGCTCTGCATCTGTCTCCATTCTATTATAGCTCCGCCTCAAGGATCCTTTGTCTTCCTAGTATTGATGCACCCGCCCACGCGACACCATGACGCAAAGACAAAAAAGACGAATAAACGTAAGAAAGGCGAAAAAATGGGGGGAGGCTGAATGTACATGGCTAACCGTCTCCAATGCCCTATAACAGTGACGCTAAAATGCTAACGACTTCGCGACCCACAAAAGCAAAGAAACTGGGGAATATGACTTTCAAGTCTGTCCGAACTGGAAGAAAATGTTCAAAGGGGAAGAGATATTTTTTTTTTGAGTCAAAAGAACGTGCGGTACTAGGGCAGGTCCTCTGGCTTGATGCCGGTGCCTCCGTAGCCACCCAAATTCCAACCGGCGTAAGGCGCGGCGTTGGACGACTTGGCGGCCGCGCCGTTCTCGCGACGATTAGGTGGCGCGGGCAGGGAGGGAGGAGGGGCCGGGAGCGTCGACAAGGTGCTACCAACTGGCTTGGGTGGCTTGCTTGGCTTATTCGACGAGCTCTGCGACGAAGGGGAAGCAGCAGTAGCACTGCCGGGCTTGCTAGCTGACGTCGTCTTGACGAGCCCCTTCTCTCTCAGATACTGGATAGACTCGAGGACGGTGAGGTCCTCCTGATCCTTATCGTTCAGTATCAAGCGTTGCTTGATGGTCAGCTGGCCGTTGTTGGCTTCCTTTTCGCGGATGGCTGCTTCTCTAACTGCAGGGTCATGAACGAAGCGGCACTTGCCCTTCTTCCCGCAACTGCCTCCCGTAGAGTAATATTTGCAATGTCGGGTAATATCTGCCTTCTTAGCAGGCTGAGAAGGGACCGCTGCGGCTGCGGCGGTGGCACTGTCCGGAGCACGACTAGACTGAACTTCAGGCTTATCGTTGTCCGAGTCCTCTTCAAGGGTTGAATCTCTCATCTCGTCTCCTTCATCCTGCTGTTCACGCTTTCGCTTGATCGAAGACTCGACCTTCTTTAGCTGGCGCCGAAGCTTGTCGGCTTCACGCTCTAGACGCGATGTCTCCTCATCTTCTTGCTGTTTCTGCGCCACCTCGGCGGCCTTCTTCGCTTCGACTCGCGCCTTGGTGGGATACCTCTTCTTTCGTTCGGCTATGTAGGCGGCTAGGTCGGGAATTCTGCAAGTGACTAGTTAGCAAGAGATCATGAAACATCGTGGAATCTTCCTCCTTGGGAAGGGGAAGAGAGCATTGACTAACTCGATAACCTCGTTACCCATAAGTTCACTCAGCTTTTTCTCCTCACCCTCGTCATCCTCTTCCTCCTCTGAGCCCGAGGCATCGCCTGGTGTCAAGCCAAGTGTGTTGACCTTACGCTTTTTCTTCTTTCCATGAGCGGGCTGCTCCGCATGCTTGTTCGCGTTATTCGACTGCTGCTGAGTAGTCCCATTTGGCTTCTTATGGCGGTGCTTATCCCCAGCACCATGGAAGCGGCCGCGGTTATTGCCATCTCGGAAGGATCCGCCACGACCACCACGTCGGTTATTTCCGTGTCCATGTCCGAAGTAAGGATCACGATGCCCAGGCGCACCTGCTACAGCACCCGAAGCTGCCACCGCCGGGGCTGGCGGAGGGGGCGCGTAATGGTACTGTTGAGGTGCTGGCTGCGTCGCATAGGGAGCTTGCGCACGTGGATCTGGATAAGGGGCAGCACCAGCGGGATAGCCAGTAGCGGCACCCGCGGCCTGCGCAGAGTCATCTCGGTAACTGCCTGAGCGTGCCGACGACGCGGAGCGCGAGCCGCCTCTGTCGTTTTGGTAGCCGCCTCGATGGCGACCGCCCTGATATCCGCTATGCGGCTGATGGTTGGGCTGCGCTGACCACTGGGGTGACGCAGGGGGAGGGGCCGCACCATAAGGAGCGGCATATGGTGGTTGAGCCGGAGGCGCATAGCCTGGATGAGAACCATACTGAGGCTGCGCATAGCCAGCTTGAGCGTAGTTGGGATGGTAGTTGGCGGACGAAATAGGTGCAGGGGCATGGCTGGGAGCATGGGGCGCTGGGCCGTGCTCGCCTTGCCACTGAGTAGATTGGTAACTACCATCTGTAGGGTATGCGGCGGCAGGGGTTTGGGGAGAATAGGAGTATTGGTAAGGGGGTTGAGCTGGCGGCTGGGAATACTCTGGGCGACCAGCGCTGTAGCTGTACCCGCCGCCGCGACCCCGAGAGTGAGATCCTCCGCCCCGAACTGGGAGACTTTGGGTATACCCGTTTGGATGATGGCCATATGGTTGATGGCCTGCCTGCGATGGAGGCGGCGGGGGCGGAGGAGGCCCGTAGCTGTAGTTAGACATGACGGGATGTAGGATTTAGGATTAAAACGATGTCAAGGTCAAAAAAAAGCCCAAAGGCCTGATAGGTAGAGAGCGCGTACAGTGGACGTTGCCAAGTAAGAAGGAGAAAAACTTGAGGAAGCTCGGACAAAGGAGAACCACGAAACCCAGTGAGTCGAACTAGACCTGAGGACCAGATGGCAGAAACATCAATCTGTAGTCTCGAAAAGAGGGTGGGTTGGCAAACTGATACGCGGGCTGCCGCGCGTTACGGGTGTGGAGGCCCGGAGTAAAGTGGGGGATGCTTCTCAGCGTGTTTAGTCGAATCTCCAGTTACGACGAGGAGGAATTCTTCGTCTCGATGAAATAGTTGTCAATGCTTGGAGAGACGATGGAATCCAAAGGAGATGGGGAAGGACGATGGTTCGAAAAGTAGGTGTGGGATGGAACTTGGAGTTGGGACGAGGTCGATCTGAGGGGATTGATTTGACGAGGAGCTGGACTCGGGAGAACTCTGGAACCAGGGAAGGAAGGATGGAAGAAAAAATTTAGCACCACTTTGCTCATCGAGCACGGACCACCTATTTCAACTGGCTGTTCATTTGAGGAAGTAGCAAGCCGCACTAACGTAATTCGGGGAGGCGGTGAGAAGCACCCATAATTCTGCCATGCCGCTCTCACCCCGCCAAAAAGTTATCTGACAATGACAACGATTCGTCCTTGATTGAGAACGTCGCCAAACGTTAAGATCTCCAATTCAATGTCTTAACCACTCCATTCCGCACTCCCACACAACCCAAGACTATTCTACACCTCTAGAATAGCATTGATGTTTATTCTTGTTAGCACATCCTAAACTCCGAGTCCCAACATTTCGAACGTAACCCCGACCTAAGCTAACCCCTCCGCCCATACCCCAGACCAAAATCGCCGATCTCGTCCAGATCGCGCCTGAGGACTTTTCCAAACAAAGCGCGGTCGCCATAGAAGATAACATCAATGCCAAGTATTCCAACAAGGTACATAACTCAAAAATTCCAAGGTTTCTCTTCACACCTTCGGGGTAGCTGACATTACGGCGTCTCCTAGGTAATCCAGAACATTGGTCTCTGCATTTGCTTCTATGACCTCCTCTGGGCGTCCGAGGGCCTTATAGGCCACGGAACCGGCCTCGTAAACGTCAATGGCAAGTAGCCTCAATCCCTCCGTCCAATTCTGGTAGGAGATGGCTAACAGCAAGAAAACAGTCGAATTCCGCCTCGTCGTTTTCCGCCCCTTCAAAGATGAAGTGTTGCTTGCGCGTATCCGAAGCTCGACACCACAAGGCATTCACCGTGAGTCACGAGCAGATTGCATATAAAAGGGAATAGCTTGAATCCCAATCTAACGACAATGCACCTGGTCAGTGAGAACCGACTTTTTCGACGACATCTTTGTTCCCTACGACCAGCTCCCCGAGGGATGCGAGTAGTATGTCCCTACCTCAGCGCACACACTTCCAATTGCTCTCTCCACCACCCTGAGAACCTATCTAATATGACTCCATAGTAATCACTCTGATCAACTTTGGATATGGAACGTAGAAGAAGATCGACTCTACTTCGATAACCACGAAATGGCCCGCATTCAAGTCATAGATGAAGAATGGCACGATCAAACCCCAGTCGGCCCCCTCCAGAGCTCCGAAGACAATCCTCCCAAGCCGCCATATAAAATCACGGGCAGCATGCGAAAGGAAGGCCTAGGTCCCTGCCTCTGGTGGGACGGATGAATAACGATAAGCACACGTCAAAAATCTTTCATGGCCTCGTCTCTAGGGAGGGGCGGAAAAAAAAAAATCCCAAAATGCTCTCTTCCCTAGCGAGCGCAAGATGTCGAATTACCAGTGCGGGCGGATATGACTTTGTAGTGTACACTTTTTGTTTAGATGGAACGTTTTAGAATCTATACCCTGACAGACTCGAGAAGCCTGTCCTCAATATCATCAAGGACCGAGTAGTGGTCGATGACTGCCAAGTTCTCTGCCTCCGCCTGGAATTGTTTGTCAGGGTCCTGTCCAGGTCCGAACATTTGCGCCTGGGGACCCATCTGACCCATCTGGGCAGCAACCTGGTTGGCAGCTAATTGAGAGTTTAGTATGACACATCTAACGCAAGATTTTAAGTTTGAATAAACAAAGGCTTACCATTATCGCTGCCAAGCAAAAAGTTAAAGACGGACTGCAATCCGAAAATGCAAAGGAAGTACCAGCTGATGCTAGACATCCACCTCGGATCCATATCCTTCGTCGCAACGCCGGCCTGAAGCATGCTCTTAAACTTGATCGTAATCGGGAACGGCAATTTCGCTAAATCACCTTGTCAGTAACGTCTCCTCACTTGGTCCCCTTCTTTCACCGAGCTCCAGTGAACAAAACGTACTGATAACATAACCGCTGAAAAAAGCATTAATCCAACTCATAATAAGCGTGTTCGGAATAATCATCGCCATATTATTCTTCATCATGCCCATCATCCCATCCATAGCGCCGGGATCCGTCAACGGATTCGGCGCAGGCTGGCCCTTCCTGTCGGGATCCTTGAGGAACGCGCCGGACTCGAAGGCCGGGATGAGCCAGTCGCGGCGCGCCTCGAAGGACCTGCGCGAGAGGACGTGGAAGTTGTTCTTGACGCTGATACCGTGGAGGAGGGAGCGCTGTTCGCGCATGGCGGGTTTTTCGAGCTTCTTGGGGGCGTTGGCGAGGAAGACGGCGGCGTAGTGGCGGAGGACACCGGTTAGAATCTGAGAGTGTAATTGGTTAGAAGCTGTGGATAGGATGCTTGAGCGAGAGGAGAGGTCGACGAACCATGACAATGGTGATAGGGAAGAGGATCCAGTATCTGCGATCCGGGTCATTAGCTTAGGGTTCATCCGGACTCTCGCGGGATGGACGGGTCATACAGTAACTGGGGATCCCGATGGATCATCTGGACCGGGACCTGAGCCATCACGACGGTTGGTTAAAAGCTCCACTCTAGGTAGGGGTGTGAAGTCGTTGGGCGGAATTGATGCTCCGAGACGAGGGTTTTGCGTGGGAGCTCTCGTTTCTGAGCTTGAAGTCACCGCGATGCCAACAGCTCCTGACGGGACAAGAGACGACGTTGCGTAGTGATCCGGGTAAATTCAGGAGAAACTACCCTCGCGCCTTACCACTTCGAGAGCGAAGTAGGAAGTAGACCAGTGCCAATACTGTGTAGAAGTACTGTACGACGTGGTAGCTCGTGTCGAAGCTTCGATTGATGAAACCTCACTTGCGCGATCTCACAGAGCCTCAAGACGAAACATTGCGAACACATCTTCCCTTCACTTCATAAACCTCCACGACGAAATAGTAGGGCACACGCACACACACACACATCCCACCACTCTCCAAAACCAACGCAGCCGCAACCAAAATCGACCGCAATGGCGACCGAAAGGATATCAGTCTACAGTCTCGCAGGCAAGCGATCCCAAATCCCCATCTCTCGAAAAGAACTTCCTGGAGACCTAACAGATCTCAATGCAGACCTTAAAAACACCACCGATGATGCCATCCCAAACTACCTCAACTCCCTCAAAATTAAACAAGTCCACACAACCACCGACGTCCGCCTCGCCCTCGGCACCTCCGCCTTCCTCATCGCGGCCGCCTGCTTCGGATGGGACTACAAGTTCGGCTTCGAGAGCACAAAGTACCTGACGGCCGGCGCCGTGGTCCTCTACATGATTCTTAATGGCGCCATGACGTTGTGGATTTGGTATGTTGAGAAGGGCTTGGTATACGAGGGCGTTGCTCCCTCCGGCGACAAGGTAAAATGGCATTCCCCCCCTCCCCGAACCAAAACTCCCTCCAGCTCCGATATTAACAGAAGAATGCTCTTAAAAACAGATTCGCATCGCATCCTCCACAAAACCCTACACCCCAACATACAACCTAACCATAACACAAACCCCCAAATCCGCCCCCTCGAAACCCCAAACCCTAAAAGTCTCCCGCCCCTTCTCCGACTGGTTCGACGAACAAGGCCGCTTCGTAACCGTCCCCTTCCAGCAAATGATCGCCACCTCCGTACCCCTCGTCGCCGCCCTCGATCCCAAACGCGCCGCCAAGCCCGACGAGGTCAGCCTTGACACAGCGTCGCCCGAGGTTCTGGACGCCATCTTGGCTGCTTCTGGGAGCGCATCAGCTGTGGGGAGCTCTTCGGCGGCGGAGAAGACTGTTCCTAAGTCTTCGAGGCGGAGGAAGGCTTAGTGTGGGATGTCTCTGTGTGGGGAAATAAAAGGAGCATTTTGCGGTGATGGGCTATAGGCTGGGACTTTTGTTTCTTGATCTTTTCTGGGTTCCTTTCTCTTAGAACATGGGGTGTTGGATTTGCGATGTGTCTGCTGTATGATTCAGTCGAGGCGAGCCAAAACAAAAACCAAAACCGAATGAAACGCGGTGTAGCCCTCTTCAGGCCCAAATACGGAAACAAGAAAAAGGAGAAAATAATATATTTGAGCGCATCCCATAACTCTCATTGTTCTTCAACTCTCGTGATGTCATTGTTAGTCTACTCTCACTTTATGCTTATCCTCTCTATAACATCAAAAACATAAACTCTCCAAAACCCAAGACCACCTCATACACATCATTTCACATTAGCCCACACCAGCTTCGCAGCTAGCGCTGTCTTTCTAACCTCCCGAACCCGATCACCACAGGCAACAGACAACAACCTCTCCATCCTCGGCACCGACCCTAGTAGGTGCCTATCCTCGTACCGACCGGGCAAGTACCCGAGCAGCAGAATGGCTAAATTCCTACACCTCGCCGAGACCTTAGCCATCCTCCTATCGTCGGGTTGTGGTCCCGACGAGGTCATGATGGACGTGCAAGAATCGATGATGCTCTTCAGGAATGGTTCGAGGACGTTCGTGGACTCCTTAGTAATCGTCTCGAGGACTCGGAGGGCGGTTTCGACATCTACGCCAACGGGAAGATTGCGAAGAACGCAGAGGATAAGGCGGACGAGGTCGGCGGCGTCGTCTCGATAGATGGTGTAGTCGAGGTGTGGTATAGCCGATAGGATGGCTATGCTGTAGTTTGCCAGCACGACGTCACTGGCTTGGCTGTCGCTCTTTTTGGGCCAGGCTAGAGGGAGCATTGGCTTGACAAGCTTCACGTATGCCTTTTGAGGCCACAGCGGCTTAACTGTGGCGCGGAACTCCTTGGTTAGGCATTCGTGCGGCCGGAAGAGCACGTCAAAGTCCCGGGCGAGGACGTGGCCTAGCTCCGTGTTTGCAGGCCCCTTGAGTAAGTGGGCAAAGACACCCTCCAACGACGACCCAGTGTAACGTTGCAGGACACCAGCAATGAGGCCATAGATTTCTTTTGCCAACGAGGCCCTCGTGTTAGTCGACTGGCTGGAAGCACCAAGCACCTCACCCCCACTCGTAATTGCGCCTAGCTGATGTTCCGCAAGTGCCAGGACCTTTGGAATCGTCTCAATCTTGTACTTATTGGCCAGTATCAGCAAGAAGTACCCAAGTCGCTGTTGACCATGATCACCCTCGTCTGCAGAAACGAGGAGTTTTGAGACAATGAATTCTTGGCCAAAGCCAGTTTCGAACTAGAGAGATCCAAGGTTTAATATATCGGCCAGGCATTCACCAAAAAAAGAAGCGAGGGTAACTTACCAAGGACTCAACAACCTTGGGGTAAAGAGGCTGCAGAATACCCAATGAAAGCGCAATTGGGAACCTCTGTTCCCGCGCGCTTGCGGGTGGGAGGTTACCGAGATCGCCAGTGCCGTACACAGACAGATCCTGAACGGGCTTAAGCACAACGTCTCTATACTCCAAATCTCCTCCACCTGGATCTTTATCACGACCACGGAACAAAGTCGCCACATCCTCATACAACCGAAGTTGCGACTGCTGAGCCTGCGACATTTGCTGGACTGTCAGCGTGGCAACGGAGGATATTAGATGTAGGTACTGATCCCGCCATTGATCGGAAGCCGGTCCTTGTTTGGCGATTTCTTCGCTCAGCGCAAGCCGCGTAAGGCCATCGGTAGCGACTAGTCGCGTAGATCGGCGGTAGAGAAGTCTTATGAAGTGTAGAGAAATCAGGAAGAAGCGGTTGTAGAGCTGTTCCGGTGTATTGTCGCCCTGCTCAAATTGCTGTTCGGCCCAGGTATCTGCGGACACCGACTCCGGAAACTCCAAGCTCGTTGTGTCAACTTCGAATTTGTTATTCAGGGCATCCCGGAAGTACCTCAGAGCCGACTGCAGCGCCGCAGGGTACACGGTCCAGAGCCGAGACGGCCTCTCGGACGTGGTAAGGAGATTATCAAGGCTCTGAACCAACTGCGAAGCCAGCTTGGTGAGGTAGTCGAATGTCGACTCGGGCGATCTGGGTAATTCAGAGCAGGCGATGAAGGCCAGCCTCGAAGTGAGCCTCACAAGGTAGTCGACTGAATCTTCGGTGCCATCGAGGGACTTGGTCACGTCGACGATTCGCGCAAGAAGCGCGTCAAGTGCCGGTGGCCATACCATCACGACCCTTTGTAGTGCCACGACTACCTCATCAACAACGTCGCTTAGTCGATCCGTCAAGAGATCGATAAGCGCCGAGGCGATGATATGAAGAGCCTCGTCGTTGAGAAGAAGTGCATGAATTGAAGAGACAGAGGCCTGGCTCGCCAGCAGACCCATTCCCTCCACCGCTTTCTTCGAAACGGTAGGATCACTATGTAGGCTCTGCTTGTATGCATCGTCGTATAACAACTGAAGCACAGATTCGGACGACTCAATGGCATCTTTATCTTCCTTTCCAAGATCGAGGCCCCCTTCGACAAACAAAGATCGAACTCCAAGGATGGAGTTGAGAAGCGCGAGGATATCTCGCTTGTGGTCCCTAGCCTCCGCATGGCGCAAATTCTCTACGGCATGCTTCACAGTCGGTGCTATGATCAGCGAGAAGGCGCCCGGCGAAGCACTAGCAGTGCAAACCAGCAGTTTCCCTGCCTTTTCGGTGTACGCAGCATTGGATAGGTCGTCAGTACACTCCCTGAGAACGGTCAAGACAAAGTTTCTAAGAGGCTCGCCGGCTAGTCTCGTCGTCATGGAGCGAATGACGTCCAAAGTGGCGTTTATAGTCTCCGTCACCTCTCCATTTCGTACTTCGTATTTGAGACAGTTCCATATCTTGCTCACGTACGGGTCGACCGAGGCAGTCGGATTCTTGTAGTTCACGATGCACTCTTTAAGCGTTCGTAGTATGTCAAGCTATTGGAAGGGGTTTTAATTAAGATATCCTTGCCAACCGCGGAATGGCCAAGCGGCGGGTGGGTGCTACGTACCTTAACGTCAACAGTGATCCCATCCCCTTGATTCAGCTTCTGTATAAGATACGGAACCGCATGGGAAGCGACGCGATCATCCGCAGCAAAACACCTCCGTAGTGCCACCTTGAGATCCTCTGCTGTAATACCAGAAGGATGCCGCGAGGTCCTCAGAGAGATAGGGAAATAAGCAGAATAAGCAGAGAATATCTTCTCCGTCAGGTCGGAAGACGGATCATACTCGGATGATAAGGTCACCAAGATGGAAAACCACGCTATGAGGTTCTTGGGGTCCCTTTCATTTCCGAATAATTCGAGCATATCAGTCATGAAGTCGCAATCGCTGTGGCGTGTTCTCAAATCTTTGCTGACTCTGGGGTCCGTCACGAGCCGCTGGAAGAGGTTAAAGATGGCAAGGCGAGTATCTGCCACTTGCTTGGTGAAGTCATTACCCATAGCACACACATTCTTAATGATGTCGTAGCCGCTAGAGGCGGGGAAGGCCTTCATGGAACTTATGGTGGTGAGGGCCTTTGCGGAGGCGAGGATGCCGGCCTTGTGATCGACACTGAACATGGCGCCGAAGAAAGTGACCAAAAGCTTGACTAGAAATAGTGTCTCTGTGTTGGCGAAAATTCCCCGTGGAGCGGTTTGCTGTAGAGATCACTTACTATGCGCAGCGATCAAGACATCATCATCCAGCCTCTCTAGTGTAATGGCGAGAAACTCAAGTGCTGAGAGGTAAAAGTCAATATTAAACTCATAAAGTTGAGATATCTCACGAAGAACCTCACCCTTGGCTCGTGCGATAATATCACCCTTGGAACCTTCAGTGGCATCGGCCATACTGGGATCCTCCTTTCCGGGCATCCATGGTCCGATGGACTCGACCCATCTCGCCACGGGATGAGTGTTTTTGGGAGAAGACTTGATTACTAGGCTAGATATCAGCTTCCTATCCGAGAACAATGAAGCAGCAATGGGAGCGATTCCACATACATTGTGCTGCCTTGTCGGCAATCTGGGCTCGGGCATCAGAATCGTCGGTTAGGACGAACTGGAGGGCCAATTGAGAGAAGTCTGCCATGATGAGTAGTAGTGAGGACAACCGGAGCCTGGCAAGACTCACAGCAGGGGGGGGGCGTTGTTACGTGTTATGGGCTATGGGCATGGATGGGGATTGAGTCGTTTAGATTCAAATTGGTTCAAGGGTGGTTGAGGTGAGGTCATACACCTAGCGAGTTGGTAGGGATGGATGTGGGGGCCTCCGGCATGGTCTAAGGGTTCCGCGGGGTGGTGGAAGGATATTGACCTTGGGACAAGATGAACTTCCTCAAAGCTGGCCTCAGACCGGTAGTGAAAAGACGCCTTCAATGGGGCAAAAGACAATGACTGGTAATATTAGATGCTAGGCTCGAGGGGCTTTTGTGATTCTTAGTAATTCTCTCGCGAAATTCTTATCAATGATGGATTCGAGGCAGGAGCAAAGAAGGCGGCTCTAGTCATGCTGTTTCTGTCCAATTTCTCATTTAGATAGTGGGGTAGTGGGGTTAGACGGAAGGCGAGTGAAACGGAACGTAGATTTAGAAACGGTGTGGATAACGGTTTTAGAATATCGAAACTCGGTGACGGGCTGGTACGGCTGGTTGGAGCTGCAAATCCAGAGGTCGCATCTCCGGTTCCAGTTCGTCTCTAGATCAGCTTCCATCATCGAATACTCATGGAGTCAAGCCTGATAGGAAATGGAAGATGTATGAGCAAGCATGGAAAATATTTAAAAATGCACGGTGGGTTTCTGGCCGTACATCAACATCCTAAACTCTAGCGAGACACATCCTCAACTTGAATGACCTGGATGTGAGGCGGCCAGAGTGGCGCGGATGCAGAAGGCCACAAGGCTCTGGGATGCCCCTTCAACCAGCATTTGCACTGGAGTGTCACCTCCACGTGACGGGTATATGGTGCTTAATTATTGGGCGTAAAATGCTCCAGAGACTGGGATACACAGGTGCGCCCGCGCCCCCTCCAGGCAGAGGGGCAGGGCGGGAGCACGCTCTTCCTCGTTCCTCCTCCCTCTCGTAACTATTTTTCAGAGTGTCTCGATGTCTTCAGCGCTGTTAAGGGCGGCGGGGCCTCTAAAGCCTGAAATTCGCCTAGCGCAAGCGGTCTCGCTTTTCGAGGCAGACCTTTCCCCCGAGCAGAAACGTACCTTTCGCAGCCGGAGAGACAATTCGCTCAAGTCCCCGCCAGACATCCAGGATGTCATGCACCTCACCGCCGAGATTGATCGCCATAGACTCGGCTCTGGGCCATGTTTGGGACCTCGTTTGACCAATATGCTGCAGGCTATCCAGCAATTCGCAGCACTCGGGGACATCGTAATCGGCGGAGCCCAGAACATTATTGCGTCGGGTGTGTGGACGCTTGTACGAGTGACGTTGCTTGTTCGTTGACTCCTGATCCTATCGTGTTAGCTTGAACTTTCAGCTACTAAGATATTATCTTCTGCTAGTCCCTGGTGAATTTCTCATCCTGCCTCGAGAAGATGTCGACTCTTTTCATGATCGTTGGTCGCTCGGCTCCCCGATACGAAAGCATGGCCTTGCTCTATCCTCGATCGAGGACTCTGCAATCACATTTATCCGAATATTTCATCGTGGTGGTTCGTCTCTGTCACCAGATGCTCAAATTCACAAGGAAATCGGTCTGGGGTCAGCTGGCCTCTTTTCTAAGTGACTCCGATATGAATGGCTACCAGTCGGAGCTCGACCGATGGGCCAATATGATCAAGGAGGAGGTGAGCCTGCTGACGGCCCAGAATATCAAGGAGCAAGGCGCACACCTCAAAGTGTTGTCGAAGTTCTCTGCAGCCGAATCGCACCGTCAGAAGCTGAAGGCACATGTGCGCGTCCTAAACTATTGTTCCACCTACGATTACCAGACGACGTGGAAGGAGATTCGGAAGATCGGGAAATCGACTCTATTGGAGAAGGCCCCCGAATATCAGCAATGGAAAGCGGAAACAGACTCACAAACGCTAGTTTGCACAGGCAAGCTTGGGTCGGGAAAGTCTGTTCTGTTGGCTAATATCGTTGATGACCTCATTCTCCACTCCCAAAGCCAAGGCGCGAAATGCCCAGTAACTTATTTCTTTTGCCGGCATGATATTTCCGGTAGTTTGAAAGCACATACAATCGTTTGCTCTCTGGCCCGACAACTGCTACATCCCATCCCAGACCTCACTATGGTTGAGGCATTCCTTAATGAAACCAATTCAGTCTTAGATTTCAGGGATATACTCGACGTACTTAAACGCGCCCTGCCTCTGGACTTCAAGGCGTATTTCGTCTTGGACGGGTTGGATGAGTGTGACGATGTCGAGAAGGCGGCATTACTTCAACAACTCCGGGAGCTTCAAGCCACCTTTACATTACTTATATGTATATCTTTCCGGTTAGAGGCCGGTACAATCTCGAACGTTGACTCGAAACAATTAACATCAAATTACAGCACCATTACGATTCCTGAAGATAATTCCGACATCGGTACCTTCATCACTACAGAGCTGGGGAGGCGTATGGAATGTACGGGTTCTACGAAACTGAACATCGGGGACCCCATGCTTATACTTGAAATACGGGATGCCCTCCTTCGAGGTGCGCAGGGAATGTTCCTCTGGGTCTCTCTCCAAATTGAGTCCCTGTGCGCGGAGGAAACAGACGAGGCCGTTCGCCAGGCTCTGGCGAATCTTCCCAAGGACCTCCCGACAACATTTTACCGTATTCTGCAGAAGTGGGAGGGCCAAGGGAAGAAGTACCAAACGCGCATCTTTGAGCTTGTTTTGGCGGCTCGTCAGCCGTTAACTACGGAAGCCCTTCGCGAAGCTTTAAGTGTGGTCCCCGGCGATGCTGTCTGGCGCCCAGCGAGCCTTCTGAATGACGTATATTCAGTGCTGTCTTACTGTGGCAGCCTCATTATCGTCGACGAGGAAGAGTTGACTGTAAGATTGATGCATCATAGTGTCAAGCAATTCCTTCTTGGCGAGTTCAAGGATGCAAGCGGTGTCGGATTCACGATGGAGAGAGTAAATAAAACCATGGCAAGCGTCATCGTTACGTACCTCAGCTATGGCGTTTTTGACACTCAGGTCTCTACCATGGTGGTTCCGCAAGTAATGATGGGGATGGGGGGTGCGCCGTCTCGGATTATTCATTCCACAACGGAAACATCAGGTTTTGTCCGGGATCTAGCTCTAAAGCTTCTGAAGTCTCGAGGTCAGGCCAATTACAATATGGGTAAGATCGTTGCTGAGACGAACCAGCGATACACGTTGCCAACCCGAGAGCAATTCCGATTTTACGACTATGCATCCTCACACTTGCTGTACCATTCCTCGTATATATTATCGGATCAACAGCCCGATCTGCGCCCCATGCTGCTCGATTTACTGGAAAAACATACCGCCCTTTGCCTCAATAAAACGGCTGATGGCTGCTATACGTTACTACATGCAGCGGTGGAGGAGGGCCATGATGAAATCGTCAGGCTGCTAGTCGAGAAGGGTGCTGACGTAGAGACCACAGGCAGCTCCGGCCAGACTCTGCTGGCCACTGCCGTCGCGGGCGGGCGTGAGGCCATCGTTAGGCTACTTCTCGCTACGGGCCGGATCGATGTCAACTCGCGGAACCATTCTGGCCAGACGGCCCTCTGGATAGCAGCTGAAAGGGGTCATACAACTATTGTCGGGCTGCTTCTCAATGCTAGTTTTGGTGCTAGACTTGTTGACTCTGGAGACGGCTACCATCACACGACGGCATCGTCATTTGCAGTTGATAAAAGACTCGAGGCCCTAAACGTACTGGTCCCCAGGGGCCCAATCCTTGTCAACTTCCGGGATTCCTGTGGCCGGACGCCTCTCTGGCTAGCGGCTAGCAGAGGGTATACAGCTATTGCCGAGCTGTTACTGAATAGAATCGACGTCGATGTTGACTCTGCAGATGAATACTACTGCATGACGCCACTGTCAGTCGCTGCTCTGAATGGACACAAGGCGATAGTCGAACTACTGCTTGATACGTTCGGGGTTGATGTCAACTCGCGGAATTATTTCCAGCAGACGCCTCTATCAGTAGCAGCCGAGATGGGCCACACGGATATCGTCGAGCTGTTGCTGCAGATGCTCCACGCCGTCGATTTTAGCTCTTCAGGAGAATCCCGCATGACGCCATTATCCTATGCGGCTAAGAATGGTCGTGAGGCTATCGTCAAGCTACTACTTGATACTGGCAGGGTGAATATTAACTGGAGGGATTCTTCTACCTGGATCCCATTATATTGGGCGGCTAAGAATGGGCATAAATCTATTTTCAAGTTATTGCTCGCTTCGGACCAAACCGAGTTTGATCTTACTCCGGAAGATGGTGTGTACGGGCAAACGATATTAGTATGGGCTGTTCGGGCTGGATACTGGGATGCCGTCGAAGAACTGCTGGCAACGGGCACACTCGACCTCGCTTGGGGAGGGAGCGGGAATAAGCAGACGCTGCTGCCCTGGGCTGCTGAGAATGGGGATGAGTACATTGTGAAGGTGGTGCTCGGAACAGGCAGAGCCGATGTCAACGCGACGACTTTCCTTGGGTGGACACCACTATTATGCGCAGTCATAAAGGGACACGAGGCTGTCGTCCGGCTACTACTCACCAAAAAGACGGTCGATATTAACTCGAAGGATCGTTTCGGCCGGACGCCACTCTGGTGGGCCGCTTCAGGAGGACACGAGGGGATTGTCAAGCTACTTCTCTCGTCAGATAGAGATGTCGACGTCAATTCTCCAAACCCCGATCGCCAGTCGCCACTGTGGTGGGCCGCTGCGAAGGGATACGAGGGTATCGTCAAGTTGCTGCTGAGAACGGGCCGCGTTGACGTGGATGCGAGGGACAGTCTCCTTCAGCGGACGCCACTACTGTGCGCTGCTGTGAAGGGATATGCGAGCATCGCTAAGCTACTGCTCGATACAGGCAAGGTTGACGTTAACGCAAGGGATGCCGAGAACCGGACGCCATTGTTGTGGGCCGCCGAGAACGGGCACTTTAGCATGATCAAGCTGCTGCTGTCCGTCCCCGAGATCAACATTAATGTTACAGATACTTATAACCGGACACCACTTTGGTGGGCTGCTGAGAATGGGTATGAGTACGTTGTTAGGCTCCTTATGGCTCTGGGTAAGGACCGCCAAGTTGATGTCGGGACAATGGATTCTATATTCCGCCAGACTCCAGCGTCACGCGCCGCTAAGAAAGGCCACGACACGATTGTTTATTTACTCTTACGGCGCAATTACTAGTGGAACGGGAACGGTAATGGTGACGGTGCTGCCACCGTTTTTCATTATGACTAATCACGGAAGGGAACAATGAAACAACACACAGATCACTCCAATTGATATTGCTTTTGCTCTGTGAGCCACGAACAAGCTGCTCGTGAGTTTTGCATGAGACTACGGAGGAAAGCTGAGGACAATTGATTGAGGTTCAATTACTGTAGTCTATGATACTGGGGACGGGATAGAAGTTGCGGTAAGAAGGTAACATGGGTGTTTGGCATCCGTCGGCGTCAATGCCAGGACGATGTCGGAGGTGTCGATTAATAACTTGGCATAGGCGATTGGACGGATATTTTCCATGTACAAGGTATATTCTAGCTTTGTGCCTTTCCTGATTCCCGTCACTATCAACTGAGAGCGGAAAGGTAAGGTGTTCAAGAAAGGCTCTCTGTGTTTCGATTGCAGGTCTGGCGAAGTCGACGGCAAGCGTCGTCCCGTCCGAACTGGTGGAGAATAAATTGAGTTAAAATGCAATGCGAGAGATAAAAGCAAAGCTGCTTCGAGGAGATGGATGATTCATTCATGAAGTTCAGAATACTTCCTATCGAGGTTCACATGGGAATTCAAGGGAAGAATTACAGCCTTAATGGTGTACTTCAAGTCGTGTCAAAGTCACTTCATGTTCTCGTCGCGATAAACCTGTCCTTGTGCGCGAGAAACTACCCCTTTCGATTTCTCCAATCCTCACTCAAAGGTACTTGGAGAGTACATCTACACTCTCCTTGCCTAAGTACAGAGGTATACAAGTACAATTACAGGTATGGTTCAGGATCCACCTTTTGGTTTTAGCCCCTCCATTGATCCAAGATCGGAAGGAAAACCCCCCCCCATCCAAAAAAAAAAAAAAAAAAAAAAAAATCCCATCCATCATCCATCTCAATTCATCCATGACAATATAGGCGCCGGGCGCGCAACTTTTTTTTTTTTTTTTTTTTTCCTAGCTCACCCCTCCTCCCGTCTCTTCGTTTTCTCCCCAAAACCCTTCACCATAGCGTCCTCAATTCTTCTCCGCGGTAGAGCTCCTCTCTTCCCCGCGCCCCGTCTCGCCGTCCTCGTCGCATCCCGAGCCTACCGTTGCGCATCGCGCCCGTCCCTCGCAATGGCCGAAGCTACCGTCCCCAAGACCTGCAAGGTCGTGCTGGCCGAAACCATCGCCAGGAACCTCCTCGCCGAGGTCCAGGAGTCCCTTAGCGCCATGCGCGCAAAGGGTATTGAGCAGCCTGCTCTCGCGGCCTTTCTTGCCAATGACGACCCGGCTGCTGTAAAGTACGCCGAGTGGTCCAAGAAGACTTGCGAGGAGAAGTGAGTTTTTTAGAAAAAGAGGAGAAGCAATCGGCCCTTCCAAGCACTCCTTCTTCCCAGAGCCTTAGAGCTGACGCTCTCTCTCCCTCTGCAAAAGCGGCTTCAAGTTCGACCTCCGCACCGTCGACAAAGAACTCCTCGAAGACGAAATCATCAGCGCAAACCAAGACCCCTCCGTCGACGGTACCATCGTCTACTATCCCATCTTCCCCAACAACCCCACCCACGACAAGTACATCCAAGAAACCGTCGCCGTGACCAAGGACGTCGAGGGCCTCTGCCACACCCACCTGCAAAACATGTACCACAACATCCGCTTCCTCGACCCGCCCCAAAACCTCAAAAAGTCCCTCCTCCCCTGCACGCCGCTCGCCATCGTCAAGATCCTCGAGTACCTCCAGATCTACAACTCCATCCTTCCCTACGGTAACCGCCTCTTCGGGAAGACCATCACCGTCATCAACCGCTCCGAGGTCAACGGTCGTCCCCTGGCCGCGCTGCTCGCCAACGATGGCGCTACCGTCTACTCTGTTGACATTACCGGCGTGCAGCTCTTTACGCGCGGTTCGGGAATCAAGCAGCCCCGTCACCAGGTTTTGGATAAGGAGGGCTGGACTGTTGAGAATTGTCTGCCGATGAGCGACGTCATCATTGGTGGTGTGCCGAGCGACAAGTACAAGGTGAATACGGAGTTGATTCGCGATGGCGCCGTGTGCATCAACTTTTCGTCGTATCGGAATTTCGATGGGCCGGCTGTTAAGGAGAAGGCTTCCATATATGTGCCGTCTGTGGGCAAGGTGACTATTGCTGTACTCTTGAGGAATCTTTTGGTATGGACTCCCCTTCCCTTTGGGTGCAGCTTTCTTGATCTTTTTCGGCTAACTTGGCATTCCTATCTAGCGTCTTATTGACAATCGGCAACCATCTGAAGCGCCTAAGGCGAGCGAGTCCTGATTCTGTCAACGAGCGTAGAGTCCAGAGGAGGACCCAAATTCAGCGTAGAGAAGTAGAGAAGTAGAAAATACGTGAAGTTGTAAAAAGGGACAGGAGAGGGAAGACACAGAAAACATGAAGCTGGGGAAAAAGGAAAAGGCAAAGAAAAAAGGACCGGAAGCGTTTGCATTATAGTATAGAGAAAAACACTGCTTGATCAAAAGATCCTCTAAAACTCTCGCGAGAATGAAGATAGAAAAGAAGGTAACACGGAGAAGAAGTCGGACCAGACCGTTCGACTTTCTGACGGGGAATCACCAACCGATACCCGTGTGTGACGTTGATATAAATGGTTTGTATATAATAGAGCTTCTATGCTGCAATTAATAACTTTTCAATTCTCATCCAAGTCGTACTCTACACAAGTCCCTACGTTTCCTCCTCTTACTCCATCACTTCCACCAACATCACGGTCTTACACAATCCCATCTACAATATCTACGACCAAAACCTACCTCACTTCTGTCCGATCAACCTCGCATTCATCCCAACCACACACCGGATCAAATCCCAATCCCCATGCGCCCCCACCCAATCCGTAACCACGATCCCCGTCCCTCCATCACCCACACCCAACCCCTTCAACCCCATCCCCTCCACCGCATGCCTCGCGCACAAATACTCAACAATAGCCGGGTTCACCTTGGCAGCAATCCTCTCCGGCCAACACGTCGCATTAAAAAAATTACTCGCCGTCAAAAAATTCACAAAAAACGGAATCTCCCCATCCTTGCTCCTATCCCTCTCCGAATGCTGACACTTCTCGTGCCGTAAGGCGCCCGCCCTCTCGAGCTGCGCGCAGCTAAAGGATATCTTCTTCTCGATGTTGGTGCTCTGGTCGATCTCGTAGAAATCCTGTACGCGGATGAGGCCCCCGCCGACGGTGCCGTCCTCGCAGTTATCGGGCCAGCTCTGTCCGTCGATGCCGAACGCTCCGCCCGATTCGTCGCGCACGGCGTCGTCGACTGCGAAGCGCCTCACGAGCACGATCTTGCCGCGCGCTTCGCTGAGCGAGGGTATGTGCGATGTTATGAGCCACCGCGCACTGTTGGGGTTGATGTACCGGTTCTTGAGATGCCGACTCATTTGCTGGTCCGAGGCCCTACCGGTACCTTCGCGCTTAAGGGACATGAGGAGGGATTCGCGCGGGTTGGCGTCGAGGAAGGCATAGCATTCGGAGAGGAGATCGTGTAGGTACTTGTTACCCGTGAGGCTGATGGGGAAGGCGCTGTGTACGAGGGAGAGGCTATCGTTGTTCGGGTCGGCGGAGACGCGGATGTCGAGGAAGCGCACGCCGTTGTCGAGCTGTTCGCGCACGCCGGCGACTTGGCAGCGTACCGAGGGCAGCGCAACGTGGCACGTGGGACTATTATGCGTTCCGGGAATCGAGAGCACCGAAAGGGGTAAGTTGTCGTCGAGTTCGTTCATCCACGACTCGAGTTTCGTCGACGAAAAGACGGCGAGTAAGTGCTGGCTCCTCACGTACACGGTCGTAAACTTTTCCGATCCGCCGTCCAGCTGCTCCATCGTCTGCGAGTGATTCAGCGGGCCGGGAACGTCGGCGCGGTACTTGTGCCCGGCGCCCTCGAACGTTAGGCGGAGGACTTCGCGGCCGCGCTCGGCGGCAGCGAGGCCCGTATCTTTGGTCTCGAAGGGCTCGATGCGGTGCGAGACGTCTTGCGATTCGCGCGAGTCGCCTTTGGGCTTGAGCTCTTTCGTGGCGAACTTGGTGCCGTTGATGAAGCTTGTTATGCGGCCCTGGACGTTGGTGAGGGTGTCGCCGCGGCTGACTTTTTCGGCGTCGAAGCGCTCGGCTTTTTGGAGCTCGAGGGGTATGGTTGTGTAGTTGCGGATCTTGAGGGTGGACGCCATGGTGAAAGGGGGTGAGCTCAGTAGCTAAGTATAGATCAATTGACTTCCGGATGAGCTCCAGAGAAGGAGGAGACGTCTCCAAGACGGATGGTAGCAGTGGAATATCCAAGAAAAATAATGCAAGAAAAACAAAAGAAAAGAGGACGACAAGAGAGAGGGCGGGGATGTTAGTGAGCCCAACGTGAAGGGGGGAAGGGGGGAAGGGGGGAAGGGGAGTCGAATAAGATGGATTGAGTTGAGGTTGAAGTGCAGACCAGAAGCTTCAATTGGACCAGAACGACAGTCGAGCTGAGCTTCTTTCAGCTGGCAACGTTCAATTGAAGCGCCAAAGTACCTCGTACAAGAGCGAGACATGCAATTGACGTCGTCACTTTGATTCAGTATATCCCTGTAAGTTTACGAAGTCCAGCCCAAGTCGAGTCTCGAACTGGAGGGGGTCGAAACCATGGCGTGAATGGCGCGATCTGAATTGGTTAGTGTAGACCAGACCTGTGGATCAATTGCGTGGCTAGCTGCCGTTAGATACAGGTTTGAAGGACAGACAGTCTGGGCAACGGAAACTACGGCATTCCTTCGATGCGATCGTGGTCTCACTGCAATCGATCTGACAGTAAATATACGATTGAAATGTACATGTACCTGGATTAATGATCGAGATTGAAGTACTTCAAAGGTTACTTGTACAAGCACTCGTCATCGCTAATGTCTTGCAGCTCTCGGCATCTTGGCAAGAGCGATGGGACAATTGAACTTTCGAAATATCGTCGATCTGATCTCCTCGTTCACCGAGCCATGGCAAGATATAAACTGCTAGAATGAAAGCATTCATCTAAATCTATCATCAATGCACGCTCGGTATCAATTTCATCATACATAAACTAGTAACGCCAAAACCCCCGCCATAAACACCTACACTAACAAGATATTAGCCAGCCTCTCCGCCCCCAACCCAGCAACCCCTTCACCCTCCATAATCCCCTGCACATACCCATCCCCGACGAGCGTAAACCCGATCGGCCCCCTCCTCACAACATACGGCACCGTAGCGCCCCAAAACACCACCACCTCATCTCCGGGCCTAGAAATCACCGGCACGAGCGCGACGTACCCTCCCCTCGTGATGGCGAAACTCCTCCCTCGACAGGTCATGTCCACCTGCATCTGGAACGTCTCCACGGCGTCCATCGTCCTCCCTCCTCCCGTTATCATCGCCGGCCGTTTCGTTTCCTCGTCGGTCCGCCACCGCTCGAGCGCCGATTCGTACGTCGCCACTGGGTCTTCGATGGGGCTGCTCTGGGGAATGGCGTCGGGTCCCGTATAGGTATCGTCCATGAGTAGGAGGCGCACGAAGGCCTCCCGCGCATCGTTGCCGTAGTTCCTCCGTCCTCCCCCGCGGGAGACCCAAGCGTCAAAGGCTGCACGCGCACGCTTGTGGCCCTCGAGAAAGGACGAGGCACAACTGCCATCCGTCGTAGAAGGCATCATCTCGTAAACAGAGTCGAGCGTGTCAACAAGGTATCCCCGGACCGAAAGGCCCGCTATGCCCGTTTCGTCACCGGCAAGTGCCACCTCAGCTATCGTAGGCCCACCAGCCGCGTATCGGAGAGGCCGAAGCGTAGAGATGACCTTTGGCGAGGGAGATTGCGCCGTCCAGTCGGGCACCCAAGACGGCAAGTACTCTGGTATGCGCCGTCTTTGGATCCCCGCGCTGTCGAGCATCGCGATGGCCCGTCCGTAGCGAACGTGGAGAGCCGCGAACTTCCTAAAAACCGTCGCTAGGGGTTGCGGATAAGGGCCGATGGCTTCCTGGTCGTATTCGGACATCAGAGCCATCAGTCCGTAAATCTTATCCTTCGGTACCGTCGTCGAGAAATCCCCCGTCAACTGCATCAGCTTTAGGGAGTCGTTCTGATGTTGTTGCTGGTACATCTGCTTAATCTCCTTGATCCTGTTATAATTCCCAAACCCTCGTATCGTAGCGTCACCCGACAGCAGCAACTCCTCCATCCTCTCGGGGTTCCTCGTCAACGCGCCCTTGTCGAGCGTCCGGTCGAGCTCTTCCCTCTCGAACAGCTCGCCCTGAAATATGAAGAGGGCGCGCTTAGCTAGCGCGATCTCCTGGATGATCCACGTTCGTTCGAACCACGGCTGCGCCAACGCTAGGAACACCGTCTTGTAGTGTAGTGGGGTATCGCGATTCCGCGGGTCCTCGAATTCCGTCAAGGCTTCCTCCTGCCGCCGGTCCCCTCCGCTTCCCCACGTCGTAGCAGCGACACCGCCACAACGTGGACTCCGGTCTTGTACGTCACCGAGGTCGACGTAGACGGTTTGCGCACGCGAGTAAACGTACCGCATCAGCATGAGTTGCTGCGATTTCTCCGCCTCATTCCGCTGGTCGATACATATCGCGTCGGCCCAGATGTATTCCTCCATCCCGCCCGATGCGAACCCGGCCCTTAGCCTCTTCAGCGCCATCTCGAGATTCCTCTTCACGGCGAACAAGGCCCCGTTGCAGAGTATCTTTGCCTCGTACGGTCCGCTGCCCCAGTAATATGAGAGGGCGCCGTACGCTGGCGCATCGTTGATGTTGATGTGCACGAGCTCGCAGTCCAAGGTGTCGGTCCCCGCCAGCGCCGGCTTGATTTTCAAGAGTCGCATCTCCACGTTGGGCATTTCTAGCGGTGCATACTGGAATACAGGCGTGTCTGGTCCTATTGTCGCTGGTTGGGGTAGTTCGGGGGGAGGTGGTGGAGACGCACGCGCACCGACGTTAGGCGGCGTCCGACTCGTCGCTTGTCTCCGCTTGTTCGTCTCATCCGTTACGCGCTCGTTGGAGGAGGGTAGGAGGCGGTAATGGCTGACGCCCATGCGTCGGGGACAGCTGGGATCGCATTGTTTGTGGACGGAACAAGAGTTTTGGGCCGTGGCGATAGAGGCCACGATTTGGTCTAGGATCATGTTGGCTGCGTCATTGTGAGAGGTTCCCTCGGGGATGGTGACGCGAGCTGTGACGGTTGGGGTTAGAGGAGAGACGGTTGATGGAGGAGTGGCAGAGAAGACCTGGCCGTTGAGGGGAGGAGAAGGAGTAGGGGTTTGGCGGGTGGAAGGAGGGTAGCTTGTTGTCGCGGGAGGGTAGTGAGCTGGTTGGGTTGTTGGGCCGTGACCATGCCCAGTATGTGGTCGTCCGTCTGTTGTCGGGCGATACTGCGCGTGCCAGTGAGCTCGCGGTCGTGTTTGTTGAGCCGGCGCCATCGTCTGAGCTCGAACAAGCGCAAAGTCTGTAGGCTGGGCATATCCTCCCCATGCCTGTTGTTCCGCATAGTTCGCCGTCCGAGGCCTCGCATCGCCGCCCCATCGCTCTTCCGAATACCATCTTCCATCCACGCCATACGTCCCCTGCATCCCGCCATCATAACTCATCCCCATCGCCGTTCCCATCGTCTCCGCGCGGTGCCCATATTCGCAACAACAGCTCGCCGACGACGCAATCGGATAATTATCCCTTGCCGCCGTCGGCCCCGAACCCGCGCGTCTAAGACCGTGACCGTGGCCGTGGCCCCCCACACTCAGCTGCGAAGCTGACGTCGCCTGTGCCCCTTGTTCCTCTTCCTTCCGGCCCGGTTTGCCTTTGACCTTGGACAAAAAGCTCCTGACTATCCTGGGGGTCATTTTTGAGGAATATTTTTCTTCTCTCAATTCCCTCTTGTTCTAGTTTAGCCTCGATTCTTCATCTTGATTTTTCTTCTCTTTCCCTTTTGCTCTTTCTAAAAAGGGAAAGCAGGGCGTCGTCAGAGTCGGTTTCTTGGCATGAAGAGTTTCAAAAAGCCCAAAACAAAAGCGGCCCCAAAAATTCCCCCCAAAAGGAGAGAGAAGGACAGCAGCCCATTAAATCGCCCAGCCAAAAAAACATTCCAAAATAAACTAGTGAATTTTTGCACCGCCCTCTGCGCTGTAACCATTGCGGTTCGAGCTGGTAGGGCTGAGCAAGGAGGCGCTGAATTCGGCCCCATTCTGGCCCACCACCTGTTCTAAGTTTATTCAAGGGCGGTTTTCTCGTTCCAGCTCGATGTCTTTGGCGCATGCTGTTTCGCTGCGGGCTCGGATTGGGGGCCAGGACTGGAAAGGGGCGCGGAGATCTGCGCGGGTCAGACGGGCTTGAGTTCGTCCGTTTTTCTACTTCTTGGGCTCCCTTTTTCTCTTCGAGGTTACGGACAGGGGCTTCGGTATCAAATCTAGATAATCGTGATAGAGGTTAGATTTATTAACTTCTGGGCATTCTCAGGTGAAGCTGAATATCAATTTCAACATCTCTCACGATTGTCGCGGTGAACAAACATGGGCTCATTTTAATTCTACTTCTTCGATTTCGAGTGCAGACTTCAGACACATAGGAAAATGGGGTATCCTTGTACAAATGAAAGCACAAAAAGTAGTTACACGAAGTTGCATGTGGCTATGCTTCATGCTCGTATCTCATCGCTCATTGCTCGTCGCCCAACTGTTTCCATCCTCTGTCCATACCCATCATACCCATCATTTCCATCATAACATCCTCCACAGAACAAATGGAAAACAAACAAGAAAGAAAGACCGGAAGCATCGATGGTCGACGACTGACTCCAGGAAAACCCTTTCAAAGGCCCGCATCGTGTTTTTGTCTCAAATCTCGGGGCTGCCAACCTTGGGCTCGCTGTCATCCACCTGCGCACCGAAAAGTTCGCCCTCGCGTAGCGCCAGAGCATTTATAGCATCTATATAATGATCACGAAGGCCCTCCGCCTGGATCATAGCAGAAGCAGCCCTGCCTCGGACAGCCTGCGTCTTAACCGCCTCCTTGACAAGTTCCGATCCGCCGACAATGTTGGTGTTGCCCTCGACATTGGTGTAGGCCTGGATGTCTATATCGATAGGTCGGGGACGCCCGGCTGTGTCAATTATTGGTGCTCGGAGAGCGGTAAGCCCCCGGAAGACGTCGCCCAGAAGAGCGCGGGCCGCAACGTGGGGGTCCGCCCGCGTCTCGACGATGTTGTCGTCTGTCTGGACGCTCGCATAGGTGCTGATCGAAATTCGTATGGCTGGGGAATGGCCAGGGCCATTTGCTGCCTGCAGGGCATGGGTCGCGTGGTCTGGACACAAGGGAGATGTTCAGTTAGACTCTATGATGTTCATATGGGGATTCACATGATGGATAGAGCTAGGGACATGGTATGAGAGACGAGAATTGGAGAAAATGGCTTACGCTGATGGCCAGAAGGAGTGTGGGCATATCTGGGCTGAGTGGCCTCCATGGCAGCTGCTTGGGCCTGAGTGGCTGCCATAGTTCTCAAATAGCGCTGAAAAGCTTCGCTGAGGCCGGAGCCATTGTTGTTGTTGTTGTTCAAAGGGAGGGATGATCCCAGCGGAGGATACGAAGGGGCATCAGAAGCATTGGCTGTTCCAACGACAATGTCGTCAAAGCTCGTTCCCTGGTTAAGACCATCTTCATAAGCTTGATGGGGCATATTGGCCATAACGAAAATATATGACTTGCAAACGCAAAGAAGTGTGGAAAAGTGTGAATGAGAAAAAAAGACTAGGAGCAGGGGGGTTTGCTGTGAATGGTAGACTTAAGTCGTGAGCCCCAAGTCATGAGGAGGAAAAAAGAAGAAGATCTCATCACAAAAGAAAATTTCATGCCTTTATATATTTTTTCCCTGTGTGCCCCCAATCACTCCTGATTAGCTTATGATTCACTGATCTTCCAGTGGCCCTATTCACAAATAAATGTGTCAATAGGAATTATTTGTTGCTCTGGTTGAGAGATGGAAGGTGCGAGAGGGGGGAGGAGGGTGGTGAGAGTTGGGAGGAGTAATCATGAGAAGAGAGACTGGAGCATTGCTAAAGAGAAGGTGAAGGACGGAAGGTACGATCTCGTATGATTTGAATGTTTGGAATAGCAGCGGTGTTGGCAAACCTTCAGCCTTGTTCTTGCATTAGACTTCGAGGCTCTGGTCATCCCTGAGATCATCTCCCCCCTTGTGACACCGCTACCGGATCCCGATGGATAGTCTCCTTGGCTTCGATGTCCTTGTTGATTCGTAGATAGTAGAGGCGCGTCCTAGTCGAGCCGGATTGCAGTTCCTGCTGCAGTTAGCGCTTCTCAGTTGCCCAGGGTATGCCACTTATCTCCAGTCAAGCGAATCCACAGTACCGCAAAGCTCAAGGCAACTGACTTCGTTCAAACAACCTCCTCTGCTCAACCAGCCCCAACCCACATCCAATGGCCTCCTTATCGTCCATATAACGAGGGCGGCGTCCAAGAAACCCGGAAAGCCCTGCTCGGAGAGACCCAGATAGGCAGACGACGTAGATCGGTCATTCTCATGGCAAAACATCTCAGGATCAAGCAGGTAGATAGCATAGAGAGGCAAAATAAGAAGGCAAAAAACGTCATATAAATCTGTATTCTTCTTACCCCCCTAGCCAGCCTTGTTCATCCTTCTCCTCCTCTTCACCAAACGCAAAAAAATAGATAGGCGAACAAGCCGACTCGTCGAGCCAACTCTGATTCCCCACACTACTCCTCTTTCCTTCCTGCGTATCCCTCTCTCCCCTTCCTATATCTCCATCATATCGTTGGGGGAGCCGAGCTTCATCCCTTCCCCAAGTTGGATTTCTCTTGTTCCTTGCGAAGAGAGAAGAGGGCGGGGGAGAAGACTGGTTCGCCCAACGAACAACCAACAAGGCTCGGCCGGGTAAAGAAAAGAGATGTTGAAATTTCCTTCTTATTATCCCCGTTGAACGCCGATATTTTAGGATGCCGTCATTGCTTCTAAAAAAGGGGTTTTGGTCCCTCCCTCTTTTGTTCCTTTCGCCCAAAAAAAGAAGTTTCCGAAGCTTTGAAGCCTGTGGGTATCTTGAAAAAAAGTGTTTTGTTGAAAATGCCCGAAACGTCTCGTTTTTCCTCCTTTTGCTGCCGTTTTGCCTTTCTAATAGTAAGTTTGAACCGCATCTTAAAAACAAGACTCCAGAAAGAAGAAATTTTGTAACAAAAAGAAAATTCGTTGCCTTTGTTGAAAGACGTCGTTTCCATCCGAGTGTTGATACACCGAAACAAGAATCTCCTCCTCACCCGGCAATGCATTATTAGGCATGTGTATGTCGAGTTCAATGATCACCGAGAAAGAAAAAGACCCTGCAGGCCGAGCGCGGTCTGGCACGACTCGCGTCGACCGTCACACCGACCCACATCTTAGTTCCGGCCCCAGGGCACTTCCCGGAGACACATGAGAGAAAGAAACACGTCAAGACACAATCGGTTGAAAATGAGAAGGAACAATAGAGAAATACTTGCCATGAAGATCAGAGCATTCATAAGAAACCAACTATGCGACCCGTAACAAGAAGACAACATGATGATAGCGCTGAACCAAGGTTTTCGTTGAGATACCCGTACGCCTTTGTAGAAAAAGAAAACAAATGAGAAATGAGAAACTAGTTTTCCCTGTCCCGTAAAACTCGTGTATAATCTAGGGGCTATTACGTCCCCAGTACAAAGTAGGAGGATCCTGGCCCGCTTGCGGAGACTGTTGAAGCAAGTCCACGAAAAAGCGGGCGCTGGGTACCTTTTTATTAATTTTTCATTGTTGTTGTGGATGTCGAGGTCAGTTCCACTTAGAACTTGAGAGCCTTGGGCTTCTCCCAGCTGAAGCTCTGGTTGGTGCCGAAGTGACCGTTCTTGGCGGTCTGGAGGTAGATGGGCTTGTCGAGGTCGAGCTCACGGACGATGACACCGGGCCTCATGTCGAAGTTGTTGCGGATAATCTCCACAAGCTCCTCAGAGGTCTTCTCGGAGGTGCCGTAGGTATCGACGTAGATGGAAAGGGGCTCGGCAACACCAATGGCGTACGAAAGCTGGACGAGGGCACGGCGGCAGAGCTTGGCGGCGACGAGGGACTTGGCAATCCATCGAGAGAGGTAGGCGGCAGATCGGTCGACCTTGGAGAAATCCTTGCCGGAGAAGGCACCACCACCGTGAGCGCCCCAACCACCGTAGGTGTCAACAATGATCTTGCGACCAGTGAGACCGGCGTCACCCTGGGGACCACCGATGATGAAGAGACCAGAGGGTTGAATCTAGAGCAGTTTGTTAGCTATTCGAACTAGGAACCACCTCCACCTCGGACCACTACTTCTTTTTTTCGGCCACACAAGGAGCCGGAATTGAGATTAGAAAACTTACGTGGTAGATGGTGTTGTCATCCAAGTACTTAGCAGGGATGGTCTTCTTGATGATCTTCTCCTTGATCTCCTGTCGGAGCTTCTCGGTGGTGATATCGGCGCTGTGCTGAGCAGAGACGACGACGGTGTGGACGCGGAGGGGAACGACGGCACCGTTGTCGTGCTTGTACTCAATAGTGACCTGGGTCTTGGTGTCGGGTCGGAGCCAGGGAAGGGAGCCGTCGCGGCGGGCGGCGGACATGGCAGCATTGAGCTGGTGGGCGAAGAGAAGGGTGAGGGGGAAGAGCTCAGGGGTCTCGTCGGTGGCATATCCGAACATGATACCCTGGTCACCAGCACCGAGCTTCTCGAGGGCCTCATCGTAGTGGAGACCCTGTGCGATATCGGGAGACTGCTGCTCGATGGCGACGAGGAGGTTGAGGGTCTTGTAGTCGAAGCCCTTGGACGAGTCGTCGTAGCCGATATCCCTGACGGCGTCACGGACTACCTTTTGGTAGTCGAGCTTGGCGCTGGTGGTAATCTCGCCGAAGACCATGATCATACCGGTCTTGGTCGCAGTCTCACAGGCGACCTTGGAGAGGGGGTCATCGCGCAAGCAGGCATCGAGAATGGCATCGGAGACCTGATCGGCAATCTTGTCGGGGTGACCCTCACCGACGGACTCGGACTAAAAGGAAGGGGTTAGCCGACCGCACCATCCAAGGCTACTTGCAGGTGTACAAGTTGCTCAAGGTCCTTTTCGGTGAGGGCGCGACGCGCGTGTATGTGCCTCGGCCCCACCAGATGTCGGTGAGCAATGGAGGGGCAGTGAAACTTACGGTGAACAGGAAAGTACCCTGGTTGTAGTGCTGCCACGAAGAAAGCTCGGCGTGGACACCGTTACCGTTGACGTTGTTGGCGGCCATCTTGTTTGATGTGGGAGAGATGAGTTTAGGGGAAAAGAGGGAAGAGGAGGAAGAGGTGAAAGGACGATGAAGAGGGGTTCGTCGGGAAGAAATGAAGGGTCGAGGGAGTACGCGATGAGGCTGTCTCTCTAAGATATCTATTGCCGAAGGATCAATGGTTAGGAATCATGAACAGGCTGACGAAGAAAATCGACGAAGCAGTTGAGGATCAATGGACTCCTGCACTTGGGGACGGGGACCTTACCTGGAGCGCAAGCCGGATGAAGAGGATGGTTTGGAGAGGGATGAAGAGGAAGAGGAGGAGAAGAAAAGAGAAGAAAAAAAGAGCTGAGGGAATAAGGGAGAAAACCTAGGTAGTATTGATGTAGCGCGGGAGATTTTTTTTTCTATTTTTTTTTTTCTTAGTCCCCTCTTTTTGCACAAGTAGCTTGGTGAATCTGGGGAGGAGGATAGGGGGAAAGAGCACAATTGACGGCAGTAAAAGAAAAGCGGTCTCGAGAGCACATGTACTGAAGTCGGCAGAACCAGAGACACTCAGACAGCAAGCTAAAGTAGTCTCTGTTACTCAAATACATTCTTGCACAGGCAGACTATAGCTCGGTTACTTGTAACAGGGTAACACTAGTTTCTTGACACCGGGAGCTTTTTTCTTCTGCCGGAGACTTTCTTCTCCTCGTTCTTGCCTCTTTTCTTGCCGGCTCGTCCCTGAATCAAAGGAGCGATTGCGCAATTGTCAGAGGTGGGTCAATGTACAACTGGAGGCAAGCACAGACGGACCGGGCTCTTTCTCACTTTGTTGTATGTATTGTATCACTCACGTACTCGTACTCGTGTCTGGGTACTTCCCTGGTTTTTCCCAACCACCAGCCCCAAAGATAATAATGGCGAGCGAGTTGCAATCAATGCAGATATGTCGAAACTGGGCCTATGTAACGAGTAATATCAGGCGCACCTGTCGTCATTCTCTCCCTCCCTCGCCTTCTCTCGCTTTAGAGTTTTGGGGTACCGTGCCGTATTACGAGCTGTACCCTTCCAAAGTCCAATCTACTCACACACATGTACTCAACGTTTTCCGCGGCTGGAGATTCCACGCCGAATCCGGAGTGCGGGGTCCCTGTTCTTGGACTGCAAGCCTGCAATTATTACCCCTCCAACCCAACCCCGCCGACAATTTGCAGTGGCGCTGGGTTCGAATTCGTCCTTTGGTTGGACCACGCCTCCGGACAGCATGCACGGGCAATCAAGGTTTCCGTTTGGTTCTTCAGGTTTGGCCTCTCAGCCTTGACATTGAGTCAGCACGAGATATTTGACTCCGTTTTATAGGAATGTTAGATCTATCGACTCTGATGCTGACGCTTATTCTCCTTGTACTCGTGTAAGACTGAATTTCCCCAAATATGGCCAGCCAACAAGGGAAGCTGAGCAATCTCGTCTTACGGGAAGACACAAGAAAAGTCACCGAGTATTTTATCACCCCATTGCATTGATCGTCTCTGACGGAAATGACTGGTCAGCAGAGTGCCGGGATGGTCGGATAGATTAGGTGCCTATTGTGATACTCTCGCACAAGAGAAAGTACCTAACACAGCTCGGTGTACGAAGTAAAAAGGACACCTTGCAAGCTCGGCGATTACTTTTTTTTATGCGCGATTCATTCCCATTCCAGCGCATGCGACAACTCAACAATTTGGTTGGCTAGAGCAAGGGGACGTTAGGGGACGTTGGACAACCACGAAGCACGGGGTAGCGTAGTGTTGAGAGCACCTAACGACAGCTGCCACGCGCAGATCAAAAACGGTATCTTATCACGACAGGTGTCTGGGCGAAGATAGCGCAGAGGCAGTTTCAATTTCTAATCCTTCGTCTTTCTCTCGTCTTTCAGGGGGGTGTTCAGTGGGCGGTGAGTGGTGACGTAGAGAGTGTGGCTGGTGCTGCCCCTCACTGTGTGGCGGCAATTTTCGATGTTCGTCCAAATCGTGTAGTTTGCGACGACGAAATCTATCAAAAATCTTCTCCGCGACAATCCAGCTCCTGACCCAGCTTCGCATCATTGACTTCCCAAAGGTCTACTGGAGGAGACTTCTTTTGTCTTACGGAATCTACTTTCCACAGCGAACCCATCAGAGAACATGAGCAAGTTTGGAGTCATGATCATGGGCCCGGCGGGGGCTGGCAAGGTATGTTCTAATCTCCAAACAATACTTCAAAAAAGAGATCACGGTATGAAGCTAACAATTCTCTTGCACAATATAGTCCACCTTCTGCGCCAACCTCATAACCCACCTCCACCTCAACCGCCGCTCCACATTCTACATCAACCTCGACCCAGCCGCCGAATCCTTCGAACACCAACCCGACCTCGACATCAAGGAGCTCATCACACTCGAAGACGCCATGGACATAGGCTACGGCCCCAACGGCGGCCTCGTCTACTGCTTCGAGTTCCTCATGGAAAACCTCGACTTCCTCACCGAAGCCCTCGACTCACTCACCGAAGAGTACCTCATCATCATCGACATGCCGGGCCAGATCGAGCTCTACACGCATATTCCCATCGTGCCGAACCTCGTGCGCTTCCTCTCGCGCCCGGGAGCTCTGGACGTACGTCTTTGCGCTGCGTACCTTATTGAATCGACTTTTGTGCTGGACAGGGCGAAGTTTTTTGCGGGTACGTTGAGCGCTATGAGCGCTATGCTTATGCTTGAGGTACCGCATTTGAATATCCTTTCCAAGATGGATTTGGTAAAGGGCCAGATTAAGAAGAGGGATTTGGAAGACTTTTTGACGCCTGATTCCGCGCTGTTGGATACGGATCCTATCGAGAGGGCGAGGATGAGGGAAGAAGGCGCCGAGGAGGACGAGGAGGAGGCGGAGTTTGGTGTCAATCCGGCGGAGAGGAAGGCTGTTATGAAAGGTGCGAGTTTCAGGAGGTTGAACAGGGCTGTTGCTGGGCTGATTGAGAGCTTTAGTATGGTGAACTTTTTGACCCTCGATTTGACGGATGAGGATAGCATTGGGGCGGTGCTCAGTCACATCGACGACGTCATACAGTACCACGAGGCTCAGGAACCTAGGGAGCCGAATGACGAGATTGAGGTTGATGAGGAGTAGCAAGAAGATGTCGCGGGCATGGAGGGATAAAACGGAGGGAGGCAGCTTGGGGCTTTGGTTTTGGGGTGGAAGGGCTTGTCTGTCTCTATGGTGTTCGTTGCATAGATGGGAGAGATATCCTTGTGTTTTACATAGCATTTGCATGGCATCGGCGTTCAAAAGACTTGTTTCTGTTTATCTATGCGTCACCAAAAACACGAGATGCTCCAAACTATGCCTCACGAGACGTGTAAAGACTAGAGGTGAAAAACGAGCTCAATGCATATGCTACCATGCCTTTTGTACCGTAAACGCCATATGCCATCCTGTTACAACTGGCCATCAAGTCATGATCCCTTCCATTGCATGAAACAGGCGTGAAGAAAAAAGAACAACTAAACTTCCAAGTTCACGAGGGAGTTCGAAAGGATATCACGTCCAGGGCGGCAGCAAACAAGTCCCGAACAGATCTCTACCGCTGCCCTTCCAATCATCAAAAAACAGACGCTTTCATGAAATAAAATCAGAAGACGAAACGGACAACTCGTATCCCCTTTAATACTTTCCACTCTTCTGAGACTGCTGCTCAAACTTCTCCCACTCGCTCCAAAAGAACTTCGCTAACTCGACGCCATATGCGATGGCAAAGCTGACCTTGTCCCAGGCGACGCGAAGAGTCTGCTCGGGACCCATCTGGAACATGGCAGCCGCGACGGAGGCGACAACGAGGGCCATGATAACGTTGATGGCCAGGCTCCAGATGAAAGCGACGAGGCGGCGGACGTAGGACGCGATGACGAGGCAGAGGACGATGGTGAGGATCGTGCCGAGGGAGGACTGGAGGGCGAGGAAGAGAGGCTCGCCGGCAGTGGATTGGGTATAGTCGTAGATGTATTGGAACGTCTTGGAGGCTTGGTCAGCCATGTTGTCGGTGTTGCTCAATTGAGGATTGTGGTTTAGGTTCGTGGTGCAAGTGCGGTGAGGCGTGTTGCGCTCGGGTTCGGGTCGTGATCTGTAGGACATACAAGGATTAGTCGCAATTGGTAAGCAGAAAATGGAGAGATATAGAGGAGAAAAACTCACTGACAACCCGCTGCTGGCTAGAACTCTTGTAGGAGAAGAGAAATATCCAGGTGGAAAAGTAATGTATAGCTTGGTGCTTGCTTCACTAAGTCCCGGAGTCAGCACCTTAACTAGTCCTGCAGTTGCCTGTCTTCTGGTTAACGGGATAGCAGCCTACCTATTTTTGACAAGGAAGAGCTCCTGTAGCTTGAAGAATCTTCTTAGGATCTTCTTAGGAGGAGAGAGATGCTGTTAAGGTCAGTTAGGAATTGAAGCTTGATATCGTGGATGATGGAATTCCTTGGTACCTAAAGTTGATAAGGGGAGCTTGTGTTGGAGAAAATTCTAGAACTCTACAAAATACAGGTAGAAAATTCTTTTGTTGACGCACAGGGTGGGAAACAAAACAAGGAGGGGTTGAAATGGAAGATGTTAAAGATGGTGGTGGAAAGAGAACAATTGAAAGGAGGTGAGGATTATGTGATGTGTCTCTAAGAAAAGAAAAAAAAATATCTGGTTGCGGCTCGTCGCGTGTCTCGAGTAGCGGCTTCCCCAGTGACCTTGAGCCTGTCAGATCTGCCGGGCGAGCCCCACAATTAATCGGAGCCTTTCCAGAACGCGTCAAGCAGAGCGTGAGATGCTATGAACCTCTTCAACACCACTGCATTTTCTGTGAGGTCCGAGAAAAAAAAAATAAAATAAAATAAAATAAAAAATAAAATGAAATGAAATAAAATAAAATAAAAAAAACCTCGTAGAGCTTCTCGAATTCTCGAGTCTTATTTACATTTTCTTCTCCCTCTAGTTTCTCGAAGAAGTACGCATTTAACGCGACAGCACACCATTCGAGGGAAGGGAGACGAGAGGAAGCTCCCTGTATCGAAGAATGCTACTCTCACAACCGATCTAGAGTGATCGCATAGCAAGGGGCACGAGTCAAGGAAAGAAAGCAGAAGGAAGGAGCTGGCCTTGCGTAGTAAGTCGGACGCCAGCAGACGCTTCGCTGCTGCACGAAGTTTCTCTCCCATTTAATCACTTTCCTGGAACCGAGATCTGCTCATACTTTCCCGTCATGGACTTCTGGTCGTGGAATCCGTATCTTCGACCGCCACGACGACAAGAACCGAAGAGCTACAGTTACAACACTCAAAAACTTGAACAAGAAAGCGGTCAATATTACTACTAGCTACGCGCTGCGACGCTCGCGTCCAAGACCGACTTCCCACCAAGCATCAAACAAGGCTCTAGATCCATCCCCTACCATCTCCAGGCCTTCATTTGACTGCTCGGCCCCCCTGCTTCCAGACTTCCTATGCTTGTTTTGGCTGCTCCACAAAAAAAGAGCAACCGGAAACACATGCAACACGACGAAGCCGCCAGCCGCCCTTCAACCCATACACCTACCCCATGCTGGCTGCATCAACTTCTTGAATGCATGCCACCTCCAGCCTCCGGAGTATCATCCCCGGACACCAATTACCTCGCCCAACGTGACAGACCGCTGATGGTATCACAAAAGTTTCAAGATAGGAAGAAGAACTGAGAAAAAAGAGAAGGAAAAAAAGACAAGCTCGGCGGTGCAGAGGAAACAACGGACAATGAATGCAAATGGCCAGATCCAGAGCCAGCCTTCTAAATGTACAAGGAACAAGGGAAAATGTGTGACAGACAAAAGTAGGATAAGATGCGTCAAGGAGAGTCGAGAAAAGAAAACACCAGACAGAGGAAGAAGACCGAGAGGGAAAAGAGAGAGAGAGGCAGAGAGATAGAAGACGGCGCCAAGGGCCAAGGGAAAACGAAACCAGTACAGATACCCGCGAGGAGGAGCCTGTGACTTCTAGGTGCCATATTAACACGGCATCTTCATAGACTTTGTTCCCTCGCTCGCTAAGAACCAGGCCTGAGAAACACACGGGTCTGGCCCGGGCAGATTGCGATGATACGACCATCGGAAAAGGGGGTCGAGGAAAGAAACTGGCGCCGTCGCTGTGGTTGAAAATGCAGGACGAGTTATTGATGAATATCAAGGGTAAGGAGGTTAGAAAAACCATGTGGTTGCCTCATAGTGAGTCCATCTAAGTGAGAGCCGATGAAATATGTTTTCCCTCCATCTCTATTCCGGCTGTTATGGGGAGGAGGATGTTGTCCCAATGCGTAGAAAAAAAAAAGAGAGAAAGAATGTTTGGTGTACATGCGGACCGCTGGTGAAGTCGCCATAAACGCAGCTGAGCATTCACGGCCAGCCATCAGTCATATCATGAGTATGGAACGTCGAAACTGCCCGAGAGTCGACGTGTTCGTTAAGTGAGCCGGTTGTCTAGCTGTGATCTCAACCGCGTCGATACTCGCCCAGGTTGAGCCAACTCATGTCCGAAGATGTGTTGGCTAGGGAGAGTTGTGGCTGTTGGCTGACACCGCTGCGATGGGCGCCCGCGCTCGTCGAACTAGGATCCAGGGCAGACTGGTAACCGCCTTGCGTCGCACCACCATATGCGGAGCCGGGCGCACGGTCGGTGCCCCAAGGCTTCTTGACGGAAGTGGGATCCCAAATATCCGCGACACTAGCGGGGATACCGCTCGAATAACCGGAAGAGGCCTGTGATACAGGCCGCTCAATCTTACCAGTCATGCCCTCCCTCATCGGGATACGGGCCGGGTAGTGCGCTACGGTTGGGCTCCCAGAGTTGACGCGGTTCAGCTCGGGCCGGCCTTCGATTTGAAGAGGAGGGACGGTTGCCGAATCCTGCGTGATTCGGCTCTTGGCCTGGTCCGAATACCGCGAGCTCTGATCCGAATCCACCGTTGCCCGCTTGTTATTACCGAATCCTAGAATGTTGAGCGCGCTTCCGCCAGACCAGTACCTATTCCAGCCCGAGCTTCGACGCGCCGGTTCCAGCGCACTAGACAAGGTGGCATCGCCTCGGGGAGGTCGCGGAGGCGGTGCCTTCGTTGTGAGGCTAGGGCCAAATACGGTCACACGATCGCCGGGCTCGGGCGATGCGCGGATCTGAGGGGGCGGGTATTGCTGGGTCTCCTGGGGAATAGGCTTGCTGATCGTGCTCTTGAATTCCTTGTTGTAGATGCTGCTGATCGAACTTCGGAGGGTGCCGTTACTGGGCTGTCTACCTAGGCTCCTGTTCTGTTGGTTCACCTTGCCCATGAGAATGGCCATGGACGAGTAGGATCCCGCCGAGTCTTGAGGTTGATGACCCCTGAGGTAGCCCTTCTTACCCGCCGCCGCCATGTCAGCGAAGTCGAGGCCACCCTTTTCGATGCTCGAAGATCCATCGTTGATCGGCACCTTGGGGCGTGCTTTCGATCTGCGTCTCCTGATCAAAAACAATAGAAGTCCAAGAATAAGCATTATGCCAACGATAGATCCAAGAACGATGCCAAGAATGGTGTTGGAGCTTAGCGGATACGCGTCTTCCTTGGTGTTGTTTTCTGCGTCGGTGCCACCGACTCCGACTCCGACTCCGAGATCTGCGGTAGACGAAGAGGTGGCGGAAGAAGTGGCGGTGGTGCTAGCGACGCTAGAGGTGCTCGAGGCTGACAGGGAGCCGAGTACTTTTTGATCCGTGAAGAGTTCTGTCGCATTGACCCAGCTGTTCTCCCGGGCATCGAAGATGCACAATGGATGATCCGAGTTACCACCAGCGAAGAATACGGTTCCCGTGGGGTCGGTTGCCGCCGCGTAGTTCACTCGAGTATCGCCGGGGGCGAGGGTGTCATTGTACGTTGGCCACCGGTCGGCCGTTAGGGATCCACTAGATTGACGGGCTTCGAGAATGCCCAAGCTTCTCGCAATAACGGTCGGAGAGTCTGTTACGGGGGCACCCGTGCCATCGAGCAGCACAATTCGACGAACAAGGTTTGGAGCTTGAGTCATGTCGAACGTGTACAAGCTCTTGCTGCCATCATCTCCGCTCATGATCAACCCCTTGATCTCTGCGGAACCT